TCTAAAAAAATCAATAAAAAACATATTTTAAAAATATAAAATTTATAACTATGTAAAAAATATGTTTGCTATGTTCTGTATGTTTTACCATATACTAAATCTTTCACAAGAAAATATAATCCTCATAGTTTATAGACCTTTCCCCTAAAAAAAAAAAAAAAACAAACTGACTTCTTAGGAAGCGAAGCCGCTGAAGTAGGGGCTTTTACCCTTTTTTGTATCATGGCCCTTTTTGGTGGGCTGATGAAATTAGGGGACCCCCTTCTTGGAATAATCTTTTAAAATGCATAATTTAAATATATAGGATTACAAAGAAAACCAATGATATTGAAGTACAGTTCCCAAAATATTTTATAAATTACTATACTGCAATACATGTGCCTCTTTATTAATATGTCAAGTAACAGAATCTAGCACAAGTCACACCTGTCACCCTCCAACAACAAGGATAACAGAACTCTGAGATTCCTGCCAACATGTGCCAAGTTCATATCTGTAATTGCCAGTGCAAACAGTCATGGGTCCCACTAATACCACCGTGGTGTGTGGTCTCCATTATAACGGAAGAAAACGGATTTCAGCTATAGGCGAGGGGAAGAAAAGGTACAATTTGTTTTTCACCAGAGTTCACAGACCTTCTAAATTCTACACAGGAATGTTTCAGAGCCCCTGGCACAGAATCTCTTTGCACACTGATTTTGATTAGGCAAAGAGAAAGTAAGGCTGAAACACAGGCTTAAAGGCAAGTGTGCAAAAATGCGCTCGTCATTTATCCTTTCTAAAGAAAGAGTCGTAGGAAGAGGCCTAGCTCTTTATACTTTTCCTATTGCACGTATAAGAAGGAGCAGCCTAGAGACACCCTGCTTTTTGAACCATGTAGTAAATGAACAGAAAGACAAGTGCCATCAGTGCAGAGACGAAGGGCTACAAACCCTTTCCATGTTAAAGCTCAGACCCAACTTTAAACCTGAAAATTCCAGGGCTGATGAAAGCATTATGCTAGTATCTGAGTAAACTAAATTTAAGCTGGGAATACTCACAGTGCCTAAAGAGGTCATGCCAACTGCAAAAAGAACCTTTATAGGGAAAAACAGTCTATCAAAATCTCACCAGCTTCTGTTTACTTTAAATCTCGTTGCTTGTTCCACAGGCAGAAAGCCAAAGGGTGGGTTCCACTCACAGCCCCATCACTGTCTGGTTGGGTGACCTGGCCACCATCGTTAAGGTCTCTGAATTTGTTTTGTCATCTGACAGTGCGAATAACAACGAGCTTTCTCTTACAGGGTTACTAAGAAGATTATATGAGCTAGGGTATACAAACTGCTTAGCCAAGTTGTCTCACCCAGAAGTTGCTAAAAAATGTCAACTGCTATTTTTATTTTCTATACGCTATAAAGACCTCTTGTGAAGTAAAATTCTATCTTGTCACTACTGTCTTAATCTGATTATCTCATTTCCCTAAAGCACTGCATTTTTTAATGAATTAATTCCCCTGTAAGAATGAGGGTTTGATATCCACAAACCTTGATAGCCCTAAACCCAACCTGACGATTCAAAGCTTAACTATTACATATATTTGGGGGGCCCTCAAACGGCGGCCAGGGCATTGCAAGATGTGATCAGCAGAGAGCAGCCCAGAGTCACTCATGCTCCAGCACCTGCCTCTCCCAACAACACGGGCATTGCTTAAAAGACAAGTTTTAATACCAGTGCCAATCCTATCCACATATTCTTCTAGATATTTGAAAACATAGGAGAAAACAAGACATTTGCATATTTAAAAATCCCGGTGATCTCTCTTTACAAGCTTTAACAGAGTAAATGCCCGTATATAAGGTAATAAGCAGCATGCCCTTATGAGAAACCCAGAAACTTACATTCTGATCCCAGCCACCCTGGGATACATCAGTGAACCTCTATATCTGTCTGGGGGAAGAAGTTACCATCTCTGTAGCAAAAGAATTTCATGATGATGATGTTGATGCTATTAGGGACTTATTCCACAAACTGCTGTGTTGAATTAAAAAAAAACTAATACCTTCAAGAGTCCTTTGAAAAATATGATTATTAATTAATTAATTAATTTTAAAAAATGCTCCAGACCACTGCCATTTGAAATGCAGTTGTTTTTCATTCCCACTGCAGGGACTTAAAAGTTGGATTTCAAGTGTGATGATGATGATGATGATGATGATGATGATGATGATGATTCAGGCCCTCACATGTAGGACTTTTAAGTGGAAAGAGAATGGAAGACTGGAGTATAATTATATGACTGGAAACTGATCAAGACTGCCTTTAGAATTCAGCCTCCTGGCCTGGTGTGGCGGCTCCTGGGTCAATGATTGGCAATCCCTTGGGAGGGGAAGAAGAAGTAAACTGCAGAGTGTTCCTCGTCCCTTCTTTCCCTAAAAGCAACAGGGAGCCACAGCAGGCTGACCCGGGCTTCACTCTTCAGACAAGCTGGGGTCTCTCTGCAGGACCACCAGGACCACACAGCTAAGCACAGACGACTCACAGCTGAAGATTAACTGCCACTTCGAAGAGCCACACAGAGATGAATACTAACCATAACACCACTGACTGAGGGCTTGCTCTGTGTCTGGACCTTGTCTCATTTCAACCCTTAACAGTTCTATGAATTAAGTGCACATTTTTATCCTCAATTACAAATGAAGAAAGTTGGAACTCAAAGTGGTCACCCTCTAGTCACCAGTTAATTCTTGTTAAACTCCTGTCAGGTGCCAAGACTATAACAACTTGGAGCTCCCCCTCCACCTCCGCCAACTGCTGCCATCGGGCCTCTCAGGCCCCCTCCTTCTCCCTCCCAGACAATACCCATCATCCTGTAAAGACTGGAAATGCTAATTCACACAACTAACCCAAAACCACTAAGATATTTTAAGAAAACATTATGTTCTTCCCATTTTTCCTTTCCAACCTGGTTTGGATTAAATATGATCATGTATAAGCCTTTCACCAGGTCTAGAACAAAATAAGTACTTAGTAATTGTTAGCTAGTGGTATTCATAATATAATTGCTCATAATTACTGTGATAGGATTTGTGTTCTTCCATAAATTCAGGCCTAACCAATTATCCAAAACTCCTCAATAAGTATCTCAGTGTCTTCACACTCTATGATGTCCTCTCTTCCATTCTTTGAAGGTCAGTGTTTTGACAGTTTACTTAGAGTGTTCTATTTCTGCAATTCACATAATTGCCCAGTAAAAGAATAAAGTTAATTCCTTTCCCCGCAAGACGACCAACGCGGCATTTGTTCTGTTTAATGTCACTTTGGATTACTAAGAGACATAAAAATCCCCAAACATAAACATCATTAAACAAAAACCTATTCAAGTGGAATACAAAACACACTACAGGGTCATTATTAATTCCTTAAAGTTTTTCTTTGGTTGTTTCTTTTGTTTCTTTTTTGCTTTTTAAACAACTCCACCCAAAACTCAAAGCACAGACACTCAAGTGCAGACGAAAATAATCACCCTGTCCCCGGCGTGAGCTACAAAGGCCAATGCCCTGGGCATCAGCATGCCGGGGTTTACATGGATCATGTACTTGCTGGTTTAAAAGATGAATCATCGTGAGTGTTTTAATTGTGTTTATATTGCTTTCTAAAATATTGTGTTTGAGGGTTAAAAATAAAACCTGTGAACAGCACAGATCTGAAGAGACAGAGGGGCTTACGTGTCATTTAAAAAGTAGAGACACATCCTTCAGCACATGGCACCAATTTTCATCAAAATGGTTCTGCAGTCTTACCAGACATTGTGCCCCAGAACTGCCCATCTCAACTGTCCCCAGTCTGCAAGTCTGGCTTTCAGCACAGAATCCCAGGACTGGACACACGGGAAAGTCAGAGAGAACAAGAAAAAGGCCTGGTCTGTTTAAATGAGCCATAGCACGATCAAGAAAAGAATAGATGGTCAGACCAGCTTAAGTCTGCATCCTGGCTCCCCCATTAAGTCGCTGAGCCACCTTGGGCAAGTTATTTAAACTTTCTGTGCCTAAATTCCCCATAATATCTACCTTGAGGGGCTGCTTCTAGGATTAAATGAGATAACTTCTATGAAAGTTCCTGGGCTAAATCCCTTATTTAAAACCAAAGCCCCAGTCAGTGAGCCCAGGGACTAAACTTTGACCTTAATACATATTTCGTTCTGTCCCTGCAAGGAAAACCTGCTGGAGACACTCTGTTCCGTGCTGCGGGATTAGAAGTCACAGGCGAGGTGTTGATAGAGGGGAGATGCACTGATCAAAGGTTCCATTAAATAAGAGTCACTGCGTCTTCCCAGACTGAGTTTGTACTTTCGTGAACTGTCATATCAAGGCACACAGCAAAGAGAGCAAGCTGAATTATACATTGCTAAAGCAATGAGCTCAGAATCATGAAAAATGCTGAGAAATTAAACTTCCCTGTGTGTATAAATGCATGCCTAAGTGTTAATGTGAACGTAAGTCCAAGGTAAAGCCATGAAAGTGGAAAATTTGTTTAAATCTTTGTTTAAATCACAATTTTAGATGTCTTTAAATTTTAGGCAACTAATCATCTGCCTATATTTTCCCCTTGATCTCCATGGGAAACAGCATAGTAGGTGCTTATGATCATCACTGTACAATGTCTGAGATAAATGGCCCCACCTCCCTTCAAAACTAGATAGAATAACGCCATACATTACCCATCCCGGTTCTTTCAAAATCTCTTGGAACACCTGACTGGTTATTCCCACTTAGGACAGTTTCACAAATAATAAATAAATAAATTCAGAAAACAAAGACCATCTTTCAGTTTTCAAATTTAAAAAAAAAAAAAAAAAAAAAAGGAATGCATGGAATGTCTCCACTGAAAGACCTCAACCATGGCTTTGCATCGAGAAAGCGCTGGGGTCAAATGGAGGTGACCGCGACATGGAGAAAGCAATGGTCAGTGTTTCCTGAACTCTGCCCCAAGCCTGTTGTATTGAGTACTAGGCAACCAATCACCTTGCAAATCTAAAACCAGCAGCTCTCCCCGAGTATACTCATAGGTCCAGTGAGAGAAAGCCAACATCAGCTCCTCCAAGGCGCTGCTGGGGGCAATTTCATCGCCATTGTTGTTGTTGTACTTCCGGAACTCCCCCATCATATACTTCTCAATGGTGAACCACTGGTTGGCAGAGTGGCAGTAGATTAAGAAAACTTCCAGGAACCTACGAGGAGGAAAACGAGGCCACAGTTCCTCACAAGGCAGCACAGGTGGGGTTTACATTACTGGAAGGTCAGCAACAGGGGAGATTACCTAACTCTGGTCAGATGCAGCCTCGATGCGCATGCCCTTGCCTTTCTATGAAATGCAAAGAGTAGGGGGGTTCCCACAGTTACCCACCTCCCTTCCCTTTCAGGGGCCCTCCAGCTCCTTTATGAGTACCAAGCTCAGCTTCTCTTGCTGTGTGCTATCACATTCCTTGTAAATGAAACAACAAAGCTTGACTAGAGTCCTCAGCACTGAGTCATGATCGGTCTTGCTAAATGAGTGCACGTGTATGGAGACATAAGAGTTCATTCTTAAAAGGTTCCTAATTTCCATAAGATATTCAGAGAAGAAACTGCCTAAAATAAAAATGATTTTTCTGCCCTGGCCAGTTTGGTTCAGCGGTTGGAGCGTTGGCCCATGGACCAGAGAGTCCTGGGTTCGGTTCCCGCTAGGGGCATGTACCTCGGTTGCAGTTTGTCCCTGGCCCCCATTGGCGTTATGTAGGTGGCAGCCACTCGATGTATCTCTCTCACATCGATGTTTCTCTCTCTCTTCCTGCCTCCCTCCCTCCCACTCTATCTGTAATAAATGTTAAAAAATAAAAATTTAAAAAAGAAAGATTTTTCTGCCATAATGTTCCTGGACACTAAAAACTGCATCCAGGACCTGCCTGTCCCACATAGACAGGTCCGGTCATGGCCTCTACATGAACTACTTTTTTCATAAGTTAGTGATTTCTGTATCCCTGGGTTGTCTAGTTCTCTTTTTACCAGTCTCCAGAACTATGGAAAGAAGAACCCCCAAGAAAGTATTGGGGACCTTCCCCACGGGTCTTGTATATCTCACGGCTAAGAGGGCTGACAAGAATGATAGAAATTCCTACATAACGTGAAGGGTCAGAATACCAATATTTCTCACCTTGGTGCATAGGGAATGGTTTGGGGTTTCACTTGGTTGAAGGTATAGATTAGTTTTTGAGCAGCTCTTTGTTGTTGAATTTCCTACAAAATAGGGAGCATTGATAAATATATATATATATTGGTTTACTATCACATGCCTACCAATTAATGATTATCGAATTATTAGAGGCCTCCCAAGTGTGATTTTCAGCCTTATTCAGCTCTCACCACTCCCACTCCAAAAAGCAAAAGCTCTACAAAACAAAAATAACAAAATATCACCACCTCCAAAAAAGAGCAAGTCCCCTTTCTGTTGAAGACAATGGCCTTCAGTCGAGGGGTAGCCAGATGTCCCTTCTCTGACTGGCCTGCCTGGGCTCTGGGGCTCTGACTTACCCTGAGGCAGAGGTGAAGCACAGTGCTCTCCTGGAAGATCTTGTGCCATGTCTGCACAACCTCAGGAAGAAAGGACTTCACAATGAAAACCTGCCCCGGTTTGAGCACGTGGTCCTCAGACCAGGTGCTGATGACGCGCATGGCTTTGCGGAGGCCGCCATCGAACTCCTCTCGGGACAGCACCTGGATCATTGCAGTTCTCCCGCGCTTGGACCAAGAAGACATGCTTCTATCAAGAGTCAAAGGGGAACTCTCCTCCAGCCTGTAGACGGTCACTTCTTCCCCGGCTGCAAAGAGAGGTGCAGGTGAGGAGTTCAATGAGATCTCATGTCTGTGACACAAAGAACATCCTCAATACCAATTCAGAATCAGTTCAGTTTCCCAAATGATCAGAGGAGAATGAGAATTTTGCCTACACAGGAACTAGTAGAAAATAAAGATGTAGATCCAGTCGTGTTGTTATGTTATTTATTGTCCAGTAAAGAGAGAGATGGGGAGCCCTGGCCAGGGTGGCTCATGGTTATAGCATTGGTCTGTGCATTGAAGGGTTGTGGGTTCAATTCCCAGTCAAGGAATTGGGTCCATCCCTGGTCCCAGTCAGGGCACATGTGGGAGGCAACCAATCAATGTGTCTCTTTCACATCAATGTTTCTTTCTTTCTCTCTCTCTCTCCCTCCCTCCTTTCCACTCTCTCTAAAAATCAATGGAAAAAAAAAAATAGCCTCAGGTGAAGATTAACCAAAAAAAAAAAAAAAGAGGAAGAGGGGAAGAAGGGACAAAGCATCAGATGATACACAAGAATGAAGTTGTTGCCATGGCTGGTTTGGCTCATCAGTTAGAGCATCAGCCCGTGGACGAAAGAGTCTCAGGTTCAATTCTGGTCAAGGGCACCTCGGTTGTGGTTCAGTCTCTGGCCCTGGTCGTGATCATGCAGGAGGCAACTAGTTGATGTGTCTTACTCACATCGATGTTTCCCACCCCACCCACCACTTTATCTGAAGATAAATGGGAAAATATCCTCAGGCTAGGATTAAAAAAAAAAAATGAAGTTGTTCATAAACAAAAATAAAATGAAAGTAGTAAGGATATTATAAACAAAAACAAAATATTAAAGACAAATACTTCCAAAGAGATAGCTTAACCTGGTGTTTGTCATTATCATTCCCCTTATGAGCATTAGACATTTATTCTGACTTGCCCCTCCCATGACATTTTAATACCAAAGATACACTGTGTATCCGTCTATGTGCTGTACATAAATATATCTGTGCTTTATACATAAAACAAAAGGGATGTTTTTGCTCGCTTGGGGGTGATATGACCCCCACTGAGAACGCCAGTAAAGTTAGACAGAGTTAAGTTCATACCCAAAACACTCTCCGTCCTTCCTTTGTGCTTTTGAGTAAGTTACTTAAAGCCTTACTTTCTTTATCAGTAAAATGGGAGTGAAAATAACACTCACCGATTTGGGTTGTAAAGATTAACTATGTTAACCTGTCCAATATAAACCAGAACCTCAGATACAAACTCAATCCAACTTAAAAAAAAAAAAAGACACAAAATGCTCTTTAACTACTATACAGCTTCACTTTTAGGCTGTACGGGAAACAATTGAACAGGAAACAATTCTTATGCAGTGTGTATGCTTCATAACAGAAGTAACATATTCTATACACAGCTTCTGCCTAGCCTGTTTCATTTTCTCCTTTCACCTCTGCTTCAAATGATTATTTTTTTATGTGAACACTGTAACTACTTTACCAAGAAAGGAATCTCTTTGCTCACTCTTGCACTGAACCGCCTACTAAAAAACATATCTAGTAAATGCTTAGTAACATATTTTCAAGTATTCATTCTTGGTGCCCAGATAAATGCCACCGAATATCTCTCTGGAGTTCTAAATCCCTAGAGGATTTAGGGCAGTGACTGAGTTGCAGAACAAGCCGTGGAGCCAAGGGGAAGGAGAAGGCACCCGCATCAGCAATCAGGAGCCACCCGATCGGTCCCCACGCAGGAGTGTGAGGAGAATCGGGATCTAGGACGGTGTGGGGACCCGTCGCATTGTCGACTGGCCAGGCAGAGAAACTGGTAGCCTTGGCTAACGCGAGCTTATTTTTCTTTTACTCCAGCCTTTTAAAATGAATTTGCTCTCTGAGCTAAGTGCAATTAGTCTACATGAAATAAAGCGAATAAAAATATACAAAGCATTTCTCTTCAGATGCCTGTTAGCTTTTACTGTATTGACATTTATCGCTTTCTTCTGTGTTTATTACACATGGTTGGTCGGTTCTTTTCTTTCCTACTTACTTCCAGCCTGAAATCAGTGAGTGCCAGGTGCAACATTATTGCTTTTTTTCCCAACTGCTGCTCACTGTAGGGCCCATCCCCACAGCATTAGATGTTGACCCTGGATGCCAGCTGGGCGGTTAACAAGAGTCTCTGTTTTAGGAAATTAATCTCCCTAAACTGCAACCATCAGCATAACAAAATTTTCAACTATAGTGATACATAGTGGTTTCCCCTTTGATTTATGCATACATTGGCACCGCCTCAAGAAGGTAGAAATGGCACTCACCAAACAGTTGGATGGGTGTAAATGGTATGGTCTGAGAAAGCCTCATTAAATTGTTCCTTTCAATAGCTGCAAACAAAAACCGATTTACTGTTTTAAGTATGCATCAGTGGGCTGATTCCACAGCAACACACACCCCCCCATCAATATAGTCATAGAATACCAAAGTATTGCATTTAAAAGACCCCTCATTTTTACCTTTATCAAAAATATTCTACAGTACTTAAAATAAAGTACGCCTTAAACAGGATATCCCCATTTTAGGAACAAGATTATATAACATAGTCTGAGGTAGAGCTGTCCCCTCCACCCTCCCGAATACCAAATCACATACGAATTCAGACACATATGAAACTTTCTTTTAAAGCTCATTCTAATCTGTGGTTGTCTTGCCCTGGTTTTTCTTTTCCAGAGCAAACCTAGTGCACAGTGGACTGTGGGGACATCTACTGTTGACTTTGCACAGTTCACCGTCTTTTCCCAGAAACAGCTGAAGACCAGTTTTCATTAGAAGCAAGTGATCTGCATTTTCCTGTTAAGAGTTCTATCCTAACAGATCAGAGTCAATATGAGTTATGTGTTCCTCACCAGAGACGTTCTTAAATTAACAACTAAAGTCAAAATAATGGATTCCAGCTGAGCTAAAAGACCCAGTTGTAATATGAGACTAGAATGTGGAGTCTGGAACCCACTAAAGCACTATTCACCAAATAGGAGAATTCAGGATAAGGGCGTCTACTGCGGGACCCCAAACATAAGACTTTGATATAATAATAATAATGGCAATTATCACACCATCAAACTCTTATGCATGTACTGAGCTGTAGATTGTCTCACCCACTGCAGCAAGCAATGATGCCCAAAAGACCACCCAGTGGCAGGAGTCCCATTGGTTGTTAGCACTGCTTTGCATTCATTGCTTCCCTCTTAATTCTCAACTAGCCCACTGGCAGACTGTTCCTCAGGAAGGGCACGTACAATGATTCCTGCTTTGAAAGAAAGACAGCTGAAGCACTGTGAAGCCATGTTACTTAGGAGAGTCAAGACCCATGTCCCCTTGTTTAATAACATCTTTGTAAAGTGTCTTTGTTGAATTTACTCTGTGGAGTTGGCATTCATTTGTTGGCAACATTCCCTGAGGTCCCAGTGAGGGTGCAAAACCCTCCCTCAAAGAAGTAGTCTCAGGCCTGTCTCTTCTCTAATCCAAAATTTGGAGAACTCTGCCTTTGGGCAGGCTTTGAGCTTGTAAAGAACAAGTCAATCTCAAGGTCATTTTCCCTTCCCAATATAACTTGCCAACACAAACTTAAAAAAAAAAATTCTTTTAAATCTTGTTTTCCCAAGTCAATGGCAAGGTAAGATATCTAAATATTCTTCTCATCAGGGTGAACAACAACCTTTCAAGTCGGGAGCCATATCGATACCACAAATTCAACATTTCTGTTTACAAATGCAAAGTCACAGATGTTCAGCTCGGTTGACATGTCTCTGTGCACAGGCATCCTACCTGAATAATGATGGTGGGGCTCTTGAGGGCTTTTTAAGGAGGCCGAGATTTCTGAAATTATAGAGAAGATTGGCACTTTAATTACTTGGCTGGAGATAAATACATGCTCCTGATTATATTGCCTTCAAAGTTATTATTGAACAGGTTAATCAGAATGGCTTCTCAGTATTCGGAAAAGATTGCCTAATATCCTTTAACCACATTATTGTGCATGGTATCCTGACAGCTTCCAATCATCAATGCAATATCTCCAAACATATTTATATGGGGAATTGAAGAAAGACAGGTAATATTAGCCTCAAAGATCTATTTCCTCTGAACCAATTATACCTCTGGGTTGCAGAAGGCACTCAGCTGCCCATCACATTTCACGACATCCCAGAAGCACAATTCTCTGAGCTCCCAGCCAAGATGCAGTACCCATATAAAGACATTATTAATATCAAGTTATTAGCAGACTACTTCACTGACCTAAAATGACAACAAAATGATGAAAACACATTAAGAGGGATGTACTGGAAACAAAGGAGTGGGTGGAGAATACGACACCAAGGGATCTGTTTGGTTACAGGAGGACTGTGTGCTGGGAACACCTCCTGCAAGTTTAACTGGTTCTCCATTATGTGCTCAAGTCCTAAATTACAACGCTCCAGAGAAATCCTTTGCAACAGTTTTGCCATTTCATAAAATCAAAATTAAAGTGGAGAACTTTAGTCTCATGGTGATAACTGCTTTATACCTGGTAGAGTAAGCAGCAATAATGAGTCCAATTTCATAGGTTTCTCTGACTCCTTGTTGCTGGCTAAGGAAAGGAACAAAAATCCCTTCCTTTGGGGGCACCTGGTAAAAAGTAGGATCAGCAGAAAAGGCTCTTCCTTTCAGAACTCATTTAATAATAATAATAATAATAATAATAAGTATTCAGCTCCCACTACAGGTAATGCTAGGTATGACAGACACAAAATGTGCCTCCCACCCTAGAGAAAAGCAAATGTGAAATAGTGGGAGAGAAAGACATGTGAACTATAATCACAATCCAGTTTGCTAAGTTATATAATAGAGGTGTAGACAGAAGCTTATGGAACCTTCATAGACAAATAATGTGAAATCATTTAAAGAGTATGGTCATCTAAGTCTGATAAAGCTCAGTTTCAATCCTGGCTTTACCACTTTAGGAGCTATGAGATTTTGTTCGTATTGATATAGTACGTATTTATTGAACACTTACTATGTACCAGACACTGGTCTATGCTCAAGAGAAATAGTATCAGTGAACACAGATAGTCTCTGGCTATGTTCTAGTAAAGGGAAGTAAAAAAGTAAACAATTAAATACTTGGTGTAATACACACACACACACACACGTGTGTGTGTGTGTGTGTGTGTGTATAAATGTATTAGGAAGTGTGGGAGATAAGGAGTTTACTATTTCACAAACAGTGGTTAGGCAAGTCCTCTTTGACAAGGTGAAATTTGAGCACAGACCTAAAGGAAGAGAGGGGGCGAGTCATAGGAATAAATGCAAAGCATTCCAAGCAGAGGTTACAACAAGTGCAAATGCCCTAAGGCAGGACCATGCTTGCTGTGTTAAGGAGGAGAATGTGGCCACAGTGGACTGTGCTGAGAGGAAATGAGGTTGGAGGTTGGAGGAGGGGGAGCAGATCAGCAGGCCCTTGTAGACTGGATTTTGCTTTACAGAGTGAGATGAAACACCATTCGAACTCAAGAATGACTCGATTTGACTCGCAGGTTAGAAGGGTTATTCTGGCTGCTCCCTGGAAACAGACAAAGAGCAGTAGTTCAGAGGCTACTCTATAAACCAGGGAGGAGGTGAAGAATGGTATGTGGAGGAGGCAAAGGGATCAGATATTTTGAAAGTCTTACTGATGGTTGAGACATGGAGATGTGAGAAATGGAAGACAAGTATGATCACAAGACTACGGCCTCGGCAACCGGAGGGATGGTGTTGCCATGTCCTCAGATGGAGGAGGAGAGGGGGGGAGCATTTTGTTTGCGATGCCTCCTCGACACCACATGGAGGTGTTAACGGGCGGGCGGTCACGCTCTGCATGGCAGAAATATTGAATGAAAGGGCTCATGAACATGAGCCTGGAAATCTGGACTGGGGCCAGCCTGTCAGGAGAACAAGAAAGACTAAGCAATCCGCAGCCTATCCTGGAGGCAAAGGGAAGCCAGTGAAGGTTCTATATAGGTGATGATTTATTGCTCAGAAAGATAATTCCAGTAGGAATGTGGACAAGTTTAAAGGAAGAGAAAATAACCACAATGTTAACACAATATCAAAGACAAAAGAAAGTATACAGCGCAGTTGGTGTGGCTGAGTTGGTTGAGCATTGTCCCATGCACCAGGTCGCAGATTCAAGTCCCAGTCAGGGCACATGCCCGGGTTGTGGGCTCCATCACCAGTAGAGGGCATGCAGGAGGCAGCCAATGATGTTTGTCTTTCATAGATGTTTCTATCTCCCTTTCCCCTCCTCTCTCTGAAATCAATAAAAACTTATTTTTTTAAAAAGGATAGTATACACTTTTTATTTAGGAAAATAAACATTGGAGGCTTGAAGGCAGGTTTAGAGCAAAACAGACAGCTTCTAAAGGTGAGGTGGGGGTAACAGAAGGCAAAGCTGACAGCGAGAACAGCGGTGTGGGAGGACACTGGAAATGACTCAGATGTCCAGCTTGTGAAGGAAAAGGGGCTCTCAGAGAGCCCAAGAGTCGGTCAGCAAAGAAACAGAAGGACAGCCAGGAAACAGCAGCCTCACAGGAACTTAGGAAATGGATAAAACGGTCAACATCACCTGCCCCCAGTTTGATAAGGACGAAAAAGAGGTCATACGACTTAGCAGTTAGAGCTGGAGTTTATGTAAGGGGTGGGGATAGACACCAGGGGCTGATGAGCAGATGTGAACACCGTTTCAGTTAACTTGGAGGTGAGGGAAAGGAGCGGCAGTTTGAAAGCTAGGTCAAATCAAGAAAAGATTACTTTCTTCTTTTGTATAGAAAATGACTTTAATGTGTTTGTGGGTAGAGAAGAAATTGACTGCAAAGGGGGTGTTGAAAAACCCAGCAAGTAGAGTGAAACAAGACCTTAGGAAAGAAAGGTGCCCAATCGTCATCAAGGGTCAAGAATATGGAAGAGCTCGTAGGGTGGTGACGTTTAAGATTAACTACGGAGAGTGGCTTTGCCAGGGAGTTGTCTCACATGACTTAGCCCTACTTAGCCACTTGGGTCTGAGTCCTTCTGAAAGCATATAGGAAAAGGGATCCATATGTAATCGTATAACTGGCTGTTAATGAGCAATGTGTAAGAAAGTGACAGAAAAGTGGTTGAACGGTCTGAATGAACTTGGAGAGAAAACTGGGAAATCAGTCGAAAACAGGTGATTCAAAAGATTTTAAACCTGCCCAGCAGGCGTGGCTCAATGGGTTCAGCGTTGTCTCATGCACCAAGAAATCACAGGTTCGAGTCCTGGTCAGGGCACATGCCTGGGTTGCGGGCTCGATCCCCAGTAAGGGGCGTGCAGGAGGCAGCCGATAGATGTTTCTCTCTCATCAATGTTTCTATCTCTCTCTCCTTCTCCTTTCCTCTGTCTCTAAAATCAATTTTTAAAAAAGAATTTAGACTAGATAGCAGTCCTGATTTATCTGGAGAAAGACATTCAACTTTCTACTTTTCTACTGAACTTTCTACTTTGCATAGTAGACTAAAGTCATAGAATTTCAAGAACTACAAAAATCTCAACAGAAGAGTAAACATTATCATTAATAAGACAAAAACTAAAAATAAAACGTTTAAATATAAAAACTTACTGCCAACTCCATTTGAACTTCTCAACCTGTTGAAAAATTAAAGTTGTTTAGATAATGCTTTACATTTTTCAGTGATCAAAGAAAGAAAAAGTATGAGAAACAGTAACAATACAGAGTCTATACATATATATGTATGTAGGTGTATCTTTCCTTGAAAGAAAAGTATCAGTTACCTTTGACTCCTATTTTTGTCAATAGAGAAATAATTTACAATTATTTTCATAGAAAAATGAGCACCAGCCCGACTGGTGTGGCTCAGTGGATTGAGCATCATCCCAGGCACCAAGAGGTTGCTGGTTTGATTCCCAGTCGGAGCTCTTGCCTCAGTTGCAGGCTCAATCCCCAGTAGGGGGCGTGCAGGAAGTAGCCGATTGATGTTGACGATTATCTCTCTCATTGATGTTTATATTTCTCTCTCCCTCTCCCTTCCTCTCTCTCATCAATATTTCTGTCTTGCTCTCTCTCCCTTCCTTTCTCTCAAAAAAAAAAAAAAAAAATCAATAAAAAACATTTTAAAAAAGAAAAAAATGAGCACCAGATATGCATATAATTCATCTACTATGTATGACATAAGCTAACTGAAAAGCAGTTGTTGGTTTTTCATTTTAATTAACTATGTAATCACACAACATATATAAAATTTAACTGTGTTAAATTTAAACTGTGTTGTTCTGGATCAAATGAACTAAAGGTTCCTGAACTATGCAAAGCAGATGCCTACAAATGAGTCTGCGAATGTCTCCAGACAAGCCCACAAATCAGTTTCATTAGCCCACGTGGCCCCTAAATGTTCACAGGCTGAAATTAGCTCTCTCTAAATTGCTACTTGCCCTGCTCAAGTGCACAAGTGGCCATGGGCAAATCTGAGTAAATGCATTCAAAGAATATCTCCAGTATTTAAGGTCCTTGGGGAAGAAAGTACAATTACAATTATTGTTTAATTTCATGCTGCAATAACCCACTACTCTGCATGAGCACAGACTACTGAACCTTTGGGAGAAGAAAGTCACATGTGCTTTAAGTCTAGAGGCAGGCTTGCACAGAGAGACCCTGATGGGAGCTCCGGGAAAAAAGGTCATCTCTGACGGAGCTGACTGCAAACTAAAGTCGCATTGCACCTGCTTGGTATCAACGGCCGCTTTATAGAATAGATGGTTTTGAATTCTTCTTGTATGGCTGTATGGATAGTTAATTTGATGATATAACTGGAAAAGTCCAGAAAACACTACAAACAAAATAGAATAATCATTTAGTTTTAAAATTGTATTTCTCTGAATAAAATGACAGGATACTTAGGTCTACAACCATGTGAGTTCTCTATCTCCTCTCTAGATAATGTCTCCCTATCTTTCTTTTTCTCTCTGTCTCCATCCTTTTCAAAGAGTTACTGACTTGACAAACACTTGGGATGTTAATGAAAAAACAGAAATAAAAAATGTCAACCTCATAAACAACAACAAAATTTTTTTCAAACAATTATTTTTAAAACTAAAGAGAAACACATCATCAGGTCTTTAGTCTCAGGCTTTTTCTTTAGGTACAACAGCTTCATGTCTACTCTTGAATACAAATTTCACAACTTCATCCATCAGAAATGCTCTGACACTCATTCCCCATGTGCTTTTTCCACTTGGGAAAGATAAATGGTCAATATGTTGTAGTAGTAGGTGCTACATTATATTCTTAAAGGGCGCTGAGATGAGGTCTTGTTGCCAGAAACAGGAAAATTTGGAGAATAAATGCTTTTCAGTTCTTGCTAACAAAAGAAAAATATTGTCATTGAATAAACACTGTTTTTTTTTTTTTCCTTTTATGACCAAATTAAACTTGTGTTCCCAATCAAGTTAAAAATATGCCCTGGATCCTCGGGTGAGGATCACACACACACACACACAATATGCACAATATGCCGTGACCGGTTTGGCTCAGCAGTTAGAGCATCGGCCTGTGGACCAATGAGTCGCGGCTTCAATTCTCAGTTGCAGTTTGTCCCTGGCCCTGGTCAAGGTCATGCGAGACGCAACAACTCAATGTGTCTCTCTCATATCGATGTTTCTCTCTCTCTCTCTCTCTATCTCTCTCTCTCTCTCTCTCTTTCTGTCTCTCCACTTCTCTCTCCTTTTCTCTCCACTTCTCTCTCCCTCCCTCCCACTCTATCTGAAGATAAATAGAAAAATATCCTCATATAAGGATTAAAAAATTAAATAAATAAACAAATAAAAACAGAAGCCAAAGGTGCTAAAGACAGAGATTTAGAAATACTCACAGGGAGTTCCTATCGAGGCTGGTGCTCCAGGAATTCTGCAAAGAGTTTTTTCTCAGATCCTGAGCAAAAGGGAAAGGTCATTATATGTTCACCCAACATTCTCCCACCCCAAGCTTTCAATAACATGTTTGCAAAGCACACTCCTTGGAAAGTATAATCCTTTTTTATTTTTCCTCCTCTTCCTGTAGCTCATTATTTCTCTTTTACTTAACATACTAAACCTAGGCTAGGATGATGCATAATGTTAGAACAAAATCCAAGTAACTCAATCTGTTGAATGACATTACCTTTATGATGACAGCAAAGAGAAAATGTATTGTTTAAAGGATTTTACAGAAGTGAGAGTGAACATATAACATCAAAAAAAAGTGATGGTCAACACTGACAGGAAATATCAGTCACTACATCATTATGTCCTATCATCAGTAGATTATTGTTTCAGTTAATTATTTAGAATAACCTTACCCTGGAATTATCTCATTCTATCTCCCATTTAGACTCAACTCTTGTTTCTTGAAATTTAGAACACTCCCATCATTACTCTAGGCATTTTCATTGGTGTTATTTTTTGTCATCCACTATCAACAATCTCACAAGAACGGCATTAGCTCCATTTGAGAGATACAGCTATGGAAGCTCAGTGGTTATTGTGGTACACAGCTTTGAAACCTAGGAAGTGGCAGAGCCAGGATTGGACAGGGTAGACAGGTCCCTGCCTCCAATTACCTTCAAACAATATTACATTTTGTTATCAAAACCTTTCACAGGTTGCATTTCTAGAACATCTGAGGCCATTAGTATACATTCATACAGGTAATGTGTACATAGTTCCCAGGTTGGAGATAATGTTCAAACCAAACCAAAATTAGATTTTTGGCTTAGTCTAACTAGATCACATTCCCTACACAGAAAGTAAAGTGGGCACATTTTTGTAGATGGTAAGAAAAACAGAGTGCAAAATAGGAGGGCCTCAGTGTTGGAGAAACACTGAGGTCCTTTACCCTGCAATGCCCAAATCCCCTCCAACACATCTGCAAAGAAGTTTGCTCAGCTTGTTTGACTAACCACACTGAGGAACTTAGCACTTCCAGAAATAAACCATTCCATCCTTGGAAAGCTCTACTTGCTAAATATTCCTCCTCGAATTGGGCTGAAATCTGTCTCCCAGTAGTTTCTATATGTTGATTCTAGCTATACCTCTTAAAAGCGTATTGAAAATAGTTTCCAAAATTCCTGAGTTCTTTCTCTTCCATGCCAACAGTGCACAGGATAAATTATTGGGTGAAGAGACAAACTGCAGAAAGAAGAACAAGGGATGCATAAAGTGTAGAGGTGGGAGAAGAAAACTGAACAAATATGCAAAGCAAAGATTTAAATGTAATATGTAGAAGCCAATTAAAGGACATAAAGGTAAAACAGAGAGTCAAGGAATTATGTTGTGTGCATATATGTTTTTCTACAAAGTAGCAAATGCAAAATTTTACCTCTTGAGACTGCTTTAGATAATCACTGACTTGCACAGCATGCCGCTCGATTTCTTTAGTTTTCATTTGCTGGTATATGTTAGGTTCTAGACCTTGTTTAAAAAAAAAAAAGAAAAAAAATACAGAATACATGAAAATGTGTTACTTTCAAATGAAATGATGTGAACAGAGTGTATTCGTCTAAATTTGAATATAGTTTGTTTTTTTTCCTTTTGGTCAAGTTTTACCAAGATTCCCGTGTCCTTATTTTTCTCAAGTGGTTGAAAGCTATGTATCTTATTTCTATTCTTCAATAGTTACCTTGACATTTATAACATTTACTTCTCTATCAAGTCAAGAATTAAATTATCCATAACCTGTCCTATAAAACAATGCCTTCTGTATATATTTTACGCTAACCTTGCCCTGCACCCTACCATTCATGCTTTATTTAAAATACCTGAAGTTTTAGTTCCAAATTGTTGAGAATCCTTCCATAACAACTGTATCAAGCATCATAGTGGGCCACTTAAAAAAAAGAGAGACAAAACAAAAGGAAGATAGAAAGAAATGCCAGCAAATAGATTTAATTTTTAGACTTTTCTTTAAAAAGATGATGAGAATCATTATTGATATTATTATTTTTTTATACCTGGTACCTACAGAGTCACTGGCATATAGTAGTTGAGAATAAGTATAAGTATAATTCTGAGAATAATACTTATTAAGAGTCCCTGACTAAACATAGGAAATAGCAGTTGTATTTTCTTTGGGTGGGGGGCGAGGAGAAAGAAGGGGAAATTGTATTGTGTAGGCGGTGGACAGTGCCCTCTATAGGAATGCTGATTCCCCACCCCCCCGCCCCGTCTCCTTGACTGTCTAGCCCACTTAATAGGAATGACAGCAATTTACAGTTACAATTACAAAGTATTTCTCAAGTCACTAAAAAACTGGTTAATTGAAGGCAGTCCAGACACACACTTCCTTAGACTATTTCCCAGCAAAAATGTTACTCGTGCTAGCAGTCTCACATCCGTGAGGTTTGAATGAACACTGCTCAACGTTTCCTGGTGATCCACCTGTGGGATCTTCTAACAGCAGTATCCATAGCAACAGTTATATTTTCTTTCTAATGGTTTTGTGCTGAAAAAAAGTACACAAGAAGGACGAAAAAAACCTATCAGAAGAACCACAAAATTTCATATATGATATTTGTTATAATATCATAAAATTATGATAATTCTGGTTGCAATGATAGCAGAGTATCATAATTAAAATAAAATACCTATAGAAAAAGCTAAAGAACGTACGTTTCCTTTTCATTGTTAATTTCCTCAGAACTTTTATTTAAAGAGAACTACCTAACAGGGCATCTCCCCACCCTCAAACTTTTATTTATTTTTAAATTCTTTTCAATTAACTCGTCTTGTACAGGTTTCAAAAAAACAAGATTTTCAACTCATGACATGCTTCAAGGAAGACACTGGGTCTCTTTCCCTCCTCATGCTAGCCAGGCACCCTCTGGCCTATTTCCCTAGGTCTCGTCTGCCCACTGATCATCGGACTTAATGAGATTTTTTCCCAGACCCCTCTGCCACCCTCCTCCTTCTGTTTGAAATTCACTGGGGACATAATTTAATAATTTGAGGGGAAGGAGGGTGGGTGAAATGGGTGAAGGTGGTCAAGAGGTACAGACTTCCCAGGGACAAAACATACAGCATGATGACTATAGTTAACAATACTTTATTATGTATTTAAAAGTTACTACGAGAGTAAATCTTTGAGGTCCTCATTAGAAGAAAAAAAAAATGTAGCTATGTGGAGATGAACGTTAATTAAACTTGTTATTCACCAATACATCGCCTAGTGCAAGAGAAACAAAGGGAAAAAATAATAATTGGGGCTACATCAAACTTAAAAGCTTCTACATGGCAAAGGAAACCAGCATCAAAATGGAAAGGGAACCCCCTCTTTGGGAGAACATATTTGGCAATGATACATCAGATAAGGGGTTAATATCCAAAATATATAAAGTACTCATACATCTCAAAAAAAGACAAACAGTCCAATTAAAAAATGGGAAGAGGACCTAAATAGACACTTCTCCAAACAGGACATGAAAATGGCCAAGAGACATATGAAAAAATGTTCATCGTCACTGATCATCAGAAAGATGTAAATTAAAATGACTATGAGGTATCATCTCACACCTGCCAGAATGGCTGCCATCAATAAATCATCAAACAAGTGCTGGTGAGGATGTAGAAAAAAAGGGGACTCTAGTACACTGTTGGTGGGAATGCAAACTGGTACAACCACTATGGAAAACAATATGGTGTTTCCTCAAAAATTTAAAATGGAACTGCCACCCAGCCAGTGTGGCTCAGTGGCTGAAAGTCAATCCATGCACCAAGAGGTCACCAGATCAATTCCCAGTCAGAGCACATGCCTAAGTTGTGGGATAAATCCCCAGTGGGGGACATGCAGAAGGCAGCTAATGGATGTTTTCTGTCATCGATGTTTCTCTCTCTCCCTTTCCTTTCCTCTCTCTTTAAAATCAATAAAGAAAAATAAATAAATAAAAATGGAATTGCCATTTGACCCAGTAATTCCACTTCTAGGAATATATCCTAAGAAGCTTGAAACACCAATCGGAAAGACTATGTGTACCCCTATGAACACACAATGGAATATTATGCAGCTGTAAAAAGAAAGATCTCTTTTTTTTTTTTTTTTTAATCCTCATCCGAGGACATTTTTCTATTTTTTGTACGGACAGAGTGGAAGGGAGAGAGAGGAAGAGAGAGGGAAACATCGATGTGAAAGGGACACATCGAGTGGCTGCCACCCGCACGACCAACCAGGGCCGGGGACAAACTGCAAACAAGGTACATGCCCTTAGCTGGAACTGAACCCGGGCCTCTCTGGACCGCAGGCGGACGCTCTAACCGCTGAGCCAAACCGGCCAGGGCAGAAAGATCTCTTATCCTTTGAGACAACATGGAGGGATCTGAAGAGTATTATGCTAAGCAAAATAAGCCAGCCAGAGAAAGACAAGTATCACATGATCTCACTTATTTATGGAATGTAATGAACAAAATAAGCTGATGATCAAAACAGATCCAGAGCCCTGGCCAATTTGGCTCAGTAGTTAGAGCATCAGCCTTCAGTCCAAAGAGACCCGGGTTCGGTTCCTGCTAAGGGCACGTACCTCGGTTGCAGTTTGTCCCCAGCCCTGGTTGGTCATGTGGGTGGCAGCCACTCAATATGTCCCTTTCATGTCGATGTTTCTCTCTCTCTCTTTCTCTTCCTCTCTCTCCCTCCCACTCTATCTGAACAAAAAATGAAAAAAAAAAAAAAAAAAAGTCCTCGGGTGAGGATAAAAAAAAAAGATTCAGAGACATGGAAGTAGGGAACAGACTGAGAGAAGGGGGGTGGGTGGGGCAATGGGAGGAGATAAAGCAGAGAACTTCTATGCATGTATGTATAACCAACAGACACAGACAATAGTGTGGGGAAAGCAGGAGGGGGTGGGAGGAGAGGAGGGGGGTCAATGGGAGAAAAAGGGGATATTTTCAACAGTAAAAATAAAAATAAAAAAATAAAAAAACTTGTAATTATTACAATATATACATATATCAAATCACTATGTTGTATACCTAAAACTAATACAATGTTATATATCAATTATAACTCAATTAAAAAGAACATAAATAATTTAAGTAAGAATGATATAATAACCTAAATATCAGATAATTTATTATAATATATAATATATACACAATATACATATGTTAATAAATAAAATGAATACATTTATAATTGGTCCTAGAATCATATCTTTAGGTATGGGATTTGATTTATTCAAAATTTAGGGCTCTAGTAAACTGTGTGATTTAAGCTCTCGAGCCATATCTGTAAATTGAGGTTGTTCTGAATAATTTAATGTCTAATGTCTCCTTCCACATGGAGCCCACTAATTCTCGGTGATTTAACAGACAATTGAGTATTTTTAGAAATATAAATCAGGATTTCTCAACCTTGACATTGACACTTTTGGCACTTTTGGCTGGATAATTCCTTGTTGGGGTGGGTCTGCCCCATTGTAGGATGTTGAGCAGCATCCTACACGTGGTTGAAAATCACCAACTATGTCCTGGCCGGTTTGGCTCAGCGGTTAGAGCGTCGGCCTGCGGTCCTGAGAGACCTGGGTTCGGTTCCCGCTAAGGGCATGTACCTCGGTTGCAGTTTGTCCCCGGCCCTGGTTGGGTCGTGTGGGTGGCAACCACTCGACGTGTCCCTTTCACGTCGATGTTTCTCTCTCTCTCTCTCTCCCTCCCACACTTTATCTGAACAAAAAATAGAAAAAATGTCCTCGGGTGAAGATAAAAAAATAAAAAAAAAAGTATCTTAAAAAAAAAAAAAAAAAGAAAAGAAAATCACCAACCATAAGAGCAAGTTTAGAGAAGCTTTAAAGAAGCATAATACATAGATTTCAATACAACATTTATTTCTACCATCAGTTTGGTATTTCAAATAATTTTAAATCTTCGTAAGTCCTTAATTGCATAGTCCTTTCTGTTTAAAAAATTTAGTACATGCTTTTGTTAGCTAATGCAAGAAGTTCAGAGTTCTAGTCATTGTTCTCAGCTCTGTTCATAGTCTGCCCCCATGTTACCTATCCAGGCATATTTCACATTCTCTTCCTAGATCACAGTCTTCATTCCTAGCTGGCTGGCCCACCTTCCATCCTCTAACACACCATTATTATTAAGCATAAGGGATACTTGCCCATGGAATAAACATTATTTGTAGGCAGTAGTAAAAAAAAAAAGAACTACAACTCAATCCACTGAGTACTGCGTAACTGTCCCTATCAATGTCACATGAACCCTAAGACTATAAAATTAGACAAAACCCCCTAAAATCAGACTAAATGAACACTGAGACAGGTTCAACAGCTCTGAATTAAACAACTATATACATCTTAATTTTTCTTTTCTAGATTCTGACAACTATTTCTATAAACACATGGAAATGTCCCTTCCCTAAAAATTAAAAACAGAAAAGAGCTATTCTCCTAAAAGGGTACTGCCACCCTTTTATTCCCTCATCTCCACTTGAAAGAACATCAGGAACCGCTTGTGGTCTAAAGACCATGGGTTCAGGAGACTCTGCCAGAGGCTGGGGTCCCAGGGTGCACACTGTCACGTACTTAGCTGACTACACTTGGACACTGTCAGCCAGCTCTTGTTGCACTGTTCTTCAGAGACGTTATTTTCTCCTGGCTCTGAATTCGACTGGTCACTCTGAAAGCAGGCATCAATTGTTATGACCTGGAGAGAAAGACACTTGTTAGAACACAGTGACACTAATCTGAAGACACTGAGTCACGTTAATAGAGGGGCTCTGGTGAAGAGCACTGGTTGTTAACATTGGCTGCACATGAGAATAGCCAGGAAGCTCTGAACTCCCATCATCCATGCTGACAGTTCACAAGCATCCGTGTGACTCTGCTAATTGCAGTCATGATTGAGAACCAGGGTGGGAAACAGGGCTTCTCAGACTTAACTGTGCATCAAAATCACTCAGGATTGTACTAAACCACAGATCATTGGGCCCCACCCCCAGGATCTATAATTCAATGGTCTGGGAGGAGGGAAAATGTGGATCTCTAGTAAGTTTCCATGCTAATAGAAGACCACAATTTGAGAACCACTGGAATATAGAAGGAAAAAAAAAAAAAAAAAAACAAGCTTGGATCTGAAAGAACTAGTGTTGAAATTCTAGCTCTGTCATTTAGAAGCTACATGAACTTGGGCAAATATACTAATGTCTAGGAGCCCCATCCCCTTTATCATTAAAATAATAGTCAATAATAATGGCGCCCTGGGTACTTCCCAGGCGCAGAGAAGAACTGGGGTAAATTGATGAACTACAGAGCAATAAGCAAATGCAGGTTATCACTACTTGAACTCAGTTGCAATTCCTAGTTGAAATCTGGCCATTTTTAACTATTTCAAAAAATAAATCTACTTAAATTCATATTTCATGGGATTTCAGCAACTCATGGCATTTTTCCTGAAAAAGTCTTCTCTATCAAACGAAATCTCTCCCCTAAAATGTGATTTCACATCATTTCCTCAGTATTTATCTCTTTATTTCTGCTTCTCATTCTAAAAAGAGCAGAAGTGCTTTAAAAAATACATCAAGTTCATAAGGGTGTCAGGTACACATAGGGAATATAGTCAATAATATTGCAATAACTATATAAGATGCCACATGAAAATGTCACGGGGAACATTTTGTAAGGTATGTAATTGTCTAACCACTATGCTGTACACCTAAAAATAATATTGAATGTAAACTGTAACTGAAAAATAAAATTTTAAAATAAAAGTTATAAATAATACGAAAAACTGCATCAAGATTGTTATATAAGCCCTGGCCGGTTTGGCTCAGCGGTTAGAGCATCGGCCTGCGGTCCTGAGAGACCCAGGTTCAGTTCCCGCTAAGGGCATGTACCTCGGTTGCAGTTTGTCCACGGCCCTGGTTGGTTGTGTGGGTGGCGACCACTCGATGTGTCCCTTTCACTTCGATGTTTTTCTCTCTCTCTTCCTCTCTCTCCCTCCCACTCTACCTGAACAAAAAATGGAAAAATGTCCTCTGGTGAAGATGATAAAAAAAAAAAAAAAAAGATTGTTATATGAAAAATACATATAGAATAGAAAAGTGAAGCAGGGCATTAAGATCATGACAGGTGGCTCTGGCCAGTTTGGCTCAGCGGTTAGAGCATCAGCCTGCGGTCCCGAGAGACCCGGGTTCAGTTCCCGCTAAGGGCATGTACCTCGGTTGCAGTTTGTTCCCGGCCCTGGTTGGTCATGCGGGTGGCAGCCACTCGATGTGTCCCTTTCACGTCGATGTTTCTCTCTCTCTCTCTCTTCCTCTCTCTCCCTCCCACTCTACCTGAACAAAAAAAATGGAAAAATGTCCTCGGGTGAGGATAAAAAAAAAAAAAAAAAAGATCATGACAGGTGAAGTCCCATACAGATCTAAGGTTTCCTAACAATAAATACAAAGATTCACTAAATGGAAATAAAAACATAATATATCAGAATTTGTAGGCTATAGCTAAAACAATGATTATAGGGATTTTTATAGCACTAAATGCCTATATTAGAAAAGAAGAAAGTCTCATATCAATAACCAAAGTTCTTCCCTTAACAAACCACAACAAAAAGAGCAAATTAAATCCAAAGTAAACAGAACAGAGGAAACAATAAAGATAAGAACAGAAATCAATAAAATAGAATCCAGAGGGGAAAAAACAATGAAACTAAGAGTCAGTTCTTTGAAAAGATCAATAAAACAGATAAACTGTAGCCAAACTGATCATGAGACAAGTAAAGAATACACAAATTTAAAATATCAGGAATGAGAAAAATGATATCACTACAGATCCCATAGACAGTAAAGAATAATAAGACAATACTATAAACACTTTATACCAATAAATTCAATAACTTAGGTGAAATGGACAGGTTCCTTGGAACATACAAAGCTCACTCAAGAAGAATCTGATAACCTGAACAGCCCTATATCTATTACAGAAATTGAATTTGTAGTTAAAAACTTTCCCACAAAGATGATTGATTTAATATTCTAAACATTAATTCTAACATTATAAAAAGAATCAATATAATTCATTATATTAACATAATAAAAAGGAAAAGTCATCTGATCATATAAGTAGATGCAGAAAGAGCATTTGACAAATGCCAGCATCTGTTAATGATAAAAATTTCTTAGAAAACTAGAAATAGAAGGGAAGTTCTTCCACCTGATAAAAGGTATCTCCATAAAAAATCTATAGCTAACATCATGCTTACTGGTAAAATACTAAATGCTTTTCCCCTAAGAGCAGTAACAAGAAAAGGATATCGGCTTTCACCACTTCTACTCAGTATTATACTAGAAGTTCCGGTCAGTGTAATTGGGCAAGAAAAAGAAATAAAACACATCTAGATTTGAAAGGAAAAACTAAAACTATCTTCATGTGAAGAAAACATAATCTTTTATATAGAGAATTCTAAAGAAGCAACAACAAAACAAAACCTATTCAAAATAAATAAGTTTAGCAAGGTTGTAGGATAGAAAATCAATATTGTAAATATATTTCTATATGCTACCAACAAATAATCAGAAATTAAAATTTTAAATTAATTGCAGTTATAATAAATTAAAAATATATTAAATACTTAGAGATACATTTTTTAAATCATGTGCAAGACCTGTATACTGAAAACTAGAAAACATTGGTGAGAGAAATTAAAGATCTAAATACATAGAGAGAGATGTCAAGTTTATGGATCAGAAAACACATTGTTAAGATGCCAATTCTCCCCAAATTGATTTACAGCAATTCCATTACTCCAGTGGTCTTCTCTATAAGAACTGACAAGCTGATTCTAAATTTACGTGAAAATGCAAAGAAACGAACATAACCAAAACAACTTTAAAAAGAACAAAAACTTGCCCTGGCCTGTTTGGCTTGGCGGTTGGAGCGTCGGCCTGCAAACCAGAGAGACCAAGGTTCGATTACTGCTAAGGGCATGTACCTCGGTTGCAGTTTGTCCCTGACCCCGGCTGGGGTCATGTGGGTGGCAACCACTCTATGTGTCCCTCTCACATCAATGTTTCTCTCTCTCTCTCTCTCTCTCTCTCTCTCTCTCTCTCTCTCTCCCCTCCTTTCTCCCTCCAGCTCTATCTGAAGATAAATGCAAAAATGTGCTCCAGTGAAGATTAAATAAATAAATAAATAAAAAGAAGGAAAACTTGACAGACCTACCACACATGGTTTCAACACTTATTATAAAGTTATAACATTTGAGATAGTGTGACATTGGTCAAAGATAAACAAAAATAAATAGAACAGAGCAGAGCTCAGAAATAGATTCACACATATTGTGTATCTATATAGTCAATTGATTTTTGGTCAATTTTTTCCAAAAATGTGCGATAATTTTCTGTTATAACTGTAGACCCTGAAAAAGAAGATGCCTATTATAAATCATTCCTGGTGGCTAATTGGGCTAAAATTTTAAAAACAGAGCCTAGCAGCCATTTCTACACAGGGGCCTCTCGTGCAAAGTACACTTCAGGGAGAAGCCTGCACCCAGCACCCTGCCTCCCGCCCTGAATTGCCAGCCTGTGTTCCTGCCATCTGAGCCAGCCCTGTAAGAGTTTCTGAAATTGTATTTCAACCAATAGGACTGAGGCTTTCCCCCTCCAATCATTGCTGCGCAGCTATGTGCCCCCCCCCCCATCAGCCTCTTCACTGACCAATCAGAGCAGCTCCATTCAAAACCGTGCCTTTTGACTAATCAAACTGTGAGAATTCAGAGTCCTCATTGGTGTGAGGACTTAAGGTTCAGAGACCAAGGGCAGGAACTTCTGTCTAAAGAAGTCAGCTCCCTCCTGGTTCACAGAGCACACTTCCCCATTTCACAGAAAAATGAAGACTGCGTTTCCCCTGCCAGAACTGAAATACCAAAGACCCCCGCCTGAGCAAAGCAGAGCAGAACAGCAGAGGAGCAGAGTGGACCGGAGCAGAGTGGACAGGACCAGACCAGAGCAATGGAGCAGAGCAGAGATGTCTCCCCAGAGAGGGTCCTCCCCCGAGGGCCTCCTCACAGATGAGCCATTTCATCCACGCTGCTTCATAACTGAGCATTTGCACTGAATACTTTTTCTTCCTCACAGCATCCCAAACTGGGAATTCCTGTGGGTGTTGAATTGGTGCCAAGAGCCACAGGTTGACATAACTCAGTAAGAAAAAGATCATCTTTTCACCAAAATAAAAAGCTAGAAAAATTATTATCAGTATTCCAGAAAGGAAGGAAAGAAGGAAGGGAGCTCAGAGTTACCTATGACCATGTACAAAAATTAAATCAAAATGGGTGCTAGATCTAAATCTAAGAGCAAAAACTATAAAATGCCTAGGAGAAAATAAAAGAGAAACTCTTAGTGACCATGGGTTTGGAAAATTTTCTTAAATATGATATAAAAAGCACAGACTGTCCTGGCCAGCGTGGCTCATTTGGCTGGGCGCTGACCAGTGCATGGAAGAGTCACTGGTTCAATTCCTGGTCAGGGCACACACCTGGATTGTAGGCTCGATCCCCAGTAGGGGGCGTGCAAGAAGCAGCAAATCATTGCTTCCCTCTCACAACAATGTTTTTCCCTCTCCCTCTCTAAAAATCAGTAAAAATATTTTTAAAAAATAAAAGCACAGACTATAAAAGAAAAAAAATCAGCCCTGGCCAGTTTTGCTCAGCGGTTAGAGCATCGGCCTGCGGTCCAGAGAGACCCGGGTTTGGTTCCCTCTAAGGGCATGTACTTCAGTTGCAGTTTGTCCCCATCCCTGGTTGGGTCGTGCCGGTGGCAGCCACTCGATGTGTCCCTTTCATGTCGATGCTTCTCTCTCTCTCTCTCTCTCTCTCTTCCTCTCTCTCCCTCCCGCTCTATCTGAATAAAAAATGGGGGAAAAAAATCGAACATTGGACTTCGTCAAAATAAAAATGTATATGCTTCAAAGGGCATTTATGAAAAGTAAAAGGCAAGCCACCAACTGAGAGAAAATATTTTCAAAATATAAATCCAACAATGTGCTTATATCTAAAATATAGTAAAAAAAAAAAAATCTTACACCTTAATAACAACACAATTTTTTAAATGGACTAAAGATCTGAAAAGACATGTCTCCAAAATATAAATATGGATGGCAAGTAAGTCCATGAAAAGACACCTAGCAGCTCTAGTCACTACAGGATGCAAATGAAACCCTGTTGGAGACCACTACACACCCACCAGTATGGCTAAAACTGAAAGGACCGAGCACACGGAGGGCTGGTGAGGCTGCGGATCGCGGGAATGTTCATAAACTATTACTCAAACGGGTGGGGATGCAAAATGATACCACTTTAGAAAGCAGTTTGGAAGTTTCTCCTAAAATGAAACAACTGCTTACCATATGACTCTGACATTCCACTCCTAAATATTTACCCGAGAGAAATTAAAACTTACATGCCCACAGGGATTTGCGCACAAATGTTCACAACAGCTTTGTTTGGAACAGCCCAAAACTGAAAATAAGACAAATGTCCTTCAACATGTGAGCTGATACATGAGTTGTGGCACATCCACTCTGATGACTCCTAAATGGGTATCTTCACAGTGTTATTTTGTGTGTGTGTGACACTTTGGAATGGAGAGAAAACAAGCTAAGATTGGCTACTGCCTCAATTGCCAAAAACATACAAATCACTCACTGGCACCTGCAGTTCTTGTGTTTTCTTCTTTTTCCTTGACGATCTCCTGTCCTTGGTTAGCATTTTTGCTTTGCTCCATGCCGAATGCCCTCCCTCTGAAGATCTTGAATGACCTATAAAGGAAATGGTTTACCTGAGGAGGTTTAAGGCAGTGTGGGGAACTGTTCTGTTTTACCACAAGGATGAGGGAATGGGGAGAATGAGAAGCAGTGGAAAAGTCATTGACTTTTTAAAAACTATAGCAATGCAAAGAATTGAATACTGGTATTTTTTTTAAGTGTTGACTTCTTACTTTTAATCTTGCAGATCTTCAAATCCTCCTCCTTGTGGAATCTCAAACTATGACTCCCAAAGGAGGGCCTGTCTCTGCACAGAGGATTAATCCAGAAGGATGTGTTTGGCTGGAGCCTTGGTCCCACCGCTGAGCAACCACTGCCCTGGGCCAATCCTGCAGAGTTATCACCGAGGGATCTGCCCCAGATCTGCCTCTGGCATTGTCCACTCTCACTGGAGTTGCTGTTATGTGTGGAGGCCAAGCAGGTTTGCCATTTTTTCTTGGTGCTTAACACACCAGGTTCATCACCTTCTGAAAATGCCCAGTTCACATATCCACCTCCAGTTTGCATGCTCTCAGCTTGGGAAGGGAGAGAGGTTGCTTTCATGGGTGCAGGTGTGCAAACCAAAGTGGTTAGAACCTGCTCCCCCCTGTCTCGCCTGGCTAGTATTGGAGCAACCGGCTCACGCTGCCCCTCGTGTTCAGCCACTGAGACCTGGGCTGAAATTTCCGGGGTCTGCCAAGTCAGATGAACAGGGACTTCATTCTGGGTGACTTGGTCAGGTGCCAGCACACCTGTACCTGCTTCCACAGATGATCTGGACAGAGGCAAGTCAGTTTCTGCAGAAAAAGGAACTTGCTTGAGATAAGAAGGGACCAGAAGAAATTGGTCATACTTTGAGTGTGCTTGCCTATCAAGGCAAGAAGTAACTATAGTATTTTCGGCTTGTTGCTCTTCTTGGTCATTTCTTGCATTTGAAGTCTCTCTCTGACTGTCTGTAATCTCAACAAGGGGTCCCCTCTGCGCTCTTGGGGGATGCCGGCCTCTGGCCAGGCTCCTCAGCAAAGAAGGAGGCATGCTGTAATACTGGTATTTCTTCTGCCCAGACATCTCCATGCTGCCTAGAACCTCTGCACAGATGACATTGCTCCAGCTGTGGGGAGGTTTTCTGCAAGTAGAAAGCTTTCTGTTGGCCAGGAGAGCCCCATCCTCTTGTAAGGTGTCAACAGCAGAAAGGACGTTTAGGGTATCCACTGTCAGGGCAGAGAGGTCCTGCAGGTGGCCCACCTGGCTGTCCAAAGACAGTAAGGAGTCCTTTATAAAAGATACCTTTTCACTCATTTCCTTCAGTTGGAAGTACATCTCCGTAACCCTAATGGTGAAGGGAGGGAGAAAACCAATAAACACATTAAGCCAATGGGAACTGGCCTTATTCCCTTCCTGTCCTTCTTCCATCCTTAGGTGGCCCCTCAGCCTACGCTGCTTCCCCCATGTCTTCTGCCATCTTCTGTCTCGAATCTATCCTCATTCCAGGCCATCTCACCCACTCCTATAATTCCCACTATCACCCCAATGCGGAAAAACTGTAAATCTACATTAGCAGTTATTGCTAATCTTTCAGAACCTTATTTCCAGCTTCCTGCTAATGATCCCTTTTATCATCTCACCAATCAGCCCATTTGTATTAACGTATATATTCATTCATTTATATGACCAGCATTGGGTTATATCTTATTGGCAAGCACTGTTATTTTGGTAAGGAAAGGAGATCCTGAGGGAGAAACCAGAATGATAGGCACAGTGTCGATAATCAAATATGCAATTAGAAAAAGAAAAAAATTTTATAGATCTTCAAAAAAAATTCCAAGTCTACATTTCAAATAGGTTTCCAAAATTTTAAATCAAACCTACTTTAAGAGACTACATCTGCCTGGCTGGTGTGGCTCAGTGGCTGAGCGTTGACCCATGCACCAAGAGGTCGCTGGTTCGACTCCCCATCAGGGCACATGCCAGGGTTGTGGGCTCAATCCCCAGTCAGGGATGTGCAGGAGGCAGCTAGTAGATGTTTCTGTCTCTCCCTCCCTCTCCCTTCCTCTCTAAAATCAATGAAAACGTATTAAAAAAAAAACAAAAAACCTACATCAGAAAAAAACCTGAGGAAGTTTTTAAAAAATTACTTCAACTGCTTTAACCCAAATTATGATGTTCAGCCAGTGATTGGTTTCAAAGCAACACAAGACGTGTTCCGCTATGCAAGTACAGAAGTAAATTTCCAGTAGAGTCAAATAAAATGCAGCAGTTGATTTCATTTAGAGAGAAAAAAAATGAAATATTGGTTAATATTTATCTGTATATATCTCTGTGTAGATATCTCTATGTGGGGGTGGGTTTTGTTTTGTGTCCCCCAAAAGAAATATGTTGAGTTACTAACCCCCAGTACTCCAGAATGTGACCTTACTTGGAAACGGGGTCTTTACAGAGGTAATCAAGTTAAAATGAGGTCGTGAGGGTGGGCCCTAAGTCAATATGGCCGGTGTCCTTATAAAAGGGCAAGTTTGAATACAGAGGGCAGACGATGTAAAGACACACAGGGAGAAGACTGCCTTATGACTGGAAGGATACATCTACAAAGCCAAGGATTCCCAGCAAACACCAACAGCTAGAAGAGGTAAGGAAGGACTCTCCCCAGAGCCATCAGAAAGAACATGGTCCTGGCAACATGTTGACTTTGGGATTCTAACCTCCAGAACTGAGACAATAAACTTCTGTTCTTGTAAGACCCCTAGTTTTTGGTACTTTGTTATGGCAACCTGAGGAAACCAATACAGTTGGCTAAGCTTAACAATGAATACAATAAATCACAAAATATATCAGATATGGTTATATAAACAAACTCATAGACATAAAAATATAATACAAAATTTTACAACAAAAAAATAAGTTGGAAATTATTCTAATAAATATGATGAGGTGTTTATATCCCTAAATAAATCAAAGGCTTTTACAAATTGTTGCAGGAAAAAATTACAAGGACTTCAAAGAATGTGAAGAGACAATCCACAAAAGATAAAATACAAAAGATAAGGAAACATGGTAAAATATTCAACCGCATTAAGTAAGCAGAAAAGGATGCAACATTGGAGCATTCCATTAGGCAACATATACAAAGAATTTCACTTTCTAAAGTACACAGATGTTCTTTACATTGAGATAGAATATTATGTATAAAGCCATTAAAAACCATATGTAGCCCTGGCTGGTTTGGCTCAGCGGTTAGAGCATTGGTGTGTGGTCCAGAGAGACCCGGGTTCGGTTCCTGCTAAGGGCATGTACCTTGGTTGCAGTTTGTCCCGGCCCTGGTTGGTCGCGCGGGTGGCAGCCACTCAATGTGTCCCTTTCACATCGATGTTTCTCTCTTTCTCTCTCTCTCTCTCTCTCTCTTCCTCTCTCTCCTTCCCACTTTATCTGAACAAAAAATGGGGGAAAAAAATGTCCTCGGATGAGGATTAAAAAAAAAAAACATATGTAGACTTATTGATAATCATTTCCTTTGGCTGCTTCCGACGGTGGGGATATAGATGTCTGTGATGTTCTGCATCAGATACTTTTAAATGTGGTATAAAACAACTCTGCAACTAGAGAAAAAACTAAAAACATGTTTAGAAAGAATTTTTAATTATTTGAAGAAATGTTTTTGATTTATAAGGTGGGGTGGGGTGGGCGGGGACAAAATACAAACGTGTATAGTTTTAACTAAAAATATATAGAAGACCCATTGGGAAAAGACCAACATTTTCACAGTGGAACCTGGCATAGGATGTTGTTCTTTCTCCCCCCATCCCCATTTTATTCTTCTCATTGGAGGGAGTAAACATTCTAATTTCTCAATAATGAAAATCTTTGAGCAACAAGAATAAAGTAAAAATCGGCAAGAGATGGAATCCAACCAACAGTTTCCTGGCTGATATGATCATATGCAGAAATAAAGTGTTCCCTGGGGACTGGACGAAGCAGTGACTATACATGAAGAGCTATAGCAAGTGTTTCCCAGAATAGTACTAGACATCCCCTCTCCGGGTAGCACCTCAAATCCCCCCTCCTTCTTTCTGGGAGCTTTGCACAGAGGGATTAAATAATAAAGAGGGTGTTATTTTCCATTTTATTATAGTCTGTGTGGGTGGCGCCTTCTCTTTCTTGCGCCTGCTATAGAATTCAACTTCTATAACTCCACAGAGGCTTAATAAATACCTCCTGACCTCTGGAACCTGCAAAACTAGACTTGGCAAGGCTGATGAGGGAAAGAGCACAAAATATATGTATATTGTTCTCCAAATATGCTTAATTAGAGCCTCTCTATCCAGTGCACTGTTTCATCTAATTCAAAAACAGTACAGTCTGAACAGCAGTAATAGAGACTCATTAAGTTCCATTAGCAGGAGCCACACCGAATGGACACAATAGATACCAGCCACTATTCTCGGACACAGGTAACACGCTGCAATACAGACCTGTTAGACAAATAACCGGTCACCCTCAACGCTGGTTCTCTTGCTTTTATGGGCACTTATTTTCTAAAGCATTACGTCCTGTGAAACACATTTTAATTATATTCCTCAACCACAAGCGACATTAATTTAATCCATCCTATTAGTCCTCTGACATGCAAAACACATTCTTATCATTTCTGCTTCCCCTGTGCAAGGTGTGAGGGTGGAGAGGAGACCTGGGTGTTTCTTGTGGTATTGTGGGCCTTTGGACAAGATAGTTTAAAATGAGATTATAACAAGTATAATTATAATCATCATGATGATTATAATGTCCACGAAGTGGTTACTGAATGCCTGGCATTTCACAAAGACTCTACATTATGACTGTATTTAATCCACATGCCAACTCGATAAGGTAGGCATCACTATTATCCCTTTCGTGAAAAGAGGGACAGTAACATGGCCAGTCACGTGGTCAGTGACGGCAAGAGCCTCAGACTCAGGCAGACCCCCTATTTAATGGCAGTAACCACTGTGCTCCAGCACCGCTCAGCAATTCATCGAGGATTCGGCCAAGGATGCTGCACTACATCAGCATTCCCCAGGCTGGGAGGGCTGTGCTCACAAATGTTCCTCAATAAGGTTTCACAGCCAAATAATGACCAACGTGCTCAAACTAGAACTCTCTACCGAGTCACAACCCACTTTGTGCTACAGTGTTTGCACTTTCTAAAAAATGTAGCATTTTCCAAAGACAATGTACCTGGACATGCTCAATATGGAGACACTCCTAGCAAACATCTTCCTCCAAGAACAGAGAGGGAAATACTGACTCACACAAAGCAGCCAGCACTCCAAATAGAGAAAGGAAGGCATAAAACAGCCGGACAGTGTTCTCCTCCACGTCCACGGCTCACTTATTTCTCTAAGGCCTCCTCTCTCTCCCTCTTCACATGGCTGTTCAGTTACCTGAGAAGGGTGTTCTCCCCTCTCCCACACCTCATTTGCGAGCTCAACAAAAATAATCAGGCAAAAGTAGGACTGGTGAAATAGCTCTGTCAAGAGGGAACATGGACTGATTATGTTTCGAAGTTAAATTAGAGCTTCTTAATTAATTTCTAGAGCCCTTGAGAGCATCCAGAATGTTTTTCAGAAGCCACATGTCCATCTACCTTCTAATCCTGCCCTATTCAATCCCAGGGGAAAAAAATCAAGAGAAATATGAGTATTTGGTGACTGATAGTGTAGGTTGCTTTATTATTATTATTATCATCATCATCATTATTATTAAGGACTTGCTAATAAATGTCTCATTCTCTCTGTAGTCACCTCACTCCTGATACGACCTCTGATCACTCCATGCACCTCTTTCTCCGTCCACTGCACAGGTGCTGGCGCCTCTCCGGGTGAGTCCCTCGGCCCTTACTCTGCTTGCTTTCTGGACATAACCACTTCACCTGTCACGGTTTTATTTTCTTACAATAAGCAGATCTCGTACAATAAGTCACCATTCCCAAATCTCCTAGTCCAGTTCAAACTCTGCCCCAGGACTTCAGATTCATGCATCCAAAGACTCCCAGACATCTCTGGCTAAATGTGCCACAAGACTCCCAGGCCCAACAAATCTAAACTCGCTGCTTCCCGCCCACCCCACGCCTTTTGTATGTTCTTCATCCGGGCGTGCCACCCACCGCCCAGTTAGCCTGCTGCAGATCTGAGGGCCATCCTGGAGGCCCACCTCTCCTCCGCTCCTCATCCCACCCCTAACTCACCTCGGAAACAGTCCCTTCTAAGTAGGTATTTATTCCTCCCCTCTGCTAGGGTCTGAATGATTGATTGGGTCCCCCCAAATTTCCTGTTGAAATCCTAACCCCAAATGTGATGGCATCAGGAGGCAGGGCCTTTGGGGTGATTAGGTCATAAGTGTGGAGCCCTCATGAATAGGATGAGTGCTTTTATAAAAGGGATCCCACAGAGGTCCGCTTCCACCATAGGAGGGCACAGAAGTCTGCCACCCAGTAGCGGGCCCTCCCTGACCCAGCGGCACCCTGATCTGAGACTTCCAGCCTCCAGACTGAGCAATAACTTTCTGCTGCTTGTGAGCCTCCCGTCCTGTGGCATTTCGTTCTAGCCACCCACACAGACTAAGACACCCTCTTTTCAATCCCAACACCACGAATCCAGCTAGTCCTTGGGACCCAACCATCTGCGCATCCGTCTCCCACGTGGTCTCCCTGGTTCCAATTCCACCTCCTCCAATCCTCCCTGGATCGGAAAGAATCTGCCTAGAAGGTAAATCTGCCCAGATCACTGATCACTGCCAATCTCTCCTGAGTTTCCAGTGTCAAGTAACAAGCTCTCCGTGACCTTGTTCATAATCTTGGGGGCTTGTGGGGTTATCTTGGTCCCACCTTATGTATTCATTCTCTTTTTCTTAAGGTTTGGAAGGAAATTTGTATTTTTTTAAATTAGGCTCCAAATTTGGGGAGGCTGCTTTGACCCACTAACACCTCACTGTCCCTGCACCCTTACTGTCCACCCAGCACTCTGCCCATAGTGCATCTGTATCACCTCACGTAATCCTCACGACGACGCTGAGGGGCAGGTCTGTTTTCGCACCCATTTTACAGATGAGAAAACAAAGGCCCAGAGAGAATCTGCCCAAGTACATGCAGCTGGTAGGCGGCAGAAGCGGGACTGCACCCTGGCTCTGTGAACCCGTCTGGGCAGGCTGCATACACAATGGGGACCCAGGCGGCCCACAGGCCCACAGCTGCAAAGGAGGCCGAATGTGTGGAAGTCAGAAAGGAAAAGGAAATCTCACAGAGCTCTGGCCTCAACATATCATTTAAGTAAAATAGAATGTTGGGGATTCATATCAGCATTTGATAGTTCATTTGTTTCTCAATATTAAATCTCGATCGAAATTCGATCAGCCACCTAGACACGTGTTTACGTAAATACGATACTGTATTAGTAGAAAAGTCCAGAAATATAACGTGCCCACAGTGAGCCACTTAGAAAGTTCTAAATGTGAGTCTGTTTTAAATAAAACCATACAGGATTCGCTACCCAACTATTTGGACATCAGAAAAATACCTACGTAATTAGGTATCACACATCTTATAGTCAGGTCCAGGTATTTTCAAAAATGAAGGAGCACATTTAACTTCTGTCAATTTGCTTCCAGTTACAAGAGCAATTCTGTGTGATTTTTAAAAATGCATGTCAGCACATACCAGCCTCTGCATTTTAACACAGCGCTGTGTACCTAAAATTAGTACATCCACAACAGCTTTGGTCCTACCACAGTCTCTGAACGTGCGCCCTCCCTCCAACACATCGTCTCCTCTCTCCTCGGACCTCTGAATGACCTCCCTCCACCGTCCCGCCAAGTCACACACGCCACAGGTGCTCTTGGCTGGTGGCTCTGCTGTGCGATGGGTGCCCCTAACCCAGCTGCTTCCTCGCACACTGACCACGTTCTCTCCGGGACCCCCGCTCCAGGACCCCCTTCTCCAGGGCTCCACGTTAGCTAATCGCCTCCTCCCTCCTCTGCTCCTGCAGCGTCTCCCTCGTTGGTGGATCATTTCTAAGAGAATCCACATTTCTGTTATTATCGCCCCATGAAACAAAACAAAACAAAAGAACCTTACTGTGTCCCCATGTCCCTCCTTGCTTCCCATCACAGTAAAACTTCCCACCAGAGCCCTCTGGAATCGCTGTTTCCACTTCTTCTCGGCTATCCACTCCACTGCACAGCCCGCTGCCGGCCAGGCGCCCGGAGACCATGACTCCCGATGAACCAGCACGGCACCCTGGACCTCCTCCGGGCCTGCCTGCAGCTCCGGGCACCCCGCTGCCTCAGGCGCGGCCTGGCTGCTCCTTCGGCCAGGTGCACCACGCCACCGGATGTCCCTGCCTGGCCCAGCTCCCGTGGCCTCTCCTCGGCCACCTCCGACACCTGCCTGCACCAGACTACCCAAAACTGTCCAACTCAACCCCCAGCTCTGGCAGACCCCTCACCACCATGGTTTTCATTCCTTTACACTATTTTCTTCATTGCTCTTTTACTGCCGGACATTAAATGACATATTTCCTTTGTGTGTTTCCTTGTTTATTTTTCTCCCCCACCCCCTCACCCTTCCACATGCACACACTGGAATGTAAGTCCTATGCAGGTAGAGACTCTCATCTCTTATTTACCACTTACCTCCAGTAACTAGAAGGCTGCTGAGAACACAGTAGATGTTTAATAAACATGCATTAAGCCCTGGCCAGTTTGGCTCAGCGGTTAGAGCGTCGGCCTGCGGTCCAGAGAGACCCGGGTTCGATTCCCGCTAAGGGCACGTACTTCGGTTGCAGTTTGTCCCCGGCCCTGGTTGGTCGTGCGGGTGGCAGCCACTCGACGTGTCCCTTCACGTCGATGTTTCTCTCTCTCTCTCCTTCCTCTCTCTCCCTCCCACTCTATCTGTACAAAAAATGGAAAAATATCCTCGGGTGAGGATAAAAAAATAATAATAATAAAAAAATAAACATGCATTAATCACATACATATTATATGCTACTAGAGAACATTTTAGAGAACCCAAATGTCTGGGTTTTAAAAGTAGATCTTTGTACCCTTTTTTTTTTTTAATCCTCACCCAAGGACATTTTTGCATTCATCTTCAGATAGAGCAAGAGGGAGAGAGGGGGGAAGAGAGAGAGAGAAGCATTGATGTGAGAGAGACACATCGAGCAGTTGCCACCCACATGACCCCAACCGGGGCTGGGGACAAACTGCAACCGAGGTACATGCCCTTAGCGGAAACCGAACCCGGGTCTCTCTGGACTGCAGGCCCACGCTCTAACCACTGAGCAACCGGCCAGGGCTGTACCTTTTTATTTATTTTTTTTTCTTTATTGATTTTTAGATAGGGAGGATATGAGAGGGAGAGAGAGAAACATCGATGAGAGAGACCATCAACTGGCCACCTCCTGCATGCCCCCTACTGGGGATCGGGCCCACAACCTGGGCATGTGCCCTGACCGGGAATCGAACCAGCGACGTCTTGGTGCCTGGGTCGACGCTCAACCACTGAGCCACACTGGCCGGACTCTTTGTACCTTTTTTAGACGTTCTAGTAGAGTCAGGGTGGGTAGTAGTTTGGGGATGGGAAATATGTACATCTTTTACCTTTCTGACGTCACTCGGATTCGTTCCTCACAGCTACAATTCAGACCCTCCGTCTTCTCATGGAAGTATTTTTCCACACACTGTTCTTCGAAATCGTGAAGTTTTTTCAGCTCCTCCTTACTCAGGTAGAGTTCTGTGGAAATGAGTATGTTACATAAAAAGAATCACGATTCATCTTTAATAGGAACCTGACAGTGTATGAGGGGCTCTTCTCCTACTAGTGCTGACATTTGATAAGTGTAGCTTGTGTGATGGAGCTTGCGGCCTTGTCAGACGGTGTTCTTAGCACTGAGGGGGAGCAGGACACAGGCCCGCTGGGGCGTCCTTCTGGGTCTCCCCTGCTTGTTCTCTCCCGGGCGTGGGAATGTGAAGACAACCTGTATTTTCAGTATTTTAATAGGTTGGAATGTTTTCACACGTCGACAAAAATTCACTCCCACTCAGTTAAACATTCATGTATAAATTTTTGTTTGTTTTGTTTTTGTTTGTTTTTTTAATCCTCACCAGAGGACATTTTTTGTTCAGATAGAGTGGGAGGGAGGGAGAGAGAGGAAGAGGAAGAGAGAGAGAGAGAGAGGCATTGACGTGAAAGGGACACATCGAGTGGCTTCCACCCGCACGACCAACCAGGGCCGGGGACAAACTGCAACCGAGGTACATGCCCTTAGCGGGAACCGAACCCAGGTCTCTCTGGACTGCAGGCTGACGCTCTAACCGCTGAGCCAAACCGGCCAGGGCTCTTGCATAAATTTTGACTCCCCTAAAAATGGACTATCTTTTTCTTCCCTGCCAATTGTGTAATCAATCAAAATGACAATAAACTACAGGTTAAAATCAAGGCTAGAAATGAACCTGGTAGGAGTAAAAAGTTTTACCTTGCTAGACTGAGTTTGTATATACTAACTTCTACTGAAAAAAAAATTATATAGTATGACCAGTCCATCACTAGCCAAGCCTATCCACCTGCCCTGACAGAATCTAATTAAACTCATTAAGACACATCATTTGGTGACACAATTGATGCCATGTCAAACTTCGGCATTCATTCAATCTACCAACCTGGCTCTCATTCTGACCCAACCTGAAAACACTTCTTTTGAGCAAGTTTCCAATACTTGGAAAATATAAAAATTATTCCTTCAATAATTTCACTTAAACTGGAGTGGGAAGAACCATTAGAGTTCTCCAGAATTTATGAGAAGTGAAAGTATTCCATTATTTTTCCATAAAATAAGACAAAGATATTAATTTTAAGTGGAAAAACATGGCTAGAAGAAAACAATATTCAAGTTCATAGTGTTTTCTGATTTTATGGTGTGGAAGACTCTTTCAAATACTAAAAAAATCCAGTATGTCCCCAATTCTCAATATTGGTTTGCATTAAAGAACCTCCTTTAGCCTGGCAGGTGTGGCTCAGTGAATTGAGCACTGACCCATGCACCGAGAGTTCACCGGTTTGAATCCTGGTCAGGGCACATGCCTGGGTTGCAGGCTCGATCCCCAGTGTGGGAAATGCAGGAGGCAGCCAATAGATATTTCTCTCTCACCAATGTTTCCATCTCTCTCCCTCTCTCCCTTCCTCTCTATCTAAAAACTTAATTAAAATATACTTAAATAAGAATCTCTTATGAACAAGAAACTATAATGCCATGATTTGAACTTCCTGTGCATTCCTGACAGCAAACAATCCAGAGCACAATTCCACAGACAGGTGCTGCTGGTGGCATGTACAGCAGTCTTGGAACTGTCCGCCAGGTGGCACTGCTGCCCCACATGCAAACATTTTGCTCCTCCATACAGAGTGGAGAAGTCTCTCAAAATTCAGGAATTTTCCAGCGCTTGTAGTGAACAGAGAATGTACTTCAGTTTTATACCAGAATCATCCTATAACCCCACACCCGGGTGAGCCCAGGAAAGGTTTTTGGTATGGTGCTAGGAAATCTGACCAAATCCTAGTTAGTTCCAGGATCTCTCAAATGGTTCACAAGCTATTCGGTTGCAATGGTTCTGCTCAATGATGGCGATGGAGCTCTGTTAAAAGCCTAAGAGTTACTATATAATTATAAGCCTTTAAATTAACTGCAATTGTTCTTTGGCTTCATTATAAAGACTGAATGAATCTCTTGTGAGAGAAGAAATAGAAAAGAAAAATAAATCTCCTAAGTGACTCAAGAGGAGAAAAATACTTTACACAACCAACTACCAGGAACAAAAGTGTATCGCCCTGTCGGCCCTGCAGTAACACCTGTCCCCCTCAGGGCTCACTAAAGTATAGACACACTCCACAGCCCGTATCTGAAACTCCTGGAAGCAGATGTGCTTTAGGATTTAGATTTTTTTTTCTTCTAGTTTTAGAAAAGTAAAAGAGTGCATATACCATAAAATGAGTAAAACCCCTAGTTAGGGCTAGGCATCAAACACGTGACTGTTTTCGCAGAAAATCAGTGAATACTCACACCACAAAGGGTAGAGAGAATAAGTGGGTTCAAATTAGTCTTATCCGCCACTTCTATGCAAATGAGTATTCCCACAACTTACAAAGAAAAAAGACTTTCCATTTTCAGAGGTACTTTGGATTTGGAATTTGTGATAAAGGATTGCGGATTTCCTCTATATCTAGAAATTATCTAGAGATGGACCTCATATCCATTGTGGGAACGCTTGAGAGGAACCACACAAGATCTGCAAAATCACCGGGAGGAATGTTCTCTTATGACAAGTACCATGATAGTCATATCATGTAGGCAAGATATGGCTAAGCAAAATAAACTAGGGACATCTCAAAATATATAGACTCAAGCTTTGCAGAGAAAGAACCCATTCTTCTGCACCTTGAGTTGCAGTACTTGAAGATGTGAAACATCCCTTCAGAATTATCTGTGCTCAGATTACAGAATGAGAGAATCATGACTGGTTAATATGTTAAGCAAAATGTCTTGCTTATCTATTTTCCATAGACTGTGAATTTCCAGGCCAGCAGAGAAAACACAGGTATTCCAGGAGACATAAAGCCTTTACACATTCAAACAGAGATTCTGTTCCAACCTAGTCCTTTCTTTCAAAGCTTTGGTTAATCGCGGCAAAAGGCACTGTGACCACACAACGACCATGTATCTCCTTAGCCCCAGCTCCTCAGCAGATGCATTACTGTCGTGAATCCCTAGATTTAATGGGCAGTGCTCTGGTGGGTCGTCACCTTGGATCTCCATTCTTTACTCTCTTGCTCCTGCCCCATCAGTAAAAACTTACTTAACCCGACATCACCCTCTTCTTGGTCACTTGGAGCTTGGTGATGGCAAAGACAGCGAAGGAAGAGACCAGCGTGGCTCAGCAGGATGAAAGGTGGGGGCAGCCATGGCTTCTCGTGGTACGTCATGATGTAGCGATAGCGATTGTATTTCCACAGTTTATTGGAAATGGATTTCATATCTACATAGACATTACTGCAAGTTGTAGAAAGAGGAGGACAATGTTTTAATATGCAGTCCTGAAATAGAACAGATTTTTTATTTCTTTTCCAACTTTTAGGACTGATTTACCTGACATTACCAACAGTTTTCTAATCAAAATAATACCCATTGCATTTCTAATTCTTCTTCCACCAAACAAAACATATTAACCACCCTCTACAATAAAACATGCTAGTGAGAATAATAAACAAAGGGTAGAAATGACAATTAAAGAGAAGAAAATGTTAACATCTTAAATGCAACAAACAGAAATTGCCCCCTGCAAAGCTCTGCTTTTCAACTTTGAGCATAAATCTTATGATGACTTGATTTTCCCTTAAATTATATTGACTATGTAATTCCATTAAGTTTATACTTTTTTTCTTTTTCTTTTTTTTTTTTTTTTTTGGTCTGTGTTGCAGCAAACATGTAGTAAAGTTCTTATTTTGTGTTGTTTTGCAATTTTATTGCCATGCTGGCACAGATATGAAATCTGTCTGGAAAGCTTGGAATGGTTTATTGCTTGTGGTAAAATTTGCCTGGTCACTTACAGGCAGCATTTGAAAACTTTTTATTATATAGTTGTTTACATACTTATAAGTCTATCATGTAAAGGCATGTACTAAAACAAATGTTGCATTTGTTTCGTAAGCATGTTCCTATAATCTATTATGAAGTTGAAATTAAATCTAGAGAATGTTTTAACAGTCCTTTAAAATCTGTCAATCATTTTTAATAATTCTTTTTTTATAAAAAGAAAAAGGAATTTCAGGACAGTCAGCAGCTTCTATTTAGAAGCTAGATATATTACTTAGATGAACTTTACAATAAAGTAACTGCTTATTGGAAGGCTACTTTGGATTTTCCCTTTAATTAAATCACCTGTAATATGTAGATAGTGCAATAAATACACTGACATTACAAAACTTTCAATGAAAGTTGTGGTGGGCAGTCCAGGTATTCAGTTATTCTAAAGTAATATATCAATCATCCTTCACTACTTAGCTTTAAGTCTGTAACACGATGAGGCCGTGGAACAGTAGAATGTCCACCTTCACATTCACTTAGGCTGATATAAAATGAATTCTCTGGAGAGAAAGATGGCAGAGAAGTACTTGAGTAGGCTGGCCAAATTTAGCAAATAAAAATACGGGCAACTCTAAACCGGAGTAAAAATAAGGAAAAGAAACGAGAACTATCCTGGAGAAAACCAGTTTAGGATAGAGAAGGGGGAACATTTCAGACTCCATAAAGTAGATGAAGGAAACAAACAACTGAGTTTAAACAGTAGTTCTCCAAGTGTGGTCACTGAACCAGAATCAATGGCATTACCTAGAAATTTCTCAAAAGTGCAAATTCTCAGGCCCTATCCCAGAACTACTGAATTGGATGTTCTGGAGGTGACATTGTAGCAATGGGCATCCCTGTAAGCCCTCCAGGTAATTCTCCTGCCTGATCTGATCAAGGCTGAGAAACACCAGATTACATGCTACTGCAATTCCAGTGTGACTACAGTCTGCCCACCAGCAGAGGGAGACAGTCAGCATATTTCAGGTCCTTGGTAATTAAAGGTATCAAGAATCTGGAAAGGGCCCCTCACCAAGTAGTCAGATCTTAGCTTTCTCAGCTTGTTTGGTCCTCAGTGTGTTCATCTCTAAAATGAGAAAACTGGTCTATGCGAGGATTTCTCAACCTCTCTTGACACCTGACGCGTTTGAGAAACAAAAATCTCATGTCCTTCTCTTAATACTACTTGATTTAATTAAAAAAAATAGCAGTAACAAAAGTTCATAAAATGCTGGAGCTAAAAGTGATAATAGCTGTCATATAATCTTGTAAAGAGCAGAAGGGTATGTCCTCCCCATTTCATGCAAGCCATTTTTTAAGTATTCTGATTTCTTTTGCCTCTCTCCAGCCTTCATCTTCTCTATGTCTGTACTTAGAGTCCATGCATTGATTTCCCTTTTCTTATCTTTTCAATACTTGGGATAAATTCATGAGCAAAAAATAAAAACACCAACTTGTCCTCGAGGAGCATATATTCCAGTGGAGAAGCCAGATAAACAGAAAAATACAATATGTAAATTATAAACTATATCTGTATATATAATAGAACTGGCACTATGAGGTATCACCTCATACCTGCCAGAATGGTCACCATCAACAAATCCTCCAACAACAAGTGTTGGTGAGGGTGTGGAGAAAAGAGGACTCTGGTACACTGCTGGTAGGAACGCAGACTGGCGCAGCCACTATGCAAAACATGGTGTTACCTCAAAAAATTAAAAATTGAATTGCCATTTGACCCAGTGATCCCACTTCTAGGAATATACCCTAAGAAGCCTGAAACACCAATCAGAAAGAATATATGTACCCCTATGTTCATAGCAGCACTATTTACAATCGAAAGATCTGGAAACAGCCCAAGTGTCCATCACAGATAAGTGGATGAACAGCTGTGGTACATGTACACAATGGAACACTATGCAGCTGGAAGAAAGAAAGATCTCTTACCCTTTGAGATGACATGGAGGGACCCGGAGATTAATATGCTGAGCAAAATAAGCCAGTCAGAGAAAGACAAGTACCACATAATGTCACTTATTTATGGAACATCATGAACAAAATAAGCTGTCAACCAGAACAGATCCAGAGTCACAGAAGTAACAGACTAACAAACTTCCGAGGGATAGGGGGTAGGGGGATGGGAGGGGAGGGAGAAAAGTAAACCAAAGAACTCATATGCATATATGCACAACCAATGGACACAGACATTGGGTTGGGAAAAGCTGGAGGGGAGTGGGAGCAGGAAAGAGGAGGTCAGTGGGGGAAAGGGGAACATCTGTAGTATTTTCGACAATAAAAAAAAGAAAGAAAAATATAATGGGTGTAAAGAAAAAAGAATAAGGAGGAGCAGGCATGCCAAGGAGATGGCTGAAGGAAAGGGGGCTGACTTACAAGTATCATCCTTAGTTTCGGCCTAATTAAATATGTTTCTATTGATTTTTGTAGAGTGAGAGGAAGAGACAGAGAGAGAAGTATCGATCAGCTGCCTCCTGCACGCCCCCTACTGGGGATCAAGCCCTCAACGCGGACATGTGCCCTGACTGGGAATTGAACTGGGACCCCTCAGTCCATGGGTCAACGTTCAATCCTCGAAGCCACGCCAGCCGGACAGTTTAGGCCTAATTAAAAGGGGATGTTTGAGCAAAGAGTTGAGAAGGGGATGAAGGAATGAACCACACAGAGGAGTGACGTCATCTGACGTATGTTTGCACAGGGTCATTGTGTTGGTAACTGAATATAGGGCCAGAGGCAGAGAAATACATCAGGAGGCTCTGGGTAGCTGTGGGTGGCGAGAGGTACCTGGATTGGTGATGTACTTGAAGGTGGAGTCTACAGGCATCCTGACGGTTACTACAGGAATCAAGAATGAATCCAAGGTGTGTGGTCTGAACAACTAGAAAGAGGGACTCTGACAAATGTAGTCTTCCTCACAGATTTGGGAAAAACTACAAATAAAATAAGTACATGTTGGGCCCTGGCCGGTTTGGCTCAGCGGTTAGAGCGTCGGCCTGCGGTCCAGAGAGACCCAGGTTCGGTTCCCACTAAGGGCACGTACCTCGGTTGCAGTTTGTCCCCGACCCTGGTTGGGTTGTGTGGGTGGCAACCACTCGATGTGTCTCTTTCATATCGATGTTTCTCTCTCTCTCTCTCCCTCCCACTCTATCTGAACAAAATATCGAAAAAATGTCCTCGAGTGAGGATAAAAAAAAAAAAAATACATGTTGGGAAAGAGGGGAGATCAAGAATTAGAACATTTAAAAGTTTAGAAATCTATCAGATATCTGACTGGTGATGAAGGGGCAGTTGGGTCTGCAGGACTGAAGTTGAAGAAAAAAAAAAATAGGGCTAGAGATATAAATTAAGATTTGTCAGCATGAACAGGAAACTGACCAAGATCACCAAACAAAACGTAAACCAAAGGCAAGCAAAGTCCGGGCCCACGGACATGCCAATGTTAGAAGATTAAGGAGAGGATGATCCAGAAAAGGAGACTTCGAGGAAGTGAGAAGAGACAGAAGGAAAGAGAGAATGAGACACACTGGGAGCCGGTGAAGAAAGGGCACCAAGTACTCCCGAGCCATCTGTCAGCCTCATCAACTGTTCTTCCACGACTGCAGTTACTACTTCATCACGACGCAGGATTTCCTCCCGCTCTGCATTGATTATACTTCCCACTTGCTGTTTTTCTCTTCCGGTACGCTACTGCCTTCCTCGCGGTAGTGTTATACCCACATTTTAAAACCACAGCAATAGCCCTGGCCAGTTTGGCTCAGCGGTTAGAGCGTTGGCCTGCGGTCCGGAGAGACCCGGGTTCGGTTCCCGCTAAGGGCACGTACTTCTGTTGCAGTTTGTCCCCGGCCCTGGTTGGTCGTGTGGGTGGCAGCCACTCGATGTGTCCCTTCACGTCGATGTTTCTCTCTCTCTCTCTTCCTGTCTCTCCCTCCCACTCTATCTGTACAAAAAATAGAAAAATAACCTCGGGTGAGGATTAAAAAATAATAATAAATAAATAAATAAATAAATAAATAAATAAAACCACAGCAATAAAATACAAAACACACAAACACCAAAGGCTACCTGCTCAAAGTGCATGTGAATCTGCCCAGAATACCTGCCCCCATGTTGACGTCAACAAAATCACCATATTACATGGAAATAACCTACTTGAAGAAAGCGATGAGCAGGTTCACCATGATGATGTACTGCACGAAGAGGTAGACGGCCTGCAGAAACGGGGTGAGAAAGGCGCCGGGAGGGCAGGCCGACTGGCTGGAACAAACTACAACACAGGGGATTTAACAGCATGGGATGAGGTGCACCTGCGACCTGCGATTCTAAGTCAATACTGAGCACAGTAACTAGGCAGAATACCATACGTTTCTGGTATTTTTACGATTCAGATGATTATTTGCCAGGGTTTTTATTTTACTCTGAGTATCTACAAAAGTTCAGTGCCGGCTGAGGACGCCCCCCCCCCCCCACGCACCGTCTATTTCGGAAGCGTAGACCTCTCCGTACATCATCCAGTACGGCTCGAACACGATGTCCCGCGCGAGGCTCCACGACGGAGGCTCCTTTGGCGAAAGGATGGCCTTGCGCGCCACTCCGAAGCTCAGCAGGACTATGGCCATTATGATCACAATGTAGAACATGTTTGCCGTCTGCAGGACAGTACAGCACGAGAGTTTTACCACAGATTGGGAATTTAAAGCAAATAAAACACTAGCAACCATCATAATTACACCCAATAACAAGCCTGTCTCGTCATGGACCCAGATGCCCAAGTCCACGCAGAGCGGGGTCTCCGGCTGCACCCTCCTGTACTCCCTGCACAGTGTGTGTTTCGTGCCAGTGTGGTCTATGGGACAGCATGAGTTTGCGAACAGTAGAGCATCTGTGCTTCTTCTTGAAGAAGTCATAAAATGTGAACAGCTTGTGATCAGCTAATACCCAACTTTTCACCAACTGGACCAGGGGTTAGGAAGAGAAAAATAAGAGAGATACTCAAATTAGTCAAATGGTTCTTTCCCACAATCATTTTCAAGAACTGACTGGAGTCTGAGAAATGAACCAGGCGAAGAATCTGCTGAAGACCTCTGAGCTGCTGAGCACCCTGACAAAGGGGAAGATCCCAAAATGAATAAAAAATACAAAAGGCAACTATGAAAATGATGTTTGCTAACTCCAGTGGTTCGTAACTCTCAAACATTTAGTCTTTGTATTCAAAGTACGCCTTGTTTTTATTACACATAACAGAGGGCGGCTTATAGAACACAGACCTTTACATACTTCATTTCATTTACTACATGTACATCAACTCAACCCACGTGTTCACTGTGGCAGAGACCATTATCCCATGCGTATTCTGAGCTTCTCTACATTTCTTAGCCTCCCCTCCATGAGGCCGTGGCCATGGGACCTATTCTGGCCAATGGGCTGTGGAGTGACAGTAACTTGAGTCCCTTCCTGCCCAGAGGACTTAAGAGCCATTAGACTTTCTCCATCTCACTTGTTCCCTGTGATGAGGAGACCTTAGAAGCCACAGGCTGACATTACTATGACTTTATACAAGATGAAAGGATCCTGGATGCCTGAGTCACTGGGTGGAGGACAACCCCCAAGAGCAGTCATCAAACGCTGCATCAGGGGAAAATTAACCTGTGCTAATACCAATGCCACCAAGCCCACAGGAAACACTGCTGGTCTCAGAGAAAAGTGTAAAGAAAATTCTCTTTGGAATCCTGGAGGTTCTTCCCTTTCTGCCCCTCCAGGTTGGTGCTCCCCTTCCTCTTGTGAACTTGCCAGGGAGTATTCTGAGGACAACGCGAAGATGATCCTGAGGTGCTGCACTTCCTAGCAAGGGGTCTCGGGTCCTGTGCAAAGCCAGCTGGGCAAGCCTAACACAGCTGCACGGTGAATGCCAGTGACAGGCAGAGCCAGGTGGCCCCGATTTGAATCCTGGCTCCCTGACTTATAGCCTTGGGAAATTTACTGAACTCTCATTTCCTTGTATGTAAACTGTGGATAATGACAGTACCTATCTCAGAAAGCTATTTTGAAGAGTGAATGGTTTAATCTATACGAAGTACTTAGAACAGTGTGCGGCCCCTAGTAATCGCTATTTAAGAGTTGGCTGGGGGTGAAAAGACAAAATGACAAATCAATATTTTAGCAGAAAATAGGGTTGCTGGTAGCCTCACACAAATCTCGCCTTTGGGAATGACTGTGCTCAGAGACAAATCTGAGTCAATCCCATATCAGCGGACCCTTACCCCAAAAGGGTAAAGTGAGACTCCGAACCAACGGCCCAACATTCTACCCAAGGATGTACAGAGTTTGTGGTTATAGTGATGAACTGATCTGACTCTTGGTGCTTCTGCAAATAATTTCAAAACTTAAACTACTGAATGTGACCCTTAAAAGCAAGCAGGAGTGTTAGGAAGAACACCAGCACACATGAGGAGACTGGACTCACCATTTTCGCAATCATGGTCACATACGGACCTGCATGCTGGTTCACGGCAAAGAAGTCCAGGAGGCGTGAGAACCAGAATATGATGTCGATGCAGTATAGGAGTCTTCCCGCCGTGTGCAGAGGGGGGTCCCCCCACCGCAGGCCAAAGCCAACCACAAACAGGCCAGTCGCCACAGTTTCCATTAAATTCCAGTACTCACTAATCCATACCCTGACCTTTCGAGTAAACTTTTCAGGTTCTGAACTACAGACCTAAAAGAAGAAAGAAAGGGAGAAACTTAATGGAGGAGATACAATCCAAGAGTCTCGCCAATTATCATCTTCTTTCATGTATCAACTGCTTCATGTAAAGAATATTTTTAATCCTGCCAAATAACAGATTACAAGGGGATTTGGGAGACTTAAGTTATCCTTGGGTAATTATTTAAACAATTCTATAAATATATGTTAATATCACTGTTAGTGCTGGCCAGCTATTTGAAACCCCAAAGGAAAAAAAAAAAGGTAGTTTTTTTTAGCCTTCATTAATCCTAAACTAACACAGGGAAACACTAAGACATTTTTTAAATTTAATATTGCGATGGGTCTATATAGCTCCTGGTCTGAAGCCAAGGAATTCTATAATCTGGTCTTCCTACTGCTCTCCAGTGAGTTGTTGACAAATTACTCAGCGTGTGATGTTAGAACTCACTTACATAAGAAATCACCCTGCAACAGACTGAAATATAAAATAGTAAACCTAATGTTCCATACAAATGGTAGAATTCAGATAACATTTTTCTCCTGAATTGTTTTCTATAATCTATCAACTCAACAGTAACTAGCAGACAATGTAGGCATAATTACTAAGAACACATTTGCCTAGTACATGGCGTCGGTCACGTTGCTCTAGGAGAACACCGATGTATGCAAATGCACAGACAAATAGGTGCATATACAGTGACATCTGAAACAGTCTAAGTCGTAACTAAGTATGTGACTGTGGTTATAACTGCACAGAAATACTCTTTTTTTTTTTCCATATTTTGTTCAGATAGAGTGAAAGAGGGGAGAGAAAGAGAGAGAGAGAGAGAGAGAGAGAGAGAAACGGATGTGAAAAGGACACATCGAGTGGCTGCCACCCACACGACCCAACCAGGGCCAGGGACAAACTGCAACCAAGGTACGTGCCCTTAGTGGGAACCAAACCCGGGTCTGTCTGGACTGCAGGCCAACACTCTAACCGCTGAGCCAAACCAGCCAGGACATTCTCTATTTTTTTTTTAAGTGGCTCATGGCGAACCAAAAACAAAAATTTTGTCTTGTTTGTTTCTTGGACTACTTGCCCTAGAAGGATTTTCAGCTTCAATTTTCAAAGGTATTTAGCAGAATCTTTCAAAAGCTATAAATGAATTTTTTGCCTATTGTACAACGTTGTGCCACTCTGAGACAAACTGATAATATGTAAGTAATGCTAGGCTGAGAACAATCAATCTTATTTAAAAAAAAAAACTTTCCAGAAAATCAAAAAGTTGGAGGGTCTAATAAAAATTAGATAGCGTCACTCCAGGATTGATAAACACAATAAGATGTCCTTGAAAACAACTGCTTCCAAAGAGCAGCAACCAAAAGAAAGTATGTGGCAAGGACAAAGGTTTTCGGTCAGATTTTCCCCTAAATACCCTTCCTGCAGCACCCAAATCGAATCAGTGCTGTCTGTCTCACCCTCAGCCCTGACCTGCCCATGGTCATCACCGGCCCCAGAACACCTCCAGCAGAGAGGTGCAGGCGACAGGGGAGAAGGGACAACTCACCTCCCGGACTTTCTCAATGGCGTTGGTGAAGATGTAAATGATGACAAGCCACTCCTGCACGCTGGGCTGAGGCGGCATCTCCACCAGCACAGTGAAAGTGAACAGCATGAGGAATGCCAGATACACCATCTGTGAGGGGACACATTCCCTGGGTGTGAGTCATGGTCATAATGGAGGCGACCGAGCAGACAGGGACCGAGCTGGGGAGAAACACACGGGAACTTCAACGGGATAACGCGAAAACACAACTGGGACCATGCTCTGGCGATTGATGACCTAATATTGAAGAAAACACAGGAATCTGGTTTTCTATTCTAGGATTAAGTGACTGGAGTGAAAGTCACTGTTTTCAAATGCATGGGAAGGAGTCACCATCTTGTCCTGTTAGCTCCTGACCAGAATTTCTGCAACACCACACATTCCAGAAAGGGCGTTTCTGGGCTGATAGCAAGCCAAGGGGAAATAACACGCCTTCCCCTCCATTTAAATGTGGATAACGTGTGTACCAAGTATGACAAATGAGCAGGGTCGGTAGGTGCCGGTTTTTTTTTTTTTCCTTTATTGATTTTAAAGAAAGGAAGGGAGAGGAAGAAAGAGAGAGAAACATCGATGAGAGAGAACATCAATTGGCCGCCTCCTACATGCCCCCCACTGGAGACTGGGCCCACAACCTGGGCATGTTTCCTGACTGGGAATTGAATTGGTGACCTCTTGGTACATGGGTCAACGCTCAACCACTGAGCCACACTGGCTGGATGGTGGGTGCCTATTTTCAAATGTAATCAATTATGGCATTTACTATGACTGGAAGTTTTATTTTATGTTGATTAAAACATTCTGGCTAGTGGGAAAGTATTGTCCAGCTTTAATTACATTACAGGCTGTTGATGTTTTTATCTCAGCACTTGGCCTGTTACATGGTAGACATTCAAGAAGGTGTTTCATTACTAACTGGGTTTATTAAACATAGATTTCCAAAGTCTTCAAAGAATTAAAGTACAGTGAACTCGCACATACATTTGTACTAGTGATAACAGCTTTGTCATCTTTTCTAGCATTTTTGCCTTCTTAAGATGTGTTCCCAGAAGTAAAAGAGCTGAGCACACACATTTAATACTGTGACACGTATTTCTAAGTCGCCCACCAGACTTCCATGATCACCAACAGTGTACAAGACGGAGCAGCCCTTTTAACAGCCTCAGAGACAGCACCCAATGCTAGCTGATCAACACATGTGTTAAGAATCCCAGGTCAGTAGAGAGAAAAATGGATGTGTGTTTGTTCATCTCACAAGAATCGTATTAGTTTTAACTTGGATCCCTATTTGTCGTATCTTTTTCAGCTCCACCTAGGTGTTTTCAGTCTTCTAAGTTTAGTTCTACACAGAGAATGGCTGAAACCACTTCTGACTTACAATAGTGACATTATACACAATAGGTGGTATTTCAGGAAGGCATAGTGGGTATTACTGCCTCTGAGTTCGAGAACTGTTGTAGAAAAGCATATGAGAAAGTTAGATAAATTCCATTAATTCTATACTTCCCTGGGTGTCTGTCTCAAAGTCTGAGTATGTTTGATGACCCCTGAGGGACATCAGTTGATAAATTTATTGTCAGTCATTTTCTACATTCTTGTCATGGTTTCATGGTGGTCAGACACTGCTGATATTAGTGGTATTGCTTCTCTTTTCATATATTTCCAATTTTCAAAAAAAAAATCTGGAAATGTTTACATGTTCGCTTTTTCATCATAACATTTATAACAAAAAGACAGTTTTAATCACGCACACATGCCATAACCTAGCATGATAGCCAAGGCGAAGATGCCTGTGCTCACCATCTGTTACTTTGGGCAGACCTAGCTGGCTTATTTGTTCTATTTGGGAGCAATCTTTGTTGTTGTTCTGTTTATTTAGCTTTACTCCTGTCTCTAAGAGTTTGTAAGCTGTAAATTTCTGAGGAAAGAAATACTTGAATACTCTTTCTCCAGTGACTATGGTTAAAAGTCTCACTGAACTACTATCAGCGTATCTGGGATATTTTAGTACCTATTCACAAAAATGGTGAAATATCATTTGAAAGCAGATTTGACTTTTGAAAAGGAATGAAAGTCATCCAGAGCTATGTACTTATTCAATAAGTACATAAAATTAGTGTGTAGTTGAGCAAGTTGAAATGTAACACATTCAAGTAACACATCCTTTTACAGTCACAATCCAAATGTTTTAAAAATACAAAATCTTAGCCATGAGCAATTTAAGTATAAATAAGCATGAGAAAAATAATGCTGCTAAATAAAAGTAAAAAGCACTCAAGAGTTTAAAGTACAGTTCACGCCTGGCTGGTGTGGCTCAGTGGTTGAGTGTCGACCCATGCACCAAGAGGTTGCTGGTTCGATTCCCGGTCAGGGCACATGCCCAGGTTGTGGGCCAAATCCCCAGTGGGGGGTGATGCAGAATGCAGCCAATCGATGTTCTCTCTCTCTCGCTCCTTCTCCCTTCCTCCCTCTAAAATCAATAAAGAAAAATAAATAAATAAACTACAGTTCATGCTTTCTCTGTATCTGTACTATTCATAACAGATTTAGTATTTATTCATACAATTTGAACTTCCACAATTTTTATTGTGCTCTATATATTTATAAACATATGTCTTGAAGACAAAAAAAAAAAACTTGCATTTTTTGTCTCTATTACACATTTTCCCTACAAACAAAAAATCAACTCAACTTTTTTGCTCAAGATGGGGAAAAGAATCCACCTGTCACTGAACTCTACAACCACTGTTCATTTCATTGTGTCACAGAGTTTCACGTGTTCAGTCCCGGCTTGCTAATGGGAAGTGCTGGAGAAAGAACATGCTGTTACCCCAAAGCAGGAGAGCTCTGCTCTACCCTTCACTCGCCTCCCTCCAGTCCTTTCCTGCATCTTTGGTCATTCCCCCAACCTGTTTTTTTTTTAATGCAATTCTACATTTTATCACAAGTTGGCCAATCAGGCCTAGCATTATCAATGTTATCATTAGCTATTAACCATCATGGATTGTGACGAGAAAACCAACCGTGTAAAACCAGAACTTGACAATTGGAGCACCGTAGAACTCATAGACCTTCCTGGTCAGCGGAAGGATTTGAGGACCACTCCTCAAGACAAAGTGCTGGCTGTCATCTAGCTTCTCCTCGGGGCCCCTCTCCATATCACGGTCTTTCTGTAAAATAAACAAATAAGTCCTTGTCGGGGCTTAATTAAAACATCGACATATGCAAGTATCTAAAAAACATCTTAAACATATATAGTAAATATCTTAGAAATTAATTGGGCACCCACCTACCAAATTATAATCTTATTCTTGAAAGAAAAGAAAACGGCATGTATCACATCTTTGACCAGTAAGGAGCACAGGGTATTCCTGAAATATAACCTGAGTCTCTAATAATCAAATCTACTCACATGAAGGGTAGGACCAAAAATTTTTAAATGGTTCCTGTCCCTGTTCTATTTAATCTCCTTTATCAGCATTTGGAACCTAAGGATATTCATAAAATGCCCATGAAATCAATCACCAACAATATAATTAATTCCATCATAGAGGACAAAATGAACACTCATTGATAATACATCATTTCCAATTCATAGGCAAGTTGGGCACAGCGTTAGGTGGGGGCTTCCGGCTCTGAGAGATTCCCTCGTTTACAGCAGAGGTTCTCCACTGAAGTTCATGGACTCTGGGCTTCTGGAACTCCTAGAACGTCCTGCATCTGCAAGTATTTGTGTTATACATGCATTTTTCTAGGGAAAGCATCATCTCTTTCATCAGTTTCTCAAAGTTATGTGTCAATCCAGATGGATGAACCCTTGTAGGTAGTAAGTAATGAGTATCTGGGTGGAAGAGAAGTGGTTGTGTCAATGTGACTACACAGGTGCCCACACAGGAGAGCCTTTAGAGACAGGGGGCAAACCTGGCTGGTTTGGCTCCGCGGTAGTGTTAGCCCGCAACCGAAGGGTCTCAGGTTTGATTCCCATTCAAAGGCATGTACCTGGGTCATAGGTTCCATCCCCAGCCCTGGGCAATGTCACTGGGAAGGCAACCAATCAATGTATCTCTCTCACGTTAATGTTTCTCTCTCTCTCCCTTCCTCCCTTCCACTCTCTGTAAAATAAATAAATGAAAATAAATAAAATGATTAAAACTCTTAAAAGAAAAAGGAATAGGGGGAAAAAAGTACCTGTAGCCTGGTTGTCTTTGAGAAGGGAAAACTTAGTGATGGTGAAAAAGAAGCCAAAAAGATTTCACCCAACCTTAGAGAGTTCTGTGTGGTTTTAATTTTTAAGCAGAAAATGCATTACTTTTATGATTTTTTAAATTAAATAAAAAGAAAGAAAGATTCTCTGATGCCTCTCAGAAAGTACATTTCTTCAACCCATCCACAAAAGGTGTCTCTCTAGTGTTAGACCTGCATGATGAGCAAGATTTTTCAAGCTAAGAAATAAATCAAGTTTTGCCTGTTTTCCATATAATTGCAAGAAATGTAATTTTTGAGGCTTCAGGCACCTAGATGGGTTGGTTATGTCAGTGCCTGACATGAATGTCTTTCACGTCACTTTAGACAGTAGAAGTGGGGTTGTGACTTTGAGGTGTAGGAACGAACCTAGTTCCTGATGGGTTTGAACCGGCCCACAGTTAAAATGGCTTAGAAGGGATTACAAAGTCATCATTTGCTATGATTTTAATGACATAAGTAGTACTGCAGAAAGACCCCAGAAAGCAATGTAAGTAATCACCTTGTTATTAAATAACTTCCCTTACTATTTTTTCCAGGAGTGTTTCATTAGGTCTTTAATTACTCTTGGCATTTTGGTATGGGTGATGAGTACTTATTGATCCTGACTCTAAGCTAAATTCAAAGTCATTGGCTGCCATGATGAAAAAAAGGGGGGGGGGGAATGGATATAAATTCAGATTTGGGACTTTTCTTAGAATTAGGTAAACACAAAAATATTTTTCTTAGCTTTTATTCTACTCAAATCTCAATCAACCAATCCCCTTTCTTTCCCCTCTCCCCTCTCCCTCCTTTTTCTCTCCCAAACAGGAATCTGAAACCAGCAGGCACACAGCATAAAATTATAACTACAACAATCAGCTCTACTACAGTTCATGCCTACTTTCCACTGTATTCATCACCATTCTTACTTAATGATGCTCTGATAAAATTTCATTATTATTCAACTTTTTAAAATATTTTTTGTGTGATTTAACAATATGTCTAAGACTAAGCTCATCTTTCCTCTTCCCTATTATCCCTTTAAAGATGGTCTTGTTTAAACCATCAACATCTCAATCATATTTGCTCTCTCCCTCCTTGAGCAATGTCCCATGTTCAGGCCCTATTTGCCTCTTCACACCTGGATGGTTACACCAGCCTGTTCCCTCCCTGGTTCCAATGGTCTTCTTGCTACACTGGAGGCAGAATAATTTCCTAAAGGTCAGATCATCCTGCTGCTCTGGTCATCTATGTTCACTGGCTAACCATTCCCTAGAGAATAAAAACCACATTCCTTCACAAGATATACAAGAGTCTCCAAGATCTAGTCTCACACTACTTTCCCCGCCATACCTGCAAATATTCCCTCCTTGTGTCATGTCACCTTGTGTCACCATAACCTGGCCTCTAGCCACACAGCACAACTTACGTTGCTTGACATATGCTTTGCATTTCCTGCCTCTGGGCCCCTGCTTACAGTCTCCTTCCCACTGAAATGCTATTTTCCCTCTCCATATCAAGTCACAGTTCAAACACCACCTCATGAGGAAGTCTCCACTCCCTAATCCTCATCTACTGATCCCCAGTGGAAAGGGTCCTCTTCTTCCCCTAGTTAACCCATTCTGCCATCTTGCTATATTTTGTTCCTAAGAAAGCTCCCGTCATCAAAAGTCATGCTTTCAGGAGATTAGCAACTAGAAAGATTTAATTTATCATGACAAAATTATTTTACCTATGGAACTGCTAGGCTCAGGCAAGAAAGGAAGGGAAGAAGGAGGGAGGGAGGAAAGGAAGAGGAGAGAAATACATACATACCCAAATAGGCATGATAGTCAAAATATTTAACTGATCTGGCCGAGGCATTAACAATCGGAACAGATGCTCAACCAATCACAACAGATGCCAGCCATAATATTATAATTGATTGTTTTCCATTTAACATTAATTTAATATTTTTTAACGTTATAACAAATACCCCATAAGTAAAAAACGACATCAGAAAAGATGCGAGCTAAACATCCTCTTTAAAGTATTAAGTACCAGAGAAGTTGTCTACACCACCTCACAGTAAGTGATAATTGTACAAGCAATGATACAAGTTGAGATATAACAATAGAATACATACCCACAGACAGCTTACTGGAGACTTTCCAATAAAAATGGGTTGCAAGAGAAGTAGCTAAAGTTACCCATGAAAGAGTATCCCCTTGGGAACTCAAGTAAAACTATTCAGTCACTGAATATAACAAATGAAAAAATTTGTGGGACAGACAGTCAAGATCAATGCAAATTCTAAACCTGATCCTATAATTAAAGATTTTTAAGAAGATGAGGCAGTCCTCATTGTAGTTCTAGAGAAATATTTATTCTACTAGTCACAAAACAATTTGAGAAGTTAAGCAGCTGTCAAGATGTAATAAAGTCTATAATTTGGGCTTTGAGGCAGAAATGGGATATTTTGCTTAATTACATGGGAGTTAATTAGATTCGTCATGCATGTCATACTTTCCCATTCTACAACGTGATTGCTAAATAACTTGTTAAACAAATGAACTCTGTGTATGTGTGCACTGTGCCGTCAACACCATAAAAACCCCGTTTACTCTGAGGCTGCACTGACCGCAGAAGCACTTCCTTTGGTGCTGCTGGGACTCTGGTCACCATTGTGCCTCGTAAACTGGAAGTCCTGGGACTGGGGAACGTGGGACATCTCCGCTTTGCTTTTAAATTCCAACGTCAGAATGGCGGGCGGTAAAAGAATACTTATGATGATCTGCAAAAGAAAACAAAGCAAAATACGTGGTAGGTGTTAAAAAAGGCAAGGTATTATTCAAAGAACAAAATTAAGACTTTAGTGTATATAAAAGGTCAGACCCATCACCCATTCAATTGATATCTTGATTCTATGGATATTTCATAACTCAACAAGTCTAATTCTAGAAGTGTCTCCCTCAGAAATACTTATGAATGCAAGCAATAGGTGGATAGGGATGTTTGTTGCAGGGTTATTTGTAAGAGGAAAAAACTGGTGTCGATATAAATGTACACCCATGGAGAGAGAGCTGGTGTGGGACAGCCTAACAGTAAAATTCCGGAGACTGTTAAAAAGACAAAAGTTCTCTGGCCAGTTTTCTCAGTGGTTAGAGCATCGGCCCGTGGACCAAAGAGTCGCGGGTTTGATTATGATCAAGGGCACGTACCTCAGTTGTGGTTTGTCCCCAGCCCTGGCCCTGGCCCTGGTCGGGGTCACGCAGGAGGTAACCACTCAATGTGTCTCTCTCACATCGATGGTTCTGTCTCTTTCCCTCTCTCTCCCTCCTTCCCACTCTATCTGAAGATAAATGAAAAAATATCGTCGGGTGAGGATAAAAAAAAAAAAAAGGCAAAATCAATTCTGAATATGATTAAAAGATATCCAAGTTATAATGAGTGGGAAAAAAGCAAGTTATTGAACAATATAATGTGATCCATTTTTTAATAATATAAAAATATATATGCATATACATATATATATATTTAAAAGTTTTAAAACACTTAGATAATATCCCCTCTTTATCCACGGTTTCACTTTTCATGGTTTCACTTACCCACAGTCAACCATGGTCCAAAAATATTAAATGGAAAATTCCAGAAATAAACAACTTACAAGTTTTAAATTGCACACCATTCTGAGTATCATGATGAAATCTCAAAATATCCCACGCTGTCCCACCGGGGACGTGAAGCATCCTTTTGTCCACATAGAGGAATCCGTGTGGAATAATTTATGATTGCCTTTTCTCTTATTTCTGCAATCTCATTAGTGCAATTATAATATGCAAGCTCTTTTATATATTTTATATCTGACATCTTTTCTTGTTTGTGTTTTCTAAAGTGCATCCACCAAAAATATATTTTTAAGAACAGTCATTCTATTTGGGACATATCATATTTTTAAGAACTGTAGAAAGAATATAATTAAAAGTATAAAATATAGTTCTCTTGATGCTCATGCTTTATCCCCCTTTTTCAGTTTCAAAAGTACATGCACTTCTTAAGTTTAACCATAACCTAAAGCTGTAGGCTTAGGTTTAGTGCCAAAAGTTAAATGTCTTCAGTAGTTAAGTAAATTACTCTTGATAATTCAAGATGGGAGATGAGGCTGAACGGGAATGGAATAGAAGAATCTGAAGATAGACGGTAGTGTGAACAACTATATTTGAGGGCAGCTTTATAAAACACCCAGCCATTTATTCCTGAAACACCCCACTAAATGAACAGAATAACAGAAATTGATCCTTTTATTTAGTTTATTATTATTTAGTATTAAGCTGAGCAAAATTTCACCCCCAAAAAATCTCATTTACTTCTATTATAATTATCAAAGACAATGAAGTTTACTACTAATTAAATCTTGTATATATTTGTATATGTTTTTAATGCCTTCTAGCCACTTCATGAGTATGCCTTTGTGATGGACAGAGCTCGTACGATTATCCCCATTTTTTTAAAGAAACCGTGGTGCCCTGGCCAGTATAGCTCAGTTGGTTGGGCATCACCTGGTGCACCAGGAGGTTGCTGCACTGATCTTGGTCAAGGACACATGCCCGGGTGTGGGTTCAATCCCCGGTAGGAGGCGTGCAGGAGGCAGCCAATCAATGTTGCACTCTCACATCGATGTTTCTCTCTCTCTCTCCTTCCTCTCTCTCTAAAAATCAATAAACTATTCTTAAATAAATAAATAAATGAAAGAAGCCGTGGTAGTAGGAGACAAAGGAGCTGTCAGGTGCCACTGGACAGCTCCCAGCTCATCTGTGCAAATCAAAGATATTTATTAATTGATTTTCTGAAGATACTCTTGTGGAACAAGGAAAAGAAATGAACTCAAGAATACAGACCTTCAGACTAAACTAATATCAAACCCTACAAAGCAAGTAAAGCTACCTTTAACCAAGAGATTTTCCTCATTTTCAGGCTCCCCATCCACATGTCCGTGAGTAGCATCTGGGTACAAGAATGTGAAACAAAGGGCCGCAGTCCTCCTGACACAGCCAGTTTCAAACAGGTGGAATTGCTCCAGTTCCTGAGCTCGTAGGTCAGCAGCTTCATGGCCATCCTCTCGTTCTGCTTGAATGCCTTCTCCAGCACGTCCAGGGCCAGCTGGCCAAACTGCCTGGAATGACACAGTGGGGAGCGATGAAAACAAATGCAGGTGCGAGCCCCGGAAACATTCAGGAAGATTAGATATGAGCCTCTGAAAAGACCAATACAAAAGAGCAAACAGGACTTCCGGTCAAGATGGCGGGTAGGTAAATGCGGTATCGCGTCCTCCCACAACCACATCAAAGTTACAACTAAACTACAGAACAACCATCATTCAAAACTGCCTGAAATCAAGCTGAATGGAAGTCCTACAACAACGGAATTAAAGCAGCAGCCACATCCAGACTGGTAGGAGGGGCGGAGGCGCAAAGGGTGGCGGCAAGACGAGCTGGTCCCACACCCACGTGTGGCGGATAAAAATCAGGAGGACACCTCGGCTGGGAAGGTCCTTCCTGAGGACTGAGGGGTCCCCGTCCCACACCAGGTGCCCCGCTCAGGGTTCCAGTGCCAGGAAGAGAAGTCCCCATAACTTCTGGCTGGAAAAACCAGCGGGAACTGAGGCTCAGGGAAGCTGATGCGGCTGGAGCCCCAGGCAGCTCCTTAAAGGGCCCGCGCACGGACTTATCGGACTCTCTCCCTCTGAGCTTGGAGGGGAGGCAGCTCAAGGGGCACCAGAGACATACAGGGAAGAACTGAGCTGTTTGGCACTGGAGCGAGGGCTGAAGAGGGGGCTTTCTCTGGGACAAACATGCTGTTCAGAGGCCGTTGTTCGTTTGGTGAGCCCTTCCCTGGGGCGGCAGACAGAAGCCATATCTGGGACTCCAGCAACCTGGCTCACACTGGTAGCCCCGCCCTGGTGATTCACTGAGGCCCCGCCCCACCCAACTTTCAGGCCCACCCAAGCTGTTGCCACTTGCTTAACCATAAGATTGGCCTGTCTTGGATCCTGCTTCAGATTTTTCCTAAATTGTTTCAAACGAGCAGCATCTGGTCTCAGCTAGCCCCATACCACTCGTTAAGTAATACACAGAAACAAACACAGGGAGGCAGCCAAAATGAGAAGACAAAGAAACAGGTCCCAAATGAAAGAACAGAACAAAACCCCAAGAAAAGAACTAAGCGAAAGGGAGATAAGCAACCTAACAGATGCTGAATTCAAAATACTGCTTATAAAGATGCTCAATGAACTTAGTGAGAACATCAGTGAACTTAGTGAGGGCCTCAAGAGCATAAAAAAGGACCAGTCAGAAATGACGGATGCACAGTCAGAAATGAAGGAGGCATTAACTGAAATAAAGAATAATTTACACAGATTCAATAGTAGAGTACATAAATCCAAGAAGCAAACCATCGACTTGGAATATAAGGAAGCAAAAAATGCCCAATCAGAACAGCAAAAAGAAAAAAGAATCCAAAAAAATGAGGATAGTGAAAGGAGCCTCTGGGACAACTTCAATCGTGCCAACACTTGCATCTTGGGGGTGCCAGAAGAAGAACAGGAAATCGAAAACCTGTTTGAAACAATAATGGCAGAAAACTTTCCTAACTTGGTGAAGGAAACAGACATACAAGTCCAGGAAGCCCAGAGAGTCTCAAATAAGATGAACTCCAAGAGGCCCACACCAAGACACATCATCATCAAAATGCAAAAGGTTCAAGACAAAGAGAGAATCTTAAAAGCAGCAAGAGAAAAGCAGCTAGTTACCTACAAGGGAGTTCCCATAAGGCTGTCAGCTGATTTCTCAAAAGATACTTTGCAGGCCAGAAGGGAGTAGCAAGAAATATTCAGAGTGATGAAAAGCAAGAACCTACAGCCAAGATTACTCTATCCTGCAAAGCTGTCATTTAGAATCGATGGCCATGTAAAGACTTTCCCAGACAAGAAAAAGTTAAAGGAGTTCATCACCACCAAACCGTTATTATATGAAATGATGAAGGGTCTTTTTGAAGAAAAAGATAAAATATATGAACAAACAAAATGGCAGTGAATATATATCTATCAACAATGGAATCTACAAACAAAATAAACAGGTAGAACAGAAACATTCTCATAGATACAGAGAAAATTTTGTTGGTTGCCAGATGGGAGGGGGGTTGAGGGAATGGGTGAAAAAGGTGAAGGGATTAAGAAGTACAAATTCATTGCTAGACTGACAGACCTCAAAGGGAAAGGGGTTGGGGGGGTGGGAAGAAATAAACCAAAGAACTTATATGCATAACCAATGGGCACAGACAATAGTATGGGAAAAGGCGGGAGGGGGGCGGGTGTGGGGAGGAGGGGGTCAATGGGGGGGAAATGTGGAACATCTGTAATACATTCTACATTCAACAATAAAGATTTAAAAATAAATAAATAAAAACATTAAAAAAAAAGCAAACAGCAATTTAATAATTTCAGCTTGCAGAAGCTATTTTAAAGGAACTGCTGCTCAGGAAATGGATTGTCGTCCCTTTCCTGAAGGAACAGAGTTAGAGGGTTACTTATACCGTGGCACAGAGAATTGGGTCACACCAGGAGTGCCTGAGCTCTGCATGGGGAGAAGCCACGTCACACCGCAAAACAGGAAATGGGGAGCTTGGTTTGGGGCTCCCTGATAAGTTAAAAACTGACTAGTAATTAAGGAAAATTGTGGAACTACTTTTTTAAAAAGATGTTATAAAATACATAGATGACTTGAGTAAGAAACCAGACTTGGAGACATTGTCTGGAATTTTTTGGAAGGTTGTTTTCTCTAAAAAGTACATGCTCCCATTCCCTGCAACTTTTTAAATCAAAATTATACAGGTGTTTCTATTCACTCCAGCTCCCCTCTTTTCCCTCACTACATGACGCTTTCATCATCAAAAACAGTTCTAACTTTTCTATCTCCCAACATCACCGTCTGGTTTGCTAATACATAATAGATGGATTTGTTTTCCTGCCTGAGAGATATTTAAAGTAAACCACAAGTTTTACTTTAACTTAGTACCCAAGAGTTTGAGAGTTAGGAAGGACTTTCAAAATCATTAACTGAAAATGTTGCAGTGAGGAAACTAACGTCCCTAAATCTAGTCAACTGACTTGCCCAGTCAGTAAACAGCCACACCAGGATTAGAACCCTAGTCCCCTGACCTGAAGGTCATCTCTCTTCCCTTCCTTCCACAAAGCTCCTTTAAATACCTAAAGAATCTTCTTGACAGGAGAGTGCATGATATGCACAGGAACAGGTCCACCCATCCTACGAGTTCTAGGGTGAGGGAGATAAAAGCGTTTAACCGTTCTAAGAACTGTCGATGTTTAGTATGTGGGGAAGAGAGAACTCCTACTTTGAGTAATTCTTCATCTCTTCCGAGGCATCATCCACCATGGTGCTCTCCTTAGCTTCGCGGGCCATGGCTCGGTAGAGTATACAGGCAATCACCGCCTTGACGGTGGCCTCCTCTCCGTGCTGCCAAAAGAACATGGCCATCTTCTGCCTTTTCATGAGCACAGCCCAAACCAGCAGGTCATTGTAAGGGTAAATAAAGCCAGTAGACTCAGGGTCCTTGGATGTATTTTGTTCTTTGGACTTCTTCCTTGCTTTTTGAAGGACGACAGACTTTTCCTGTTGGTAAATAAAATAGGAAAGGTTTCCAAGTACTCAGATACATGGTGGTCTACCTAGCAAAACACATCAGGTATCCTAGAGATGTAAATAATGATAATAGAACTATAGATTCCACGTATAGTGAAATCATATGGTATTCTAAAGAACACTACAAACAAACAAAATAGAAACAGACTGATGGTTGCCAGAGGGGAGGGAGTCTGAGTGAAAAAGATGAAGGGATTGGGAAGTACAGATTGGTAATTAAAAAACAGTCACAGAGATGTAAAGTACAGCATAGGGATTAGTCAGTGATATTTCGATAAATATGGATGGTGCAGGTGGGTACTGGAAATATCAGGTGGGGAAATACACTGTAAAGTGGTTGTCTAACCACTATGCTGTACACCTGAAACTAATACAAAGTAATAGTGAATGTAAACTGTACATGAAATAAATAAATAAGCTGCAGGGAAAGGGAACGAGGGTTTGGTGTTAGGTTAACAATTATATTTTTCATACCATCTCATAGACTGCCCTCCTGAGTCACCATCTGGACCAGGTGACAGTAGGAACAAGACAGACAGGCTGACGTGCCAATCCCAGGTATTACTTAGTGCCCAGTGCTCTGTCCCGGGCCCTGGTTCATTGTCACAGGACAGCTGTGTTATGCTTTTGATTTGCACCATTTGTTTATGGTACTTGTAAATAGTCCCTCTATTTGTGCCTCCCATTCTCCGATTTTAAATAAAGAAATGGTCTCAGCATGCAAGAACAATTATTTTTTCAAATCTAAAAATAAGCCACGGTACCTTGACTTTGTAAGGCTGGGCAGTCCTAATGAACTGGGAGTGCAGTGTGTTTTCTGCAGATTCTTTTCCACTTCCTGAGGAGCATCGTTGGGAAGGAGGGGGCTGAGAAAGGCTTTGAGCAAGGCTGGTCACTCTCTGGCAGATATTATTTTATTTTTAAAATAAAGCAAAAAGGGAAAAAGAAAATTTTAGTGGCAACAATAATTTATTTGTAGACAGTAATGAAAACCAAATCCAATATTGTGTCCTACCAAATATCCCATGGTATTCTCTCATCCATGATGAGTAATTAATCGTTAATCAGATTAATTACTCACTGACCCAAAAAGAGCCTCTCGTGATCTCCTTCTTATGAAGGGCACTGTTATTTCCTAACATCTTAGAAATGACTTTTTGTTCCCTAGTATGTATTTATATTCCTTCTCTATGTGGAAATTTCATTAAAACCAATGGGTGTTCTATACCTGAAACAACCTCAGAATAGGCAATCAAGATACATGGTTCTGATAAGGAAAAGTTCCCATTCACAAACAGCTGCAAGGTTAAGGTTAAGTTGGAAAGTTATGGAATTTCTCCACATGTTATATAACATCACCACTGGAATTCCAGTGGCTAGGCACAACAACACAATCCATTGCTTATCAGCACGACCTCATCAATGAGAAAGAAAAACAGAAAGAAGCATTCCTAAAGGGACGAACATAAAAATGTATAATACAAACCCAAAAAATGGATTTGAACTAGTTTATTTATTTTTAGTTTATGTTTTATGGATATAAATTAGACATAAAAGTGATGGGAGTCAAGACTTTTTAAAGATAATACTCAAAATATTATTATTGTGATAGAGAATTAATAGTATCATTAGTAATAATCATGACTATCATTTATTATTCACGGTTACTTTATAGTCTCTAAGAAAAACCCAGATATATGGGTTTTTTACATACTATTTTCTTTAGTCCTTCTTATAAATTTCTAAAAGGAGTACGGTTATTCCCCTTTTAGAGATGAGGAAACTGGTACACGAAGAGGTTAAGTTTCTTGCTCAAGATTGCACAACTACTAATGAGCAAAACAAAGATTCAATTCCAGATCTCTTGGACTCCAAACCATGTATTTGTAACTCGGTGATCTAATTTACTAGGCATTACAATAAACTCTGTACTTCTTCACTAGAAAATAATCAAAAGAATGAGTAATTTCCTACCCATTTCTAGAAAGGGCACTAGGGCACATGCCCAGCCTGCCCTGTGTCTTCCACTGGACTGCACCGGCCACAGTCGGTCCTTGCACTTGCCTCTGGTAACCACACAGCAAGGTGTATTTTGTTTAAATGAAGGAGCTGATACCTCAAGTGAATCCTTATGCCTTTGAAATTTCAATAAAGAACATTTTCTCGGTGCAATTTAGGTTTCTTTTTGTTTTGTTATTTCATTTCCTAAAACCAAGTTGGGCTTTCACATCGCCTCATTCTTTATGAATAAAGGTCAAAGCAGCTTGATACTCTGGACTCTTCATGTGATCTTACCCCAAAACCACCTTTCACAACCTCCCAGCACATGTCCACGACAAAGCCTCCTGTCCCTGCAAAAACACAGCCTGATGTCCACAGTGTCCTGCCTTTCACTGTCTCCAATCTTCTCCCAACCAAAATGCCCCTTTTCTAACACTTCCCTTGTCCTCTAACAAGAATCGGTCTCTTCAGTTCACTGGTCTGTAAAGGCACTTTTAAGAAACAAGCAATGTTTTCTCTGCTAATTGACTAACCAGTCTGATTGTAAATTACATTCCTAGACTTTTAAAACTATGATGAAAAATAACATATCTAAAATATGTGTTTTAAGTGCATTCTGCATGCATCTTTCAATATGATCCCCACACCTGTTCCAAGTTTGTCATCTCCAGACTATGGACCACTATGAGTTTATAGATCAAATTCTAGTAAGCTTTAGACTTCTGTATTTTCAAAAGAAAAAGAAAAAAAAGAACTGCCATTTGACCTAGTGATCCCATTTCTAGGAATATACCCTAAGCCTGAAACACCAATCAGAAAGAATATATGTACCCCTGTGTTCATAGCAGCACTATTTACAATAGCTAAGATCTGGAAACAACCCAAGTGTCCATCAGTAGATGAGTGGATAAAAAAGCTGTGGTACATGTACACAATGGAATACCATGCAGCTGTAAAAAAGAAAGATCTCTTATCCTTTGAGATGACATGGAAGGACCTGAAGAGTATTATGCTAAGTGAGACAAGCCAAGCAGACAAAGACAAATATCACATGATCTCACTTATTTGTAGAATATAATGAACTAAATAAACCAATGAACAAAATCGACCCACAGACATAGAGGTGTGGGGTACAGACTGACAAACCTCGGAACAGGGGGTGTTGGGGGTGAAGAGATAAACAACAGAACTTATATGCATGTATGCATAACCAATAGACATAGACAACAAAGCTGGGGATGGGGCAAAGGGGATGGGGAGGAGGGTGTCAATGGGGGAAAAAGGAGAAACAGCTGTAACAAAAACAAATTAATAAAAGTAATTTAAAAAAAAAAAAAGAACTGGTCATCTCTCCCCTAACCTTTCTCATCACATTACTTCTATGTCAATAGAGCCCATGTTATATTCTGTTCTGTATTATGACTAGTTATTCATAAACCTGTCTCCTCTTTGAGTTTCTAAACTCCTAGTCTTTATGTCCATCCCAGGCCAGCGTGCTAGCAGAGTACCACACATACAGCAAACAGTCAAAAAAACGTCGATACATAGAATGTCCATTTTAGAAGCTATTCACCTCTGAATTTCCCAAGCCACTTTTTAAAAAGTATTAGAATTAGTCATCCTAAATTTTACTAGGGTGTTTTTCAATTGGGCTACCTTGTGTTTTCTGTAGAGATTGTAGAAGGTTCTAAATTTTTTTCTAGTGTAGCTGCTGCGATATGCTCCACCAATGAGGTACTCGATTACCAATCCAATGTCAATTAGTGTTATTCTGTAGCCTGAAAGAAGGGTATGCTGAAACAAAAACATGTAATCAGTGATAACTCTCAGTTCTTTTTTCTACTTTTCCATGACATCCGAACACCACCAAATCAACTGCAAAGAGATCGTCTCAGACTTTTCAATCATCTTTACAAACCGATCAATTAATATGACCAGCTATTGATACAAACTGCTTGTTCACATGGGGAAGGATATTTAGCTTTAATATGCTTTTAGTGTTATGAACTCTGAATGTCTGTTTATATCTGCTGATTCACTCTTTTTCTCTCTCACTCATACATATACTTTAGAATAAAATACATTTAAATGTAGTATTAAAAATTGTTTTTAACTTGAAATCACATAATGACTACAGCAGAAGCAATATTACTGAAAGATATACGGAATGCACATGATCAAAAATCAACACTGAGTTGAATCTTTAGCCTCTCTCTTTATGAAAATGGCTGTAGCCCTTTGCATTGTGTTGACAGCATCATACACAAAGCAAGAATACAGAAGGAAGTAAAACAAATAGAAATAAGAAACATGGACCGGTAGAACCAAATGAGATATCAAAACTTGAGGCTGTGCCAAGACAAATGTTATGGCTGGTAGGAGAGCTGAGCAGCAAATTTCCAACTACGTGGGTCTTAGACTAAATGAAAAGTATTCCAGCCCCTAAAAACCCACCGTACTACCTCTTGAAAATTATGTCACCAATGAAATGCAATTCACAGGGCATTTATTTAAATTTTTTTTTCTTTTTTCTTTATTGATTTTATTTTTTTTTTTTTTTTTTTTTATAATCCACACCTGAGGACATTTTTCCAATTTTTGTACAGATAGAGTGGGAGGGAGAGAGAGAGGGAAACATCGATATGAAAGGGACACATCGAGTGGCTGCCACCCACACGACCAACCATTAGAGAGAGATAGAAAGGGAGAAGGAGAGAGAGATAAAAACATCAATGAGAGAGAACATTGACTGGTTGCCTCCTGCATGTCCCCCATTGGGGAACGGGTCCACAACCTGGGCATGTGCCCTGACTGGGAATTGAACTGGTGACCTCTTGGTGCATGGGTCGATGCTCAACCACTAAGCCACACCAACCGGATCACAGGACATTTTTAAAGGTACACAGGGTGCTGAACAAGATCTCTGTGAATAACATTCATGAAGCTTTGAACAAGAAATAAGGTAATATATGCGTATATATGTAAATACATGAATGACCTTATTTCTTTTTCACATTCATAATTTACTTTTTTTCAAGAAACATTAAAAAAAAGATGCTCTTATTTGCTGCTAGTTAAGAGCTATTTAACCTGCTCCATCCCTTTTTCCTCACTTTACTGTGATAGAATCAGAGTTAAAGGAAATAATCCAAGGAAAGTCATGCTGATCTATCACAAATCGATGCCAACTAAATTTATATCTGCACGGACACTTGTTTACTGCTGATTTGCCAACTAAATGTCTCCTTCCACAGTCCTTTCACTCTGGCTCTCCCACCACGTCGGTATAACCAGAAAGCCTGTACTCTCTCCACCAGGATATTAGCCTTCAGAAAAACGAGATAAGAACTTTTCAAGCGTGCCGTGGATGGGTGCTAATTATGGTGACAAGTAAAAGGCACTCCCAGTGTTCTGCATGTGTGAATATAAGTTCTTGGTGATTAGCCCTGACGGGTTTGGCTCAGCGGTTAGAGCGTCGGCCTGCCGTCCAGAGATATCCAGGCTTGGTTCCCGCTAGGGGCACGTACCTCAGTTGCAGTTTGTCCCCGGCCCTGGTTGGGTCGTGTGGGAAGCAGCCACTCGATGTGTCCCTTTCACATCAATGTTTCTCTCTCTCTCTCTCCCTCCCGCTCTATCTAAACAAAAAATGAAAAAAATGTCCTCGCGTGAGGATAAAAAAAAAAGTTCTTGGTGATTAAAGAGAAGGAATTAAGGCATAAATATCTGTTAAAGTTGAAAAGTGTTGGTAAGTAATGTGACAGATTATTTTAAATCTGACCACTCAAAGTTCAATAAAAACACAGTGAGCAAAGTATGAGGAAGGGTACAGCACAGTGGGGTTCATCCTAGTTCTCTAGAATAATGTTGAGACTCAGGAAAGAAGGGAGAGTCCCCAAACTATCACCAAGGTATCACTAATAGTCAAAACAATAATAACAGAAACAAAGGAAATCACGTGTCCTTCTATAGAGACAACAGAACCAGGGAGTGTCTTCATTTTCAACAGATACTATCATCATCATTGACAATACTACTGTACCACATTGAGCTGAACTTCTGACGAGAAGTTTTATGTCTCCGATTCATATTTTATCAGAGAATATTATTAGCTAATAACACTTGGTGGATCAAATCTTTAAAAACACAAAGTAAGCCCTGGCTAGTCTGGCTCTGTGGTTAGAACATCAGCTCTCAGACCAAAAAGTCACGGGTTCAATTCCGGTCAAGGGCACGTACCTCGGTTGCAGTTCAATCCCTGACCCTGGTTGGGGTTGTGCAGGAGGCAACCAGTCAATGTGTCTCTCTCACACAGATGTTTGTTTTTCTCTCTCTCTCTCCCTACCTCCCTCCTACTCTATTTGAAAATCAATGGAAAATATCCTCAGGTGAGGATCTAAAAAACTACACATGCAAAGTAAATTAAAGGAAAAATGCAAGAGTGTGGTTTCGTGATGAAATTGTTTAGTCACTGGGAAAGAGGGTAGGTAATTCACTAAACGATCCAAATCGACATTTTACAAAGCAAAATCTGGTGAAACCTCCATCACAAAGCTAAGGCAACGCCCAAAAAAATGCACACCTTGGTAATTAGGTTACCTGTTTCACATCTCGGACCAGATGATGCAGGAACATATTAGTAGGTCCTTGTTTCTGTAATAAAGAACAAAAGCAAGAATTTTAATTACCTTTTTATTACCATGCGCCGGGGGAGAAACTTTATTTCAGAGTGTATAAATAATCCAGAATACTAAAAAATTTCTTCAACATCTTTAGTAATGAAGCTTCAGACACTTTAATTCTAAGGAAGATGTTTCCCAAGAGAAGATGGAATTAGACTGAAATACTTTTCAAAGCAAAATGGATACAGGTAGGGAGTAAGGACTTAGCTTTATTTGATGAGAGAGAAATAAATTTAAACTAATGTATAACTACCTTTTAACATATATAAACCACACAATCACAAATATCACACAATTACATTCCATCAACAAATATTTATTAAACACTTACTACATTCAATCAAGCTTCTGAAGGAGTCGATGAAGAATGTAAGTACTTTCTTTACAGGGTTTTTGCAATCTAATAGAAAAAATGAGTACTTGTACACAAAAAAAAAACCCAATTATACAAAGATGTGTATGCTCAAGAGTTGAAAATAATTTGTACCATAGGGACAGGTCAAAAAGACAGGAGTTCAGTAGGGCTTTGAAGAAGACTAAGATTCAAAGAACAGGAAATGAGGTTTCAAGAAGAGTACATGACTCGAGCAATTGATGTTTTTACAATGAGCAAGCCAGTCCAGTTTCAATAAGGGGTTGCATAGGAAAGTGGCAGGAACAGAAACTTTTTTTTTTAATTTTCTTTTCTTTATTGATTTTAGAGAGAGAGAGAATATCTATTGCCCACCTTCTATATGCCCCCTACTGGGGATTTGACCCACAACCTGGGCATGTGCCCCAACCGGGAATTGAACCTGAGACCTCTTGGTGCATGGGCCGCACTCAACCACTGAGCCACACCGGCCAGGCAAAGGAACAGAATTTTAACAGTGGCCTTAGGTTGATATGCTTTCAATAACTCAATAAAACTAATTTGTTCTTATTCAAATCTGTGGCATTAATTATGGTCTTACTACAATGTTTTCTTAAGTGAGTTCATGTCTCTGTTGTGTATAGTTAATGATGAGAAATACAGAAATGACCCTAAGATCAAATGGCATTAGTAAGAATATTTCTTCTTTGGTTGACAAGTCTGTCTGTCTATAAGCTATATTTGTACTAAAACATCAAACAGACATGAACATTCAAGCTAAAGCTTAAAGGAAAGTTTAAAGGCGGTGACGGATGAAATGTCTGGATACTCACTGTGTTATAGAGCTCTTCCAGCCGAGGGATGGTAAGAAAGCGGTGGAGGTTCACTCCGTATTCTATTAAGAGCTTCACAAAATCCACTCTATCCATCACTAAAGCATCCAACATTGCTTGTTCCAGTGAGCCAGGCTGCAGAGGGTCAAAATAAATGAAAGATATAAAGACATTAAGAGAGTAGAAATAACTAAAATATGACGTGCATTTGAACTCAAAACTATGCAGACATAGTAAATATGAAATCTTACTTCAGCACCTGAGTGAAGAACTAACAGAAAGTGAACGTGAAGACAAAAAGGACATCCTGAACAAATTGCTCTTGGGTGGGAAGTTTGACTATTATAACGATTCCAATGCTTCCCAAATAAATGTATAGATTTAATGCAAATTCTGATAAAAATCCATTTTGTTTTGTTTTTATAACTTGGCACGTTTCTATCTAAACTATACCTGGCTTTGGTGTATAAATGGCAAATTAAACATATTCATCTACTTTTTTTGTTGTTGTTAATTCTCACCTGAGGATGTTTTTTCCATTGATTTTTTTAGAGAGAGTGGGCGGGAGGGGGCCGAGGAAGGGAGGGAGAGGAGAGAGAGAGAAACATTGATGTGAGAGATACACATTGATTGGTTGCCTCCACATGACCCTGATAGGGGCTAGGGATCAAACCTGGAACTGAAGTACGTGCCCTTGACCAAGAATCAAACCCACGACCCTTGGGTGCGCAGGCCAACGCTCTAACCACTGAAACAAACTGGTCAGGGCAACATTCATCTACTTTTACTCCTACCTAAAACTCCATTAAAACTACAGTAATGGGATTTCTTAAAGAAATTAATCTACAGGAACAAGGAGATCAAGAGTACACCATTTTGAAAGTTGGAAAGCAGAGAGTCAAGTGGTAATGGACTCAGCAGTCTCCCAAAAGCCAAAAGGTGAAGTCTCCAGAAACTGAAATTGGAAAAAGTCAACAACCAAACACAGAATTCTGGCAGCACCAGGATAAAATAAATGCACATAGGCTTAATTTCTAATGTTTGAGATCTTCCCCGTTGTTTTCCTCCCTCCTGACTTCCATTACACTAGCAACAAGGTTTTCACCAACAAGGCGAAGGATTGAAGGGTTCTCTTCTGGTATTGTGACTAATGTAAGAGAAAAGACATGAATATGCTGACTGCTCATGTCCGCCAACAAATGGCAGTCAGATCATCCCACTGTGCAGCTCACACCTACAGCCTCAGAATTCCTCATGAGCTGTCTATCCTCCACACTTCAGCAAAAAGTCCAGGACAAACAGACTACAAAAAGTCCACTAAGAGGAATCAGGCAATGCAGGAAGAAGAAAACTTTAAAAGGAGCATCATTAATATCTTCAGAAATAAAAGAAGATATTTGCATTCAGGATGCCATTAAAAAAAAAAAAAAAAAAGACAAAAAACAAATTTGCTCTTAGACATTAATAGTATGCTACCAGAAAAAAAAGCTACCTGCGAGGCATGAAAATTAGAGTTGAAGAAGTCTACCAAAGAAAATGCATATTAGTTCAGAGAAATAAGATAAAATTAGAGGAGCCATGGTCCAATGTTTAATTAATAGGAATTTCAGAAAGAGAACAGAGAAAACAGGAGAGGACATTCCCCAGAATAGAAACACATGATTGCCAAATTAAAAGCATGTGTTCTGCATAATGGCTATAAAGATTTAAAACAACACATATATTTGTGAAATGTCAGAACACTGGAAAAACTGAAGACTTTTCTAAACTTCCAGAGGAGGGAAAAAATGGTCACAACGGATCAGAAAACAAAGATTTTTACTTCTCAACAGCAATGCTGGGTGTTAGAAAGTCAATATTCAAAATTTTCTAGAAGAATTATTTCCAATCTTGAATTAAAATATATTCAAACAGCTGCATAGTATTCCATTGTGTAAGACTATGCAGCTATAAGAAAGAAAAATCTCTTACCCACTGAGAGGACATGGAGGGACCTGGAGAGTGTTATGCTGAGCAAAATAAGTCAGTCAGAGAAAGACAAATACCACACGATCTCACTTATTTAGGGAACATCATGAAAAAAATAAGCTATCAACCAAAACAGATCTGGTCATGGAAGTAGGCAACAGACTAACAAACCTCAGAAGGATAGGGGTGAGAGGGATGGGAAGAGATAAACCAAATAACTTATATGCATATATGCACAACCAATGGACACAGACATTAGGTTGGGGAAGGCAGGAGGGGGGTGGGAGCAGGGAGGAGGAGTCAATAGGGAAAAGGAGGTACATCTGTAATACTTTTAGCAATAAAAAAATTAAATTAAATAATAAAAAATATATATTCAAACATATAAGTCCTCAAAATCTCCTATACTCCCTTTCTCAGGAAGTTACTGAAGGATGCACACCTACAAAATAAAGTAGTAAACCAAGAAAGGGGAAGACAGGAAATACACAAAATGGGTATTCTAACACCAGAGGGAATCCCCAGACAACAAGGATGACAGTCCAGCACCAGGAGCAGCAGGCAACCAGTCCCAGTTGAAGCAGTGAGGACCACAGACAGAAGCTCTGAGTGGTCTCTGAAATGGATAAATCAGAAAACAGCAATATGACCTATTGTAGTAGGCAGTTAAACAGGCATGAGAGCAAGGACAGTGGGCCAGGTGTGGAAGGTCACCAGGGTGGAAAGCTCAGAGTGCTGAGCAACAAACAATTGTAGGGTGGGACCTCGCCCCCAGGGTAACCTTTCCTCCCCAAGTATATCACTAGTCATGTGATTTAGACCCCCTCACCTTTCATATCACTGGTCATATGTTTGGACCTTCCCCTGACCTTTCCTCCCTGGCATGTCACTAGTCATGTGGTAGACCCCCTTAGAAGAGAAACAAAGGGGCCAGAGAAGTCTCATATGACCCTCATAGAAGCTTGCATAACCATTCCTTAAAGCATTAAGATCTCAGGACAGCCCTGGTCTGTGGCTCAGCTGGTTGGAGCATCATTCTACACACCAAGAGGTTTTGAGTCAGGGCACATACCTAGGTTATTGGTTCAATACCCGGCCAGGGCATGTATGGGAGGCAACCAATCAATGTTTCTCTCACCTCCTTCCTCTCTCTCCAAAAAAAATGAAAAATAAAAACATATCCTCGGGTGAAGATTTTTTTTTAAAGACCTCAGGACAATGAGGTTCTCACCTGCGTCAAATAATCTTAGGAACAAAGCCTCAGGTCCATTGACCACAGAGATAGAGGTTTGGTCAAGCTAGAAATAACATCTAGGCCTCAGTTGTGTTTAAGCTCCAGGCCCAGAAAAGCAGCAAGGCCAGTCGGGGTGACACCACAGCTGACATCAGGACCAGTGGGTGACTAATGACCCCCTGCCCTGGCACTAACCAATCAGTGGAGACCACGACCTTGAAAGGACACACCTGGGAAGCTGATGAATATTCTGTTGAGATCCTCCCCTGGGACCTCCCCTAAAATCCCTGCCCTTAGACAGAGGACCCAGCACAGCTCTCGTGAGCTCACCTGCATCTTTTCCCACCTCATTCTTTCCCCAGCACACCCGCCTTCCCCCCTGCTCCTTCCCCCAGGTGCATATATCTCAGATTTCTGTCCCCTAAGTTGCAAGGGCCCTTTTTTTGCCTCTATAGTTTGTTTCCTGATCCCATTTCTTCTACCACTCACTTCCACCTCTGTGACTTTCTAAATAAACTTTCTCTTATAGTTTGAGTCTTGGCTCTGAATTCTTTCTTAGCCAGATGTCAAGTACGGAGGTTGCTGAACAGAGGTCTTGTCTGACCCCATAGGTCTAACACCTGGTGCCGTTTCACCACCAACATTATTATTTAGAAATATGGAGGTTTAAAATATCAGAACAGTAAAAAATGTCAAAAGTACTTGGTTTGTGGGATTAGCCAGGCAAAGAACTACCATGTTTTTTAGTAGACTTTTAGTACCATTTAATGTTTTAAACAATGTGCATGTATTTGTTTGACCAAAAAATAATCTACCTGTGGTATGGTAACAATTGTAATTTTTAAAAAAGGAATGCTGCCCTGGCCAGTTTGGCTCAGCAGTTGGAGTGTCGGCCTGCAGTCTGGCGAGACCCGGGTTTGGTTCCTGCTAAGGGCATGTACCTCAGTTGCAGTTTGTCCCCGGCCCTGGTTGGTCGTGCAGGTGGCAGCCACTCGATGTGTCCCTTTCACGTCGATGTTTTTCTCTCTCTCTCTCCCTCTCTCTCTCTCCCTCCCACTCTATCTGAACAAAAAAATGGAAAAATGTCTTTGGGTGAGGATAAAAAAAAAAAAAAAGTAATGTTAATAGTAATTATGATTATCACTATAGCTAATTTTTCTTCTACTTTTCTGTTTTCATTAATTTGTACTATGAAAACTTATTACAATTTAATGCAAAAAATAAAATAAAATAAACTTGAAGTTTTAAATAACAATATGAAAATCAAATTTGCCCATTTAAAAAATAAAAAAATCTGCCCTGGCCCATTTGGCTCAGTGGTTAGAGTATCGGCCTGAGGACTGAAGGGTCTTGGGTTAAATTCCCAGTCACAGGAGCATACCTGGGTTGCAGGTTCAATTCCCAGCCCTGGTTGGGGTCGTGCAGGAGGCAAACAATCAATGTGTCTCTCTCACATCGATGTTTCTCTCTCTCTCTCTCTTCCACTCTATCAAAAACTCAATGGTAAAATATCTTTGAGTGAAGATTAACAAAAAATAAAAAATCCTTCTAATCTGTCTTTCCCCCAGTTTCCTTTAGGCTGCAGAGCCAGAGGAAAAAATGTTTTCAGGGAGGCAAAGTAGGTGAGAGAAACGTTTCTGTGACCCCTGGGCGCCTAGCTACAGAGAAGCTACAGACACACCTCCCAAACCATTTACTCTCTACTCCAATTTCCTCTTCTGCCCTCCCTAATAAACCAGCACAAAAATATTTTTTCCAAGTAACTTCATTTTCATTATACCTTCCAATGTTGTCCATATATTAGGATATGTTTCTTGGCAATGTCCGTTCTGTCCCAAGCCATTGCCAGATTTAATTGTTCAGATGCTGATAAATTTGTGCCTAGAGTAAAAGAAAGGAGTAATCATATATTCTATTTAAAATGTCAGTATATGAAGCACAACGTGCCATTGAATGTGAACACAGAAAGTGAGGAACAGATGTTACCCTCTCAGATGCTCACCTTTTAGCAGCGCTGTTAGAATTGCTAGATCAAGGTCTTGCAACTCCTCAGAATCAGCCTCAAATATGATAATCTATAATAGTTTAAAAACAGAAAAACATACATTTTTGGAAACTAGCAAAGGAATGCTTTCAAGAGTACCTGCAAAATTCATTGTTCATCTAATGAACAGAGAAAAACCATCTTCATTAATGTCAATAAACACTGAGTTTAAAAAAAGATTTCTTTTTATTTATAGAAGAGAAATTTTACATAGGGTAATGGAGAATTATGGGCATGCAAAGAAAATCATATATAAAAATTTTCATGTATCCAAAAAGAAAAAAATTCTATGTATCCTAGAGGAAACATATAAAAGATCATTGCTACATTAATTTACTGAGCACATACTATAAGAAAAGAAAGTTCAGCCCTGGCCGGTTTGGCTCAGCAGTTGGAGTGTTGGCCTGTGGACCAGAGAGTCCCAGGTTCAGTTCCCATTAGGGGCACATACCAAAAAAAAAGAAAGTTCAGTTCCTCGTATAAAGGAAATCATTCCTCATTTTAAAAGAATACAAATGAGATCCTTCTGTTCACCTAGCCATAGAAACAAAGACTTTTGCTTTTTAATGAGAAATGAATCCTTAAGGATTTGTCATAAAGTGAGGTGATTACAATGTACCCAATGAGCAACTACAACGGACAGCACAGGCTGTCACCACAATGTCAGTGTCCCGTGCACCTGGCATGCAATGTTTTTTGTTGTTGTTTTTTCTTAATTGGTTTTAGAGAGAGAGGAAGGGAGGAGAGAGAGAGAGAGAAACATCGGTGAGAAAGAACATCTATTGGCTGCCTCCTACAGGCCCCCACCCTGGGGATTTGGCCCACAACCTGGGTATGTGCCCTGACCAGGAATCAAACCGGTGACCTCTTGGTTCATGGGTCGATGCTCATTTTTTAAGACAAATAAGGATATTATTATTATAAAAAGTCTCCTGCTATCAATGAATGTATCTCAGTCTTTCCAATATAAAATATAATAGACCGTCCCAGCGGGTGTGGCTTAGTGTATTGAGCATTGTCCCATGGACTGAGAGGTCCTAGTTCAATTCCAGATCAGGGCACATGCCCAGGTTGTGGGCTCAATCCCCAGAAGGGGGCATGCAGAGGCAGCCGATCAATGTTTCTCTCTCACATCGATGATCCTATCTCTCTTTCCCTTCCTCTCTAAAAGAATCAATAAAAACACATTTTGAAAAATTATAAAATGTTGACCACGTATAAGATTTCAGCACTGAGCTCAAGTTTCAGTTCTACTGTTTCATAATTTGATGACTCCGGGTAAGTAACTTAATTTCTACAGGCTTCAGATCCATCTTCTCTGAAACTGAAATAAACAATCACTGCCACATTGAACACACTCAAGGGGCTATTTCAGGCCCAAAAAAAAAAATGTATCTGGCCTGGCTGATATGCCTCAGTGGCTGAGTGTCGACCCATGCATCAAGAGGTTGCCAGTTCAGTTATCGGTCAGGACACATGCCCAGGTTGTGGGCCCAATCCCCAGTGAGGGGCATGCAGGAGGTGGCCAATCAATGTTCTCTCTCACTGATGTTTCTCTCTCTCCCTTTCCCTTCCTTTCTCTCTAAAAATCAATATAGAAAAAAATGTTTAAAAAAAAATTATATATATATATCTGAAACCACACTGCTAATTATAGATTATAGACATGGTTGTTATTTTTGTTCTTATTAAGTCAACTAAAACCACAAGGCTTTTTCACACATGTTTAACCACACATTGTCTAGCCTGAACTTGTTCAATTGGTTTTTTGAGGCCAGGTGCTTAAAGATGACCAAAATCTTACATAATTTGGCCCAAACTTCAAATTCTGCAAAAATCACTACAAATCATAACATATCCGCCTATTTACTGTAATTGTCAGCTTCATATCATCTGAGTCACTGATAAAAATATTCATCAAAGTATCCTAAAATGCTAAAATCTTTTCCTGAATCTACATTATGTTCACAGCCCATAGCGTGTGAATTCCGTTTTCTACCCCAGAGTATGTTGTCACATTTCCCATGGCCAATGTGTCCCTAATGCTCTCCTGCGATTCACTCGGGATGCTGTGAGGCAGTCATCAAGCCCAGCCGACTTGAGTTCACTTTAACCATCGAAAAGATGTATGGGTAATATTCACAAGAGTTATGTATAATTTTCACTAAATTAACCCCCTTTACGTACTACTGCTATGCAATCTAAACGCTTTTTCCCGGGTACAGTTGGGAATTTGAAACAGGGTCAGGGGTTAAGAAGCCAAGTTATACCCTGGCCGGTTTGGCTCAGCGGTTAGAGCGTTGGCCTGTAGTCCAGAGAGACCCGGGTTCGGTTCCCGCTAAGGGCTTGTACCTCGGTTGCAGTTTGTCCCCGGCCCTGGTTGAGTCGTGCGAGTGGCAGCTACTCGATGTGTCCCTTTCATGTTGATGTTTCTCTCTCTCTCTCTTCCTCTCTCTCCCTCCAGCTCTATCTGAACAAAAAATGAAAAAATGTCCTCAAGTGAGGATAAAAAAAAAAAAAAAGAAGCCAAGTTACTCAACTAAGGGTCCAGTTCTGTACAGTCGTATACAAAGTTAAAAATGAAAAATTCCATACTTTAAAAAACTGTGAAAATAAACAGTACAATTTTAAAAATTAGCATTAAGTGGTCGAGTCATCACCTCATCATACTCACAGAATCCCTGTACACCATGCACTCCATCAGAATTTGGAAAAGGTGCTTGGACTGTTTGAGACTGAAGTTGAAAGTGTTCTGAATCATGCAGATGATCTCCTCCTTCACCTGAGGACGAAGGGTCCTGGGAGAGAGATGAGTGGCCATGACTTGACACAATGCAGAGAAGGAAAAAAGTCACAACATCGGTACAAACACACCAATCGTCCGCCCTACTGACAGAGTGGTTTCCACGGGCCGTTCTGCCATGGAAGAAAATGAGCAGGAAGCAAAGAGAGACAGCGGCACCAGTAGTCTGAATTTGAAAGCGAGAACAGACTGATCCGCCACAATCCTGGAAAGAATATACTTGGGGCAAGGTTCTCGAGCTGATAGATTTCCAGGAGGCTATCCATCTCCAGAAATTATGGGCATCATGTTCTCAAAAGGTTCTGAGCCTTGGTCTGTGTGGCCCAGTGGTTGGGCGTGATCCTGTGCACTGAAAAGTTGCCAGTTCAATGCAGGGTCAGGGCACATGCCCAGGTTTCGGCCTTGATCCCACATAGGGGCGCAAAGGCGGCCGCCAGTCGACATCGACGTTTCTCTCTCTCTCCCTATTCCTCCCTCTCTCTCTAAAAAGCAATAAAGAAAAAAAAAGAAAAAGGGGGAAAGAATTAAAACCTCAAATAAGCACAAAATACACTATATAAATGCCAGGATGTCGATTTCCCTAATTCCTGCTATTTTTACTGATGGCAAATGAATTTGAAGGTGACCTGGTCACACTGGTTTCCTCACTCACTGCAGAATTTTTTCAGCTTTCCTGGCCATTTGCAGGAGACTCTCCTCCCTCGATCTCCCTACAAACGTTTTTCCCGAAGCTCACACAGGGCTCCGGCGTCCCTTCGAGGCAGCTCATTCTTCAGCTAAGGAAACAGCCACTGGCCCCACTGGAGGGCATCTCGATTAATACAAAAACCACGGAAAAATGAACTGCAGTCCCCACCTCTTCCCTCCAAGGATATCTGGTCCACATAAAAGCAGAGCTTAAAAAAAAGTAAAATGAAAGAATAGTCATCATACTTTCAAAAGTGAGAGTCAACCGCTTACCTTTCGTCTGCTAAGTGTTTGTGGGTGAAGGCCAGGAGGTCGGCAGCCCTGCCGGTCCCCTCGCACACCACCACTGGGTGCTTGTCTTTCACAGTCTCCCACACCCAGAGGATGACATTGGGACCTCCTTCGGCCACCAGCCCCACCACGGGCACGCCTTGTCTTGAGCCTATTTGAGGCGACAAACAGCACCGAACTGTTACAGAGCAGCCCTCTCTTGGCCAGTGAGCCATTTCGATGTCCAGACACACTGCCTATCACCACTTACACACATCACTTGCTATAGCCCGTGTCTCTTTATGGCTCAGGCTTGCGGAGTTCAAGACAAGCCAGAGCCTGGACGTTAAATAGAAGTAGCATAAATATGGTGACAATATCTTCAAGCTTTCTCCAGTTAAAAAAAAAAGTTGCAAAAGGCTTTCAGTGATTTTTTTTTTAATAAGTAGTCTTCAAGAAATTTTAACTTTTCAGAGTGGAAAATGTCAACCTTTCTGAAAAGAAAAACAGAAGGGCCCAGCCGGTGTGACTCAGTTGTTGAGCGTCCACCCACGCACCAAGAAGTCGCTGGTTGGTTCCCAGTCAAGGCACATGCCCAGGTTGTGGCCAAATCCTCAGTGGGGAGCATGCAGGAGGCAGCCATTCGATGTTCTCTCTCATCAATGTTTCTATCTCTCTCTCCGTCTCACTTCTTCTCTCTTTAAAAAAAAAATCAATAAAGGGAAAAAAATTTAAATAAATGTAAAAAAAAAAAAAAAAGATTAGAAAACAGAAGGATGTAATGGATCACAGTGTATCCATCACTGATCTCCACAAATGATCAAACTTCTGTCAATTCTATCAGCTTTCAGTGGTGGTTATTTCTATAAATAAGATGAAAAGGGCAGCCCTCAAAGACGTTTACATTTCAATTTATTGCATTTTTCACTGTTTGAATTTCTTATCGTGACTATATATTACTTTATTAAAGTAAGAACGACAAAATAAAGACAACTTTGGAGTCATTCTTTTTGAGAAGATATTAAGTGAACAAAAGTTACAGAATGATATGCAAAGTGTGATCCTATTTATATTTTCAGAACCATATACATGAAGGATATATATCAACCTACTAATAGTAGAGAAGGAAGGGGAAGATTTGGGAAAATGTTGAAAAGGAACTTTGTTTATTCTACAAATTTCTTATTTGATTTAACTTTTACACCACACATGTATTATTATATTTAAATCAATATTTTATTTTAATTTTCAAAGGAAGAAAAATTGGCAGGCTACACCACACTCACTTCTGAGCCCCACATTTTCCAGGGCCCGCCTCTGGCCATGCTCCTTCCCTAGCGCAGAGCAGTCTACAAGGCCAAGTTTAGGGAAGCCTGTACCCCCTCCCCTACTTAGCAGGGTGGAGCAGACCCCAAAATTTCTGTTACCAGGGACTGCCTGGGCCTCTTCCCCAGATATGTTCTCCCGAAGGACATACTTGCCAAAGCAAAAGGCAGCGGAGTAGGCGAGAGGTGGACAGTCTGGGCACAGAGGCTGGTGTGTCCAGGGGACCACATGGGTGTGAGGCCCCTGGCATGGCAGAATTGAGCCAAGGGCAAAAAGAGAAGCAGAGAGAGGGTAACAGGCCAGGGTCAAGGTGCTGGCTCTGCCTCACCCCCACATTCTGGCTCAGCACCCCCAACGAATCTAAGATTCTGAAACTCAAAGCTGGCCTCCCAGCTCTACGGGCAGAGGTGCAAGGACAGCACACTACACAGTCTGTTAGTTTGGGCTGAGGCTTTTCAATATGTGTACATATAACATGTGGACTTCCGTGTGTCCCCGAGGCCTGTGCACAAATGTTAGGGGTGGGCCTGCGAGCAGGCATCCCTGCCCTTCCTTCTGTCTATTTAACTGCTTTGACCTTCTACTTCCTGTCCTTTCCCACATTCCTCCACCCCACTACTTTCTCCCTATCGCTAAACCGTGAGCCTGAGACACTGTAGGGGTTCAGAAAAAGTCACCCCAAGCTGTGCGTCTGTGACAGAAGAATTATCTTGAACTAGGCAACCAAGACCCTGAGGGCTCAAGAGAAACTTCTGCCCCTCCCCCACAGCCATGTAGAAGAATTTAAGTTAGGGGCCTTGCCTATCATAAGAGAGAGCACCCGAAATAACTTTTTATTACCTATCGATAGGGCAGGACAAACTACTAATTACTAAAAGGATCTTAATGATGCTACTAATGAAATGTGTTAGAAAAGAAAAAGTTTCCTGAGAAATCTGACCCCCTGCCTCTAGTCCTGGCCCCCAGAGGTAAACAGGAATACAATATGACACCTCAAAATCGAAAGCTCCTGGAACAGCAATCCCAGGAAAGCACCTTTTTGGGGAGAGGTGGACACTTTGTGTCCAAGGCAGCAGAAGGTGGGCTGCTGCCCTGCAGCGATTCCCATCTCTCCATTCAAGGATGCTCACCGAATCTGGCCTGCCACTCACCTCTCCCTCCTCCGCTACTACCAAATTGGCCATCTCAAAGCACACTGTGAGCAGAACACAGCACGAACACCTTCTGTGGTTCCCATTTCTAAAAGCCCTGTATGATTTCAACCTCTTCCCTGCCTGGGGCCACCCCACCCACATATGAAATGTCATCTCCCTGGACCTTCAAAGCTCATAGTCCCAGTTTTCTCAGGCCAGTCTCTTTACTGCTCTCCAGCCATCCCCATTCCCTCCTCCTCCCTCCAGCCACCCAACCCTGAGGGCTCCAGGAGGCTCTGCTAATGTCCCCACTCTGCCACAAAACCTCCCCTGTCTACACTGTTCCCCATAAACTTTTCCTCTCTCCCAACTTAACCCAGAGCTCTGTACCACTGCACACCCTGTTTTCTACTGGTTGTGGATTCACACCGTACAGCGGGGCTGCCTTGGGCTTCTCCACTCTGTACAGATGACAACAGAGCAGTTATTGGCTGAACCCCTGTGGTACTCACTGCTGTGTATTTTCTGCAGCGAGAGGTACTTTTCCAGGTTCCTCCTGAGCTTCATCTCATTTCCATACTTGCCCACAGTCCCGTCGTCGGACAGGATGAAGTGGGAATGCATGCTGTTGAGTGTAGTGAGCTTGCTGAGGGGGTTTCCCAGAGTCTGGTACAGGCACACCACCTGCAAGGACAAGGGAGGGTCAGAGCTCAGGATCCTTCCCTCGGTTCAGCTGCTCCGAAGGCCTATCTCTCTGCACTGCAGAGTTCTTGAGGTTACAAAGCATGACTTGCTTCCAAGACCGGTGCTTCTCAAGCTATCTGTACTGCTGTGAGACTCAGCGATGCAAGTTCAACAACACACGCACACACCATGCTCAGCAAGATAGGTCCACTGCCCACGTGCGTGGATGCCACAGCACTGACACATTGCTAAAAATGGTGCTAAGTGTTTGTTTTAATCTCAGCACTTACCTTGCTTCAGAGAATTAAAAAACAGTTCCAGAATCCCCATCTTTACACAGACATCATTGTCCAGAAAATATGCCTTTAGCAGATCTGTTCCAGACTAATATATATTTTTGAAAATATTTTTTTCTTTTTATTGATTTTAGAGAGAGAGAGGATGGGAGAAGGAGAGAGAAAAAGAGAGACATCAATGAGAGACAACATTGATTGACTGCCTCCTGCATGTCCCCCACTGGGGTTCAGGCCCACAACCTGGGCATATGTCCTGACCGGGAATCGAACCAGTAACCTCTTGGTGCATGGGTCGACGCTCAACCACTGAGCCACACTGGCTGGCCAGACTAATATTTTGACACTAGTATTCCAAAGGAGAAAAGGAATGACAGCCAACCAAATGGCAATTCATTCTATACAAAACAGCCACATCTTTATTGACATTGATTGACTCTTATTTGTTTTTCGAGATGAGAGGCCAGGATTTGGAGTCAGAGAGCTCAGGTTTAAGTCCAGACTCTTCCTACTAACTCTGGGGAATCCCCGCCTCCTTCTCAGACTGATTTTCCTCATGCATAAATGAAGACGGTAATAATTTCTGTATCAGAGGGTTGCTGAGGCTTAAAAGAAATAATAGATGTGAAAAGCACTATGAGCTTTACAAACATTATTCCTAAAAAGTGACCTTTATCATTCCTAAGGATGACACAGGCCAGAAACCAAAAAGAAAAGGATTGACAGACTTAATACATATTTTTTATTTACAGAATAATGATAATTAATGATATAAAATAACAACTGGGGGAAATGCAGCGTACATGACAAACAGAAATGTAAATAAGCTGAATTACAATATAAAAGGCCTGTCAAAATAGAATAACCATGCTGGAAAATGCCAAAAACCACATGGAACAATGTTAAACCTCACTAGTAATCAAAGATATGTAAATAAAAATAATTAGATATTAGTTTATATCAAGATGGCAATTTGTTTTAAAGGCCCGAATACTCAGAGCTAGCAGTGGAACAGAAAAATGGGCAGCCTCATACCCTGTCGGTAGGAACATAAGTTGTTTCTACCTTTCCGGAAGTCGGTGAGTCGTGTTTTTAAAGGTAGATACCAACTAGCTCAAGCATTCTGGTTTGAGAATTACTTTGAAGGAAATAAAGCCAGCTAAGTTCAAAAATTTATATAACTTACTATAATATTAATATCATTTTAAAATAGTGAAAAACAGGAAATCGCTTAAATGAACAATATTAGAGGACTAGATAAATAAATTATAGTACTTTAATACAGTGGAATATTATGAGGCATGAAAAATCAAAATGCACTCTTAGCCCCCAGAATTGGGTCTGTTAATACTATTTCCCACTAAAAGCAACCATCCATTTCTCTAGGGCCAAAAAATATATACAATGAGCCTGGAACATTTTTCATACCAAATGCAAGGTAGCTTTGGAAAATGAACAGAATTATGTTACAAGGACTCAAGAGTCAACTCAAAAAGGCTCCAATGGGCAAAAGGAGATCATTTGAGCGTGATTAAGAATAATAACTATAATGGATGGAAACTTACTATACATGTTTAAATTCATGAATCAAAAAACAAAATCTCATGGTTCACCTTGGATGGTAGATAACCAGCTCATTGTTTTGTGCACTGGCAAATAAAGAGAGGGCGTCGAGCATCTATTCTACCCTCCCCTGTACAACTGCACCGCAAGGTAAACCAAGCGGCTGATAAAAAAATGTTTTTCTCCATAAAGTGTTTAACTTCATAAATGAAGAAAGAACAGTGTAATAAATACAAGTATTTTCAACCCTATTGAAATAATGAATGTAGGCAATCACATCATAAAAAGAGATAATCCTATGTTACCAGGGAAGGATACCTCTCCTCCTGTGGCGGGAACTTGCACAAACAGAACCTGAATCTGATCATGCCTTTGGATCAAACTACCAATTTACAGGAAAGACAGGAGGCAGAGAAACAGCCTAGACTCTACTACAAGAGGTTATATTTGCAAAGTCCAAACTATGGGAAACTCTTCAGAACAAATGACCCAGTTTCTTCAACAAATAAACAGCCAAAAAAAAAAAAAAAAAAGGAGATGGAGGGAAAATCTATAGATTAAAAATTGCTTAAAGTGACTCAACGACATATCAACAGACTGTCACGCTGTAGGAAACTTTTTTACATAATAAAATCAAGCAACTCAAAAAGTAGGAAACAATCGGAAACGTGAACACAAACTGAATATTTAATGATACTCAGGAACTATTGTTAATTTTCTTAGGTATAGTAATGGCAATGTGGCTATGGTTTTTAATTGCCCATATGTTTCAGGAATACCTATTAAAATATTTACTAATGGAATTTGCTTCAAAATAATGGAGGAAGAAGGTATGCAGTGCACAAGGAAAGAGATGAAATAAAATTGGCTATGAGTTCATAAGTGAAGCTGGGAGATGGGAATTTAGGAGTTCATTATTCTAATCTATTTACTCTTTAATATGTTTAAATTCCCCAAGATGAAAGTTAAAATAAACCATAAGCATGTCTTTATTTATTGACATAGAAAAACAACTATGTCAGATAGTTAAGCTAAAAAACAGATTCACAGTCGTGGGTTTCTGTTATTCCTTATTTAACATGCAACCTTTTTTTTCACTATACATATACACATATACAAAGAAAAAATTCTGGAATAATGCACACCAAAATATTGACCGTAACTATCTTCCTTCTTCATACCTTTTGTAATAACAGCGATTTTTACTGAAAATATCCACTAGTCATAAACAATTAGACAAGTCTATTCTCTTTAGAAAAAACAAACAGTTGGAATCAAAGAATCAATACACAGGAATGAATGAAGCAGAGAATAGTATGAGATGAGAGAAGAGAAAGGCCAAATCATGAATGTCCCTTATTTCGCTTCTTGCACGCCATTGCCAGAAGCGTGGCTATTGTTCTGAACGAGACAGGGTCCACTGAAGGGTTTTTCACAGAGGAGTAGCAAGATCTGGTTTATATTTTAGAAGAATCATTCTGGCTACAGTGTGTAGAATAGACTGTAATAAGAAACAAGGATGAGAGCAGGGAAGGCTGTCACAACCATCCAGGTGACAGAAAAGGGTGCCTTGGACCTGCTCAGTAATACTGGAGGTAATGAAAAGAGGTCAGATTCTGGGTATATTGTTAAACGAAAGCTGGGATAATTGACTGATGGATCGGGTCTGAGGCATGAGACAGATCATTCCAGGAGGAGTCCAAGGTTTATTCCTTGAACAACTGCAAGGATGGGCTTGTCATTGTCGAAGATCGGTTGAGGGATACAATAGGAAGTCAGGAGTTGCTTCTGGATATATTACATTCCAGATTTCCATCAGATATCTAGGCAATCAGATACATTTCATTTCCTTTTGCTGTGAAAGGATTATCTACTTACATCTTTTCCAATAAGATCTCTCTGGTTCTCAATGACACCCCAAGGAGGGATTCCAACCGTCCAGATTTTTCTCAAGCACTGAGAGAGATGGGCTTTCAGGGCATCCCCAACATGTTTGGACACTCCTATGAAGAACCAGTTTAGAAGTCAAGTTTTAATTCAAAAAAAAAAAAGTCATGCAAAAACACCATGATTTCCAGGAACAGACAAATAGACAAGTATATGCAAAAGGCCCTCGTTAGGAAAGGTGGTTGACACAGGGAAATTAGTTTCAGTCTCTTGGCTTCCTCTACTCCCTCTTGACACCTCTTATTCCTGTCTTTCCCTGAACAATTCTCCTCTCCCTGTGAGTAGCTTCCACTTACCAGCTCAGTTTTGCCCCCACACCTGCCTGACCAGAATGTCCTGTAAGCCTAGCCCTGAAAACATAAATATTCTAAGGATTTTTTTTTCTCTAACCTTCTCTACTGTCTCAGCAAAACATCCTTCAGATGTGTCCCTTGCTTTATTGGGGCAAATTATTTTAATAGCCTTATATACACAAATATTCCAGAACCAATACATTAGTGTTTGCCTTCTGGGATTAATAATTGTAGCAATAATTGCCCTGGCCGGTTTGGCTCGGTGGTTAGAGCGTCAGCCTGCAGACCAGAGAATCCCGGGTTCGGTTCCCACTAAGGGCACGTACCTCGGCTGCAGTTTGTCCCCGACCCTGGTGGGGTCGTGTAGGTGGCAACCACTTGATGTGTCTCTCTCACATCAATGTTTCTCTCTCCCTCCCACTCTATCTGAAGATAAATGCAAAAATGTTCTCGAGTGAGCATAAAAAAAAAAAAAAAAATAGTAGCAATAATTATAACAGCCAACTCTTCCTATGCACCAGGTGTGCTTTTGACTGTTTTACATGTATTTACACTTTAAGTAGAAACTTTCTTAGTCCATTAGTCAATTTTACAGGTAAAATTAAGGCACAAAGAAGTTAATAAACTTGCTCAAGGTTATAAAGTTGGTAATTGGTAGAGCTTGGAATGCAATCCAGGATATCTGCATTTTCTTTTTCTTTTTTTATAAAACATATTTATCGCTTTTTTGATAACCACACAGGCTGGAATCTATAAATATTCAGATTCATAAAAATATAGTATAAAAATAATGACTTATGGGTGTTTTAAAACAAATCCTTTTACAAAAATACTTTTGCCCATTTTTTAAAAAAATATTTACTGTTAACATGAATACACATGAATCAAATATTAACTAGATTTTTATGCATTTAAAAAATATAATCAGCCCTGGCCAGTTTGGCTCAGTGGTTGAGCATTGGCCTGTGGACCAGAGAGTCCTTGGTTCGGTTCCCGCTAGGGGCACATACCACAAAAAATAAATAAATAAAATAAAAAATATAATCATTGTAAAAATCTGATGATTAAAATTTTTTTGGAACAATTTGAGTTTTTTCTGTTTCCTGCCATTGTTGAATTTATTTTTTTTATTAATTTATTTTTGTTACAGATGTTTCTCCTTTTCCCTTCCATTGACACTCTCCTCCCCATCCCCCCTCACCCGGTCCCCAGCTTTGTTGTCTATGTCCATTGGTTATGCATACATGCATATAAGTTCTGTGGTTTATCCCTTTGAGGATTGTCAGTCTGTACCCTACTTCTATGACTATGGGTCTATTTTGTTCATCAGTTTGTTTAGTTCATTATATTCCACAAATAAGTGAGATCATATGATATTTGTCTTTCTCTGCTTGGTTTGTTTCACTTAAGATAATACTTTCCAGGTCCCTCCATGTCATCTCAAAGAATAAGAGATCTTTCTTTCTTATAGCTGCATAGTACTCCATTGTGTATATGTACCACAGCTTTTTTATCCACTCGTCTATGGATGGACACTTGGGCTGTTTCCAGATCTCAGCTACTGTAAATAGTGCTGCTATGAACATGGGGGTACATATATTCTTTCTGATTGGTGTTTCAGGCTTCTTAGGGTATATTCCTAGAAGTGGGATCACTGGGTCAAATGGCAGTTCAATTTTTAATTTTTTAATGTAACACCATAGTGATTTCCATAGTGGAAATCACTCTACATAGTACCACTCTACATTCCAAACAGCAGTGTACTAGGTTCCCCTTTTCTCTACAACCTCACCAGCACTTGTTTGATGATTTGTTGCTGGTGGCCATTCTGACAGGTGTGAAGTGATACCTCATTGTTGTTTTAATTTGCCTCTCTCAGATGATTAGTGACGTTGAGCATTTTTTCATATGTCTCTTGACCATTTTTATGTCCAGTTTGGAGAGGTGTCTCTTTAGGTCCTCTGCCCATTTTGTAATTGGGTTCTTTGTCTTCTTTTTGTTAAGTTGCATGAGTACTCTATATATTTTGGAAATTAACTCTTTATCTGATGTATCATTGACAATTATGCTCTCCCATATAGTGGGTTCCCTTTCCATTTTGATGGTTGTTTCCTTTGTTGTGATGAAGATTTTTAGCTTAATGTAGTCCCATGTGTTCATTTATTTCTTTATTTCTCTTGCCTTAGGTATTGTATCAGTGAAAATTCTGCTGCGTATGATATCTGAAATTTTGTTGCCTGCATTTTCTTCTAGGATTTTTATGGAAACACGAGTCTTAAAAGGCTTCACTTTTTAGACCAGTTTTAGGTTCAAAATAAAACTGAATGTACAGGGAATTTCTATAAACTCTCTGCCCCCATGCACCCTACTATCAACAACCTCCACTAGAGCAGAACGTTTATTATAACTAATGAACCTACACTGACATCATTATCACCCAAAGACCACAGTTGACATTAGAGTTCAGTCTTGGTGTTGTACACTCTATGGGTTTAGAAAAATGTATAAATAATATGTATCCATCATCATAGTATCATACAGAGCATTTCCATTGCCCTAAACATCCTCTTCTCTATGCCTATTCACTCCAGCCCTCTCCCCTCTCCAATCTAACCCCTGCAACCACTGATCTTTTGACTGTCTTCATAGTTTTGCCTTTTCCAGAACGTCATATAGCTGGAATCATGCAGTATATAGCCTCTTGAGAATGGCTTAATCTGACTTTTAATCACACCACTACATTGCTCCATTTATTATCCTATGTATCATACTGACTCTGTATATGACATTAAAACAGAAAAATAATAATAACTCTGCACATTGCATGTACCTAAATCATTTCCTTCTCTCTGCATTTTCCCCTCCAACCCATCTTTTGCACTTCTCCCAGAGTCATACTTTATTTTATTTTTTAAATTTTTTTCTTTATCAATTTTAGAGAGAGAGGAAGGGAGAGAGAGAGAGAAATAGAAACATTGTTGTGAGAGAACATCGATTGGCCGCCTCCTGCATGCCCCCTACTGGGGCTAGGGCCCACAACCTGGGCATGTGCCCTGACCAGAAATTGAACTGGTGACCTCTTGGTGCATGGGTCAACGCTCAACCACTGAGCCACACCAGCTAGGTGCATTTTTTAGAATCAGAGGTCTAGACCACAGGCACACATCAATATTAAGTGTGGAGCCAGCCACCACAATAGATACTCGGACTCCATAGGTTTGGCATGGGTTACCAGCATTGTGGTGGTGGTGGTGATTTTTCAGCAGCCCACATGTGATCTTAGTACATATTGTTTGTTCGGACTCCTGCCAGAACCAAATCTGACCGTGTCATTCCCTATTCATTCTCCTATTCAAGATCCTTTGAAAGCAGCCTACTATATAGAGAATAAAACCTCAGTCCATCAGCATGGCACCCAATCTGGTTCGTCTCCCTTGCTGTCCCTGCCTCTGCCATATGGCACATTCAGCCAGTGACCTGATCACCTCTTTCTACACATGCCTTAATTTCCAACTGTATGCCTGGCCCAAAGCTGCCACCTTTGTCTCAAATGCCTCTTCCTACTCTTCCTTCAAGGCCAACACCAACTGCTATACCCTTCTCCAAGGCTTCCCAGGTACCCTCAGTTGGAACTAGAATTTATCTCTTCTTCTTTTTACTCCCAAACACTTTCTTTGTATCTCGACAATGACCCACTCAGCATCCGTCTTTAGTTAGTTGCTTACTGCCTATTTGCTTATTGTCACAACCTACCCCATCAATAAACCCAGAGTCCATATCTTCTTCAACGTTCACCTACAGCATCTGCCCGACTGCTTTATAAGTAGTTGACTATTAAGCCTTGTGGAATTCAATTTAAGTAAATGCCAAAAATTCATGCCAAGTAATGTTCAACTACAGTTGAGAAGCATCTCAAGAACAGACAGAAGTTCATAAGCAAAGCTTCTTAAATTTAAATGTGTGTAAGAATCATCTGGGGATGTTGTCAAAATGCAGATCCTAATCCTGCTGGTCTAGGGAGGAATCAGAGATCTGCATCCCCAAAAAGCTCCCAGGGGATGCTACTACTGCTGGTCCAAGGACGACTCCTTGAGTAGTCAATCCCTAAGGAGTTGTGGTAGAAACAGATCAGACCCTAACTGTCGTGTTTCATTTTTAGAGAGAGAGACATCAATTTGTTTTTCTACTTATTTTGGTTGCTTCTTGTATGTGCCCTGATCGGGGATCGAACCTGCAACATTGGCGTATCAGGACAACACTATAACCAACTGAATACCTGGCCAAAGTGAACTTAATTATTGTTTAAGGTAGCTCCAAGTATGTCTCATTTCTCATTTCTTTTGTTCATACGAACTACTTCAATAGTCTTCACAGTATTATATTTGTGTTCCTTAATTGGCCCTAACCTAAAATGTTTTTTTTTAAAAAGGCAATAAATAAAATAAAGCATGTAATGCATTGATGAAGTTAGTTAGCCTTGCCCAAGTCTACCTTTTTCTGAACTCTGCAAAACTTCCCAACTCACCCCCTTTTGTACTGGAAATAAAATAAGTACTGTACAATAGACTAAGGATTCCGCCACCTTCACTTTCTTCCAAGAATCTAAAACAATAATTACCTCAATAAAATGTGCACGAGAAACAACCAGGTTACCCATTAATGACAAGCCAAATCCCTTGGTTTTATTCTGCTTTGTTTTTCTATCATTTGCTTCCTTCAATCCTTTCAGTCAGAAGAAACGAGTTGTTAAATCAGCATGTGTTGCTCAATGCCTAGCCTCTAGCTCACATCCAGGAAGAGGGGCTGACACACAGACTCATCCTAGCCTGTAAGGAAAAGCACAGAATGCTACACGTGCTACAGGCAGTAAATGCTATAGAAATTAAGAGACAAAAGTGAGTTGAGATAGAGAATGCTTCATGGGTATGTTGGCATCTAATGTAGCTCTAAAAGAATGGGCTGGCCCTGGCCGGTTTGGCTCAGCCAAAACCGTCGGCCTGAGGTCCAGAGAGACCCGGGTTCAGTTCCCGCTAAGGGCACGTACCTTGGTTGCAGTTTGTCCCTGGCCCTGGTTGGGTCGTGCGGGTGGCAACCACTCAATGTGTCCCTTTCACATCGATGTTTCTCTCTCTCGCTCTCCCTCTCCCTCTCCCTCTCCCTCTCCCTCTCCCTCTCCCTCTCCCTCTCCCTCTCCCTCTCCCTCTCCCTCTCCCTCTCCCCCTCCTACTCTATCTGAACAAAATATGGAAAAAAGTCCTCAGGTGAGGATAAAAAAAAAGAATGGGCTGAATTTAATAGCTAGGACCAATCAAAATTAAAAGAGAGAGAAATAAAAGAAAGATAAAAAGCCATATTGTGATTTATAATAAGAAATATATATTTGCTTTTCATCCTATTCCTGACACAGAGCTCCTTAAACCCTTGGAATGTCCTAAGTGATGAAAGTAACAAAGTTAAGTTAATGAGGTGACTTTTGGACTGCACCAAAGAATGGGGGCTGGTTGCCAGGGGGACCAACCAAGCATTTAGAGAGTTGGAACTTTCAGCTCCACCCCCTGACCTCCAGGCATCCCTGGAGACAGCTGGAGATTCAGTTCAATCAACAATGGCCAGTGATTTGACCAATCATGCCTATATGATGAAGCCTTCATAAAAACCAAGCGGCCAGGGTTCAGAGAGCTTCCAGGGCGGTGAACATGTGGAGAAGAGGGAAGGGCATGGAAGATCTGTGCCCCTTCCACATACCTTGCCCTATGCATCACTTCCACTTAGCTATTCCTGAGTTATATATATATATTTTTAATCAACTGGTAATCAATTGAGTAAACTGGTTTCCTAAATTCTGTGAGCCAATCTAGCAAATTAATCGAACCAAAGGAAGTTGTCATGGGAACCTCTGATTTATAGCCAGGTGGTCAGAACAGGTAACAACCTCAACTTATGATTGACATTTAAAGTAGGGACAGTCTTGTGGGACTGAGACCTTCACCCGTGGAAGCTGATGCTATTTTCAGGTAGAGAACTGAGCTGAATTACAGGACACCCAGCTTTGTGTCAAAGAATGTATTGAGAAAGAACCCACACATCAAAATTGGTGTCAGAGTCATAACAGATGATTCGTAACAGAGGAGGGTTTGTCAACCCTGGCTTCACATTAGACACACTCATGAAGCTCCACCTTAAAAAACTCTAGTTAATCAGGGGTACAGTCTGTGCATCTGTATTTTTTAAAGCCCCCAAGTGACTCTCTAATGTGCAGACAGTTCATAAATACTGATGTAAAGGAGTAGGGTTAGAGGTTCTGAGACTACTACATAAAGTTCTTGAATGTCAGATTTTAAGAAATATGGCCCTGGCCGGTTTGGCTCAGTGGTTAGAGCGTCGGCCTGCGGTCCAGAGAGACCCAGGTTCAGTTCCCGCTAAGGGCATGTACTTCGGTTGCAGTTTGTCCCCGGCCCTGGTTGGGTCATGAGGGTGGCAGCCACTCGATGTGTTCCTTTTGCGTAGATATTTCTCTCTCTCTCTTCTTCCCACTTTGTGTGAATAAAAAATGGAAAAATGTCCTCGGGTGAGAATAAAAAAAAATAGGAAGAAGTATGAAAGAGTCAGTGATAGAGACAGTGAGTGAAAAGACAATTATGTAGTTAATTCTCTCCACATGTCCATACTCAATACAGTTGTTGCACGCCTCACTGATCTCCAATGCCTGGGAACCTGACCCTGGTGAGTTGAGCTCATGTCCACGCCCACACACCACACACTTGCATGGCTCCCATGTCCTTTTTAACCTCACCACAGTCCAAAGCTCATGAAAGGCGATTTTCTTTTTAACTGAAACTTTTACCCAAAGTTATATAAAAGTAGCATATTTTAACAATGGTAGAAAACAAATTCCAGGAACGGTCTAGGGTTCTTCTGGGTTTCTTTGCCAGTCACTACGCTTTCCGTCTTTCTCCCTCATGCCCCCACATCCTGGCAGCACGGCAGATGGACACGAGCGGCCGTACTGCATGGTCCGCCGTTACAAAGAGGGAACTTAAAGAGGTGTGTAACAGGGAGTGCTTTACCAGTATTAATGCCTTCCGTTATTATCCACGCCCCCGTTGTCTCTGCAGCTTTGACCAAACCCTGGCTGAAGATCTCTTTAAGTTTGGAGGGCATCTTGAAGTTCTGGATGCCCCCGTGGACAGAGATCACCAGCTTCGGCAATTCCATCTTCCACTCTTTCAACATCAAATGTAACAGGTGATCCATCTTTGTATCATAAGAAGTTCGAATATACTGGAAGATAAGCACATACACATGAGCATAAGGTAGTGAGGAACACATGCCAGGTAACAATGACCATGCAGAAAGGCAATTAAAAATCACAGAAACTTGGAAGGTAGGGTCTGAGATCGCTTCAAAAGTTCATCTTGACATAAAGGAAATATTTACTTTCAAAGGGTCCCACACCCCCTTTAGGTTCCTTCCAGGAATTACAAGTTGCAGTAGGAAGGCTTCCTCTGGCTTTCAAGGTTGACCCACCAATGTTCTCTCAGACGGTCTCAGATGAGGCAGAAATACTTCAAAGTGGCAAAAACCACTACTCTAGCAAATCCATTTAAAAAAAGTTTTTAGAAATAAATAAAATGGCATTTTTCATAAACACCACGCATTTAATTTACTTGACCATTTCACAGACTTGTGTAATTTAAATTAAGATCCAGGAGCATGTACATTTAATTTCTTGTGAATTTTACATTCTAACCATTTCCTTTATATATAATTATCCCTGTGAAATTTTTTTTTTCCAAAATAAATGCTTTTCACAAAAGAGTCATATCTTTGATTAGTTAAAGTAACGCGAAGAAAAGAGTAGGGAAATCCAAACCAGCAGGTAGCCCTAGAATCATTTTGCATTTTCCATTTTGCTTAAGGTTATAGTGTATAACTGATTTCCTTCTTCCGGCAGAGGCAGCCACATACAGACCATTAAAAGCATATTAAGATGAGTTAGTCTTCCTTAAGCGTAAGCCAACCAACAACAAGAATAAGTCAGATTTACAGGAAGAAAGGAGGGCAATAAAAACAACATGAATTATAAAATTATACCAAAAATAATCACAGGTAGATATACAAATAAGAATGATCACAAATTATCACATTATCCTCCAGAATGTGATAGCAATTTAAAACAATTTTCCAGCCCTGGCCGGTTTGGCTCAGCAGTTAGAGCGCCGGCCTGCGGTCCAGAGAGACCCGGGTTCGATTCCCGCTAAGGGCACGTACCTCGGTTACAGTTTGTTCCCCGGCCCTGGTCGGTCGTGCAGGTGGCAGCCACTCGATGTGTCCCTTTCACATCGATGTTTCTCTCTCTCTCTGTTCCTCTCTCTCCCTCCCACTCTACCTGAACAAAAAATGGAAAAATGTCCTCGGGTGAGGATAAAAAAAAAAAAAAAAAATTTCCAGCCCTGGCCAGTGTTGCTCAATGGTTAGAGCATCAGCCCACATACCAGAGGGTCGTGGATTCAATTCCTGGTCAAGGGAATGTATCTGGGATACAGATTCGATCTCTGGCTTGGTTGGGTGCATGTGGGAGGCAACCAGTCAATTTCTCTTTCTCTCTCTCTTTCTCTCTCTCTCTCCCTCCTCTCCTCCCTTCCACTGTCTCTGAGAAATCAATGGTATCCTCAGGTGAGCATTAACAAAATAAGTAAATAAAACAATTTTCATTTATCTTTGAAATTCATAAAACATAATAGGTTTATGTCATAACTGAAGTGTTAGAACTTCAGAACACCATGATGGTGCAGCCATCCCAGAACGTGAGCCATGGAAAGAAGCTGAAGAGAACTAGAATTCAATTACAAGTGAGGAGGCTGAGTTGCCTCAGCTTTACTACATATTCAAATAGTAGGGAAAAAAACAATTTGGCCTTTGTGAAACAGCTTATATCTCTCCAAATAGTTAATACGGGTAGAGGGGGCACCTCTGGTTTAGTTCATCTTTTCTCTACCCCAACTTTCTCCCAGGTTCCCCTCTCTTTCAACTGTAAGACTTTTCAGTCCTAGCCCAGCCGGTGTGGCTCAGTGGTTGAGCATCAACCCATGTATCAAGAGGTCATCGGTTCGATTCCCGGTCAGGGCACATGCCCAGGTTGTGGGCCGGATCCCCAGTGGGGGTCATGCAGGAGGCAGCTAATCGATATTCACTCTCATCAATGTTTCTATCTCTCTCTCCCTCTCCCTTCCTTTCTCTAAAATCAATACATTAAAATAAATAAATAAATAAATAAATAAATAAATAAATAAATAAATAAATAAAAGACCTTTCAGTCCTAGAAGATATTTTTCCTTGAGAGTTCAGGATAAACAACCCTGATTAACTCAGTTATCAGCCCTAGAGTCTTTCTCCCCAAGGCCAACCAAAGACTGTGCTAAAGGTTAACAACTCTTCCCCCTCCTCCTCCTTTATAACTAACTCCCACAGGTTAGGTAGACTCAGACTGGCAAAGATTCATCTCAAATCCCAAGTGGAATGTGGCGGTAGGGATAAACATGGGGGAGGGGGGTGCACGGAGGGAGATGAAGACCAGCTCTTCCAAGCTTCCCTGCTGCTCACGGGAAACCCAAAGGGCAACTCTTTTAAACATAAAAGACAGACACTCCTCTTCTGGACAGCAAATAAAACTCATTCAGCTACAGAAAGATGTAATGGGAGCCCAATGCTCACTGTAAAAATGTATTTGGGATCAGGTCTGTCTAACCATATTTTCAGTTCTGCTAAATGTACCATCTTCTTCCCTGACCTTTGCACAAAGTGTTCCTTTGGCCTAGAGCGGTGGTCTTGCCTCTCAGCCTCACCCGACACGGAACATCTCCCTCACCTTTCTGATCGCAGCTTAGCAGTCCCTACTTTCCGATGGCTTCCTTGACACACACAGCTCCAGAAAAATTGGAGTTAACCTTTCTATTCCCTCCAACAACCCTATATTCCCTTTCCAGAGCATCCCACCCTCTGTGGCAATAGTTTCCTTCACTAGGTTGTAACTATGGGGGTGCATAACAAGGCACCCCAACATGTGCCTCGTGGTAGGCAGATTCCTCTGCGCTCAGGGCAATTTTAGCTTCAGGCTCAAGAGAAACTTTGGTTCCCCCATTTAACTACTATAAGGCAGGACAAACTTCTATGTACTAAATGTCTGTTCTTCTGATCGCCCTGCAACAACCCTCTGAAGCGCCCAGGTGCCTTACTTCATCCCTAGCTCTGGATGTTTTTATACCTCCGTCCCCTTTCTACCTCTGAGCCTCTCCTGCAGGTGGGGTCTCTGACTCTCTCATGTATGTGGGGTTCCCTTACATATGTATGTATTGAATTTGGTTATCTTCTCTTGCTGATCTTTCTCATGTCTATTTGATTATTAGACCAGCCAGAGAACCCTGAGGGTAGAGGAAAGTTCGTTCCTGCCCCACAAAACCAATGTTAGTACACGGAACATATGCTGTTCGGAGCATAGCAAAGTATGAGCCCTCAATAAATATTTGTCGAATAGATGAAAAAAGGAGTACATGAAGGTGATTATGAATATAAGAAGCAAAAGGAAGAAGACTAAACTTAAGGAAAAAATAACATACAGAGTAATTACATATTTACTAAGAGTCAGCTTCCAAAAGTACTGGAGAGGAGAATGAAGGCAGTTTTCTTGCCAACTAAAGAAAACATCAATGCACAAAGTTAAATGCAAGACGATTAATAACTGGAAATGCAGGTTACTACAGCACTATATTATGAAACTTTATTATGATTGCACTATTAGAACTGTGGTTTCGAATCCATCCAACTGATGGTCACACTCCAGAAGACAGCTGATTCTGAGCTTTCCTGAAGTGGGCGCCTCCTGCATTTTCCCCTGAGAAAGCTGCCTCTAATAAAGTAGCAGGTGGTTAACCAGCTCTAGAGAAAGCATTTGTGAGATAGCTGACCTGTCAATACTATACAAATCACATGCAAAATTACCCTATTAGCGACAAGAGGAAAATTGGCCCGAAGAGCCCAGTATTGGAATTCAGGGGGTGCAGAGAGAAATTCACCCATTTTCTTGCTGAGAAGCTTTCACAAGGTCTTGGCAGGCATGAATAGCCACCTGTTAGTAGCCATTGCTAGGACCATGCTTCAGCTGAAGCCTGCCGTGTGGGAGTAACTTTCTGGATTCCATAAGAGCAGCCCTTTGGCAACTGTCTCAAGGGCAATAAGCCATCATCTTCCACAGGGGGCATAAGCTTGCTGAAAGAGTTCCATCAGATAAAGAGCTGGCCCTGGCCAGTTTGGCTTAGCAGCTGGAACATCGGCCTGTGGATCACAGAGTCCCGGGTTCAGTTCCCGCTAGGAGAACATACCAAAAAAAAAAATTTTTTTTTTTAATAAAAATAAAGAGCTGGCCACCCCACACCTAGGAGAGAAAGCATGCCCCCTCAGACATAAAGGAAAAAGAAGGGTCAGGTCATTTTTGTCAAGAGGTTAATAACATGGATCTACTTTTGCAATAAGACCTGGTCATCTGCTCATCTACACTTAGTGATATAATTAGGAGATACAATTTGGAGGTTATATCCTCTGTTAAAAACCAGCAATATAATGTGGGTTATTAACAAACCTTGGCATGGTGGATGTGCTCCCCATCTTGGAAATTAATAGTGCCAAAGGTATCTGTAGGGCTTCTGGTTGTGTGCTTTTCAACAGACCACTGTTCATTTTCATCACCACTGGCCGCCGAGGTGGTCTGGGTATAATCTATCCCATGATGGTCTCCAATCAATCGCCCACAGTAACACCTTAAATTTGGGATAAAAAACAATTTAAAAATAGAAAACATATAATTCCCGAAGAGAAAACAGATGTAATGTTTCTACATTTCTCTAGCGCAATGTAGAGATGACATATAGTAACAGCTTTTACGTCACAGTAAGATTTGTATTAGATTTTTCACACTGGACTGGCCACTAAGTTTAGAAACACCCTCTGTGGTTCTATCCCTTGGCTGCACGTCACAATCATTTGGGGAATGTTTTGAAAAATACAAAAATCTCTTGCACACCCATGTTCATAGCAGCATTGTTCACAGTAGCCAAGAGGTGGAAGCAACCCAAAGTCCATCAACAGATGAATGGCCAAACAAAATGTGGTCTATACATACAATGAACTATTCAGCCTTAGAGGGAAAGAAAATCCTGTGGTATGACACCACACGGATGAACCTTGAGGAAGTTATGCTAAAAGAAATAAGCCAGCCACAAGAAGACAAATACCGTATGATGCCATGGATAAGAGTGAGGCACCTGGAGCAGGCAAATCCACAGAGAAAGTAAAACAGTGGGTTGCCGTAGGTTGGGGTGTGGGGCCAATAGTAAGTTATTGTTTAATAGGCAGAGTTTCAATTTTGCAAGATAAACTTCTGGAGATTAATTACTTAACATACTTAATTATACAATTAAAATGGTACCCAAAAAATCAAATTTTATACTTTATGTGTGCTTTCTTTTATGTCAATTATACCTCAACAAATTTGTGGGGTTGTTTTTAAGTTAAAAATCTCTGCCTGGACAGAGTGACTCGGGTGGTTGGTGCCAGTTCAATTCCTGGTCAGGGCACATAGCTGGGTTGTGGGTTCGATCCCCAGTTGGGGCATGTATGGAAAGCAACTGATCAATATTTCTCTCTCACATTGCTGTTTCTCTCTCTCCCTTTTTCTCCCATCCTCTCTCTAAGCATGTGCACAGGTGAGGATTTAAAAATAATAATAAAATAATGAAAAATAAAAAACTAAAAATCTCTAATATACAATACTTGAGGGGGGAAAAAAGTCTTCATATAAAACAATATGCACATCAAAAGGAAGAAATGTTAATGCAAAAAATAGATGAACTTCAGAGAAATATGTAAACATAGAACTATGATGAGAAAAGAACCATGAAAGATACTTGGTTATAAACATAAATTAAATAAATAAAAATATGTAATATAATTTTAAAAGGAGGAAAAGTTAATAAATCTTCTTGCAAATAATTAGCAGTTTGGGAAACTATTTCATATTCATAGCCATAATGTCTACTACACAACAAAAGAAACTAAGCAAAATAAAAGGTTACATCCTTTTTAAAACTAAAACTACATAAAAATAACAAAATATAACATTCATTATATTTGTGAAAGACTGATAGACTTCTCATCTTGGATGAATTAGGAACAATCAGAATAAATTAAATTTTGAATATGTAGAACTTCAATACTTTCTTCAATAAAAAAATTATATATCTGCAGACTAAAAAACATTATTTGTATCAAATATGTCAGATCAGATATCTATTACATACAGAGAGATTATTATTCAACTTTATAAATGATTCAGGCTTTTGTGTGTGTAAAAAGCAACAAATAATGCACAAATTATAGGGTCCAACTATGCGAGGAAGCAGGATAAAGAGAAAACAAGAAGTCGGAACGTGGAAGACAATATTGGGGTTCCAATGGAGGGTCTGTTGATGCTAAGGGAGGAAAAAAAATCCCAAGTATAAGAGTACAGATAATCAGGATCTACTAGTGAGAACTGTGTCATCTGGTCATCTTTTGGAGGGAGGGTCTCCATATAAACTCAATGATGCATCTCACTGTGGCTTTTCTAAAAACATCAATGGAGGTAATCACACCTGGAGAGATAAACCATTACTCTTTCATAGGACTGTTCTTCCCTTTAAACCCACTTTCTTCCAAGTATTTTTCTAGTCTAATCCATTTTATTTGAGTCTATATCATTTAATTCTAGTTTTTAAGTAGTTTATATTAAATTTTAGCAAGGCAGAAGCTACAAAACTGTTATTCTTTTGAGCATTTGAGATCTTAGTCCCTGGCATATGTCATCAGTTTGGCTCAAAAAATTTCTTTAAAAAAAATTTCTTAATTGTGTCAAGGTGGCCACAAAGAAGAAACCAATTATCCCCAAAATTTTTTTTTTTTTATCCTCACTCGAGGACACCTTTTTGTTCAGATAGAGAGGAGGGAGAAAGAGGAAGAGAGAGAGAGAGAGAAACATCGACGTGAAGGGACACATCGAGTGGCCGCCACCCGCACGACCAACCAGGGCCAGGGACAAACTGCAACCGAGGCACGTGCCCTTAGCGGGAACTGAACCCGGGTCTCTCAGGACTGCAGGCCGACGCTCTAACCGCTGAGCCAAACCGGCCAGGGCCCAAAAAATTTTTTAAGAGATGATTTCATACTCATCCATTTAGTTATAACTGAAGTATCAAATTATACATCACTAACGAGTACTAAAAACTCACCTTAAGAATTAACTTAAGATGCCAAGTTTACTAATTCCTTCCCACACTGTTTTAATAAATTCTATAAAATATCCATCAAGCCCTGGCCGGTTTGGCTCAGCGGTTAGAGTGTCGGCATGCGGTCCTGAGAGACCTGGGTTCGGTTCCTGCTAAGGGCGTGTACCTCGGTTGCAGTTTGTCCCCGGCCCTGGTCGGTTGTGCGGGTGGCAGCCACTCGATGTGTCCCTTTCACATCGATGTTTCTCTCTCTCTCTCCCTCTCTCCCCCCCCCACTCTACCTGAACAAAAATAAATAAATAAATAAAATAAAATAAAATATCCATCAAAACCCTGAAAGGATTTTTCAAGGAACTTGACAAAGTGATTCAAAAATTCATATGGTATAAAAGTTTCCAAAAGAGTAAAAAAAAATTTCAAAAGAAAGAATAAAGCGAAGAGTACTTGCCCTATTGAGTATCAAGATATATTACAAAGCTATAATAATAAAACAGAGTGGCATTTACCAGGAACAGGAGAAGTATATCTATGGCATTGAAAAGAAAACTCAGAAACAGAGCCATAAACCTATGGGAACTTGGTATATGACAGAGATGACATCAGAAATGAATGGAGCTAGGACAGACTGCTCATTAACTGATATTGGGTCATTTGGCCCACCATATGGAAAAAAATCAAACTAGGTCCTAGCTAGATGGAAAAATTATAAATTGCAACTGCTTTAATTTCTGAACAGTATGAAAATAGATGTTTTTACAGTATTGTTCACATTCGTTTCTCAGAAGATTGTAAAGTTGGAACAGTATTGACAAGGAGAGGTCCTGGAAAATAAAGTAGGAAGTAGGAGGAATGAATGAAGCCTTTTTACTTCACTACATGCTTATATTTGCTTAGAATTTTAACAATATTTTAAATAATAACTAAAAAGATTTTTTTTTTTTTTTTTTTTTTTTAGGAAAAGGAGAAAGAGGTTAGCCCAATGGAAACTCTACCCTGAATTATGGACTTAATTAGTCCCCCAAAATTCATATGTTGAAGCCCTAACTAATCCACAATGTGACTATATTTGGATATGGGCCCTATAAGCCAGTAATAAAGTTTAAATAAGGTCGTAAGAGTGAAGCCCTGGTCATACAGGACTGGTTCTTTACAAGAGAAAGAGGCACAGACCTCTCCACCAGCAAATGCACAGTGCAAAGGCCCTGTGAGTGCTTAGGGAGATAGTGACTGTCTGAACAGCAGGAAGAGAGGCCTCATCAGAAACCAACCTTGCCCTGGCTGGTTTGGCTCAGCAGTTAGAGCATCGGCCCTAGGACCAGAGAGTCCCAGGTTCGGTTCCCACTAAGGGCACATACCTCAGTTGCAGTTTGTCCCCGGCCCTGGTTGTGGTCATATGAGTGGCGACCACTCAGTGTGTCTCTCTCACATCGATGTTTCTCTCTCTCTCTTCCTCCCTCTCGCCCTCCCACTCTACCTGAAGATAAATGCAAAAATGTCCTCAGGTGAGGATTAAAAAAAAAAGAAAAGAAACCAACCTTGATGGCACCTTCCTCTTGGACTTCTAGCCTCCTGAACTGTGAGAAAATAAATGTCTGTTGTTTAAGTGACTCCGTTTGTGCCCTTCTGTCATGGCAGCCTGAGTAGATATATACACCCAAAAGCCCTATCCTTCCTCTCATATCTGTGGACAGTCGTTTCATTTTTACCATGATTTGCTAAATTTTGGATTCTGAATTTTTTTTACCCAAATAAATTTAACATTGGCTCAATCCACAATGTGAACTTCAGAATATGATCACAGTTTAGAAAATTTCATTTTCTCCAACTTGCAAATGAGAAGTAAAACCAGTTACTAACATGTAGTTTAAAATGCAAATCACAAATAAAAAAAGAAAAGAAATAAAATAACATGCAAATCACTGTTAAAATGTGTACTGCACTAGAGAATCAGTTTTGCCCAGAATCTTGTGTGATATTGTGATTTGTAATAAATAAAGACTTGGTCTTTGTCCCCCTTTCTGGCACAGAGCTACTAAAACCCTTGGCATTTCCTAAGAGATGAAGGTAATAACGGTGCTGGGAGGGCGGGATCCGCAGAGCACACACACGTGCTGGAGTGGCACACTTGGAGAGGACATTGAAGCTCTGTGGCCCTTCCCCCATACCTTGCCCTGTGCATCTTTTCCATCTGACTGTTCATCTGTATTCTTTATAATACCCTTTATACTAAACTGATAAAGTTAAGTAAATGTTTCTGAGTTAAGCTGCTCTAGCAAATGAACTGAACTATGTAGGGAGTCATAGGAATCTCCAATCCATATAGCCCATCGGTCGGAAGCACCGACAACTTGGACTTTCAACGGGTATCTGAAGTGGGGAATGGGGGCGGGGAGTAGTCTTGAGCTCTTCGCCTGTGGTATCTGACACTTGGTGTGTTGGAAAAAACACACATCAGAATTAGTGTCAGAACTGGAGCCTGGTGTGCATGTATATCACTTACAAGTCACAGATCAAATACGGTGTTGTATGTGCACAAAGCATCTTCATTATCCAAATAAAATGCAAGAAAATAAAGTGAAAATGTAATGCCTTACAAGTATTTCATGGGTAGAAGCTCTTGTCAAGAGCCTTTGGCCATTTACATGTCTGGGTAATTCAAGTAATTGATAACATTCAAATAATCACTCTCCTTAAAAAAAATCTCACATTTCTTTTTTAAAACTTATCTTGGGAAGAAAATAAAATGCACCAATAAAGCACTGAATCCATTCAAGATGTGAGAAAACTATTTCAATGAGTTTGAAGCAGAGTGCCTAAAAATTTAAAGAAATCTTATTGATCTGTCTTACCTGATTAAATTCTGGCAGACCTGGCATCCTGCAGTACATCTAAATTAAAGAAATAAAATATGCTAGTTTACTGACATATTTGAAGGCACATGTAATGCTTATACAGTAAATATCTGTTATCTTCCATGGTCAGGAAATCAGAGTTTGCTGAATACTGATACATCATTCCCCAAATATTCCCATGTATCACTTGCCAAATATAATTACACTGCAGTAACTATGATCTAATTAACAGAACAATAAATTTGGAACCTGAATATCTGGATTTAAATCTCATTAATAAATCTTCTAAACCCCAGTTTTCACATCTGGAAATATCTGCCCTACAAGGCCATTAAAAGAATTATCTAAGATAATATATGAAAAGTGTTTTATAGTTCATGTACACTAAAGTATGTATAGTAATGATAGCTATTATTGTTATTAGTCTATGAAGATAACACAGAATTATTGAGAATCAAGTATAAAAATATGCAAACAATTTTAAAAACATAACACACTATCAAATTAAGAAACAGTCAATATTATTTTTAACCTTTCTTTTTTATGATTCAAAAGAACCTTCTGGATTTAAGGGTTAGCGTTGTAGTCATCAGTGATTGCATTTTAGGTATGAAATTTTAACGAGAAGAGAACTCTAGTTAAAATAATGGGGGGAAAAGGTAGTGTTCACAGAATCAGAGTCATTCCAAATTATTCAGGCCTCTCGCTTCCTGCCCACCCCTTTGGGAATGTCTTTTTCTCAGAAGTTTCACTTCAACAAGTTCATATGAGAAGGAAATTTAAAACAGTGAACTACCACCCTTTTCCTATGTACCATAAGGAAGAAAACCGCAAGAAAGCTACAATTTTGAGAATCTTACTGGGCTGTAAGAAAAAGGTTAGCATAAGAGAAATAGCCATAATCACCCATTAACTTTTATACAATCACACAAAAATAGAGGCTGCTTTTTCCCCCATAAAATTCCATATATCTTGGACCATCCATGGAATTATCATTGAGACTCTTCTTGAGTCTATGGGTTAATGACCTACAGTTCATCACTGTTCATGAGGTTTAAGGTGATTATGAAGATGACTTTTCCATGGACAGAGCAGTGGGAGCCATCTGAGCTCACTCTGCCTTCCATGGCCGCCACCATCACACTGCAACATGTCATGGAGATTTAATAAGCAATTACAAGCAGGTAAAATGAGAATTTCTAATCACAGGGCTTACAACCACAGGTAATTCAATGAGGGTGTAAATATTTAACAAAGGCAAGAAACACGATTTCAGTCATCCCTAAAGAACTAGAATTTTACTAACCTCACCAGCTACTTTTCATATATAACCGTGACTGCTACACTTCAAATGAACATAAGGCCAAATGCTCAAAGGAATCTAAAAGCAGAGTGGTCTCCCTCATTAAAATACAGTTGATCCTTGAACAACATGGCTTTGAAGTGTGTAGGTCCACTATACATGGATTTTTTCCCCATAAATATACAGTCAGCCTTCCATATCCCTGATTTCACATCCACAGATTCAACGATGTTTTTGATCCAAGGCTGGGAACCCACGAATGTGGAAGGCCAACCACATGCATTGTTCTGTGCCATTTTATATAAGGAACTTAAGCATCCACGGATTTTGGTATCCAAAGGGGTCCTGGAACCTATCTCCCTCAGACAGTGAGGGTAGTTAACATTTAAGGGGGTCAAAAGTTGTACAGTTCATCCTGGCCAGTGTGGCTCACGTGGTTGGGTATCATCCCATGCACCAAAAGGTTGCTGGTTCAATTCCTGGTCAGGGCACATGCCCATATTGTGGGCTCATTTCTCTCTCCCTCTCCCTCTCCCTTCTTCTCTCTCTAAAAATCAATTAAAAAAAAAAAATCTTAAAAGTTGTACATTTTGACAGCACAGGTGGTCAGCGCAAATAGCCCCCATGTAGTTCAAGGGCCAACTGTACACTCTTCTATTTGCCTTTCAAATTTCTTTCCCAAGGGCAGTGCCACCCAGTCTTGTTTCATGGACCCAATCACACTGGGGGATTTTTTGTAATCCATTTGCCATCTTTCACTAGCTGCTAATTTGAATTTTGTTCTAGAAGTATATTCTCCAAAGGGTTATCAAGAACTCAGAGTAGCCCTGGCCGGTTTGGCTCAGCGGTTAGAGCGTTGGCCTGCGGTCCTGAGAGACCCGGGTTCAGTTCCCGCTAAGGGCATGTACCTCGGTTGCAGTTTGTCTCCGGTCCTGGTTGGTTGTGCGGGTGGCAGCCACTCGATGTGTTCCTTTCACGTCGATGTTTCTCTCTCTCTTCCTCTCTCTCCCTCCCACTCTATCTGAACAAAAAAATGGGAAAATGTCCTCGGGTGAGGAAAAAAAAAAAAAGAACTCAGAGCAGTCAAACTCTAGTCATCTTATTCTCCTGCTCATGATCTGCTCAAGCAAAAAGCCTATGGGAGGAAAACGGAGCTGAAAGTAATCATTTGTATAACCTGAGCACAGTGCCCTGAAATACCCCAGTTACTATTTTCCAGACACTTTAGTTGAGGATGAGGAGCATTCACGCTAATCTGCATATTCAATATTCAGAAGTTGTGAATGTTTTATCCAAAACCAGTGGACTGGATGTAGCACTAGATAGTTCCAGTAATCTGTCCTCCCTCTAAGAGGAACAGGAGCATAAAAATAAAACAGAGCAACCTCTACCACAATATTAACAGTGCTTCCATCTGGGTGATGGCACTATGATGAACTTGCTTTTCTGTATATTTCATTAAGTCATTAAACATGATTCTCAGAAGCCTACCGCCTGGCAGGCACTGTCAATAGGCCCTGGGGTTGGAATGAGGTACAAAATTGACAAGTTCCCTGTTCTTACCAGAAATCTGGTAAGAATTTCTACAGTAATCATATACTATTTTTATAAAGACAAAGAAACATCAATTAAGAATAAATACTAACTTGGTAGATATTATCAAATCCTTTAAACAAATCATATCTCTAAGTTTCCACAACCAGTCCTCCAAGTAGTGTTGCTTTAAAAAGAAAAATGGGATTAAAATTGTACCTGTGAGGGTCTTTGGAGCTGGGTATGATTTTGTTACATTCTCTCTTGTCGAACACACCTTCAATCCAGGATTTCTGGGACTGAATAGAAAGTGTTGTTATTTTTACATTCTAATTAAGTCAGAAATATAACCACAGCAGTTCAGATAGGCAAGATATATTTAGATAACGTAGTCACTAGTTAAAATGGCAAGACCAACCCCAAAGAGGCCAAGCATTTACTGGCTTCTATTACAGTCAACACAGACACAAATAAGGCAACTGTGAACACAAAAACAGTCACCAAGTTTACTGGTCCGTAATCACATCTTAAGTAAAAGATCCCTAAATGCACAAAACTCTAGCAAGGAAGTAAAAATATAACTGATATGCTCCCTTAATTCTGCTATAAATCATTTTAAAATCTTACACCACGATCCTGTAGAGGAAATATCAAGCTCTCAAACTTCAAAATTCTCACTCATCATGTCTGACTCTGGCTAAGATTTCACGGGAAGCTGGTAAGAGTATCAGAGGATTAATGCAACCTCAGCAAGATTCTGTAAAAAAAAGTCCAACCTAAAATGGAACCAGAGGATATCATGGAGAATGCACCCTCAGAAGAACAGAACTTAAAAACTAAGAGACTGATTTCCTGTAAATGCCTGATTTACAGAAGACTGAGACTCATTTCCTGACCAGTGAACATCCGCCAAGAATCATTTCCTATACTCAAGCCAATGAATGTACTACTTGGACTGTGGGTGAACTTCCCCCTCTTTGCCCACAAATGCAGCCTGCCCCAAACCCTCAGTAAACTCACCTGTATCTTGCTATTTATAGTATGTGTTCCACAAATTGCAATCACTCTGCTACTTCTAAGTAAACTCCATTTCTGGTCATTTGAGCTTGCCTCAATTTACCTCTTTGTTTAGGTTGATCATTTGTTACACAGTCTGTAAGCATGGCTTACCTTTGGCTGTGTTGCTTCATATCACATAGCCTATAACTGCCCCTAAGTTCAAGTGGGACATTAGTACTCACTTGTCCTCCTAATAAAATCTCACCCGTTCTACAAAACTCAAGTCATAGCCAAGCTCTTTCATTAGCTGTATGATAAGTCTAGAAGCAGAAAACCCTGGATCTACAATAGAACCCAACCAACTGATGAGCTTGGCCTTCTAATAGGAAAATATTTTAGCTCTGTATGGCATAAAAACATGTAAGTGTGGATATAATTTTATCCAGTCAATGAAAAATAACATTTTAATGAGTGTATTTGAGCCAAAACTGACAACAATTGCCAGGAAGCAAGATCTCCAATGCTCCCAAGAGTCGGAGTTGTGCTGTCGCCTTTACGCATTGGGAAGGAAGGAAGGAAGGAAGGAAGGAAGGAAGGAAGGAAGGAAGGAAGGAAGGAAGGAAGGAAGGAAGGAAGGAAGGAAGGAAGGAAGATTACTTGAAAGTGGAAGAAAGCAAAGGAAGGATTGGGTTACAGGATAGTTAACAAGATTATGTGCTCAGCTGTAGGTACCTAAAAACCAGCAAATGCAGAGAGGCTTTCTCTGAACTCCCCTTGTCTACCTAAAGACAGGTCCTCCAAAAGGAACTCAATGGTCATCATTTTTCTCCCTGGGAGTTTCAGTAACCAGGGAGGATTGATTCTTGTCACAAGGGAGGGTGCTGGAAGTGACAGCCAGACAAACTTTGCCACATAGTATCATATCTCCCATCTATTCTTTTAAGGGCCCACTCACCTTTTTAAAAAAAAACATTACTCTCTCCTAAATTACCTTCATCCCATCCCTTCTCCTTATTCAAACAAGTAAATATGTTACCAAATCTTGTGCTTTGGGAGGGTATTTAGTTCTGTTTTCCTATCATGCTGCTGTGCACATAATATTAATAATACATTTTTATAGCTTTTCTCCTGTTAGTCTTCTGGTTGTGTTGGTATGTTTCATAGACCCAGTTGCCAAACCTAGGAGAATAGAGAAAAAGCTTTGCTCCCTCCAATTACACATGAGGTCACGTATGGAATCCTTTTACATACTTCAATATTAATCTCATGGCTCTTGTTCAATATGCACCAACCCTAAACATAACTGTCCACTACTAAACAGAACTGTGTATTGTTAACCTAAAAATAAAAGGCCTTTCAAAGTAGTGTTCCCAAATAGCTCTTCTTATTGCTCTCAAATAAATGCTTGTTGCCTCTCTCTTCATTTTATTTTTTAATGACTTTTTATTGAAATTTAGAGAGAAAGGAAAGGAGAGGGAAAGAGAAACATTGAGATGAGAGTGAACCATTGATCAGCTGCCTCCTGCAGGCTCCTTACTGGGGATTGAATCAGAAACCCAGGCCCTTGTCCTGCCCTGGAATTGAACCAGCAACCTTTTGGTGCGCCAGACTTGCCCAACCGAGCCACACCAGGCCAAGGCTTGTTGCTTCTCCCTTTAAAAGGCCTTTTATTTTTAGGTTAACTATCTTGTGTAGGCCTCACCTTCATGGTCCAGCATCACCTAGAACCAGCTATGGTACCTACAGAGCCTCTTTTGTGCCGACCGCTTCTATGATTTGCTGTCTCCTTGACTGTAAAGCTCTCTGGAGTCAGACCTCTCTCCTTTTTGGTTGAGATCAAATGCTGTTACCTGAGATTAGGAGTGGTTTTTCCCTCAAGGGTGGCTTTTGGTTTTACCTTCCCTGAAGAGGACAATTGCCTCAGGTATCAGCATGCAACAATGGGATGCCATTTCCCACGGGTAAGTAGACATTTAATCGCACTCCTTTAATTCCTTTTCTTTTCTCTGTCTATTGTTTATCATAATAAAGAGATTTCATAAATCGTTATGCAATATATGTGAACTATCAGGTTTTTACTCCTGTGCCCTTTTATCATTAAAATTAACACACACACACACAGATTTCATAAGGAAAGGCACCCATTCTTTAACTGATCAATGGAAGTTTCTTACAGACAAAATAACTTCTAAAGTAATCCTAAAAGAAACTGTGGTCTTCTGGGCAAGTACTCTAAAATTTCCTCTGTTTGTTCTGCCTGAAACCTGACAAGATGTTTCAAGAATTTAATAACTTGCCCTGGCCGGTTTGGCTCAGCGGTTGGAGCGTTAGCCTGAGGTCCAGAGAGACCCGGGTTCAGTTCCCACTAAGGGCACATACCATGGTTGCAGTTTGTCCCCAGCCCTGGTTGGGTTGTGTGGGTGGCAGCCCCTCACGTCGATGTTTCTCCCTCTCTCCCTCCTACTCTATCCTCAGGTGAGGATTAAAAAAAAATAATAATTTAATAACTCTATGTCCAAAAATCTGGCAAAATTAGAAGCCTAAGAGGATTTTCTAAAATCTTCTCATAAACTTTAGAAGACCCTTTATTTTTAGGTTAGCAGTATAGAGTCCAGGTCTTGTTAAGCAACACAGGGAGAGGAAGGGACACAGATAGTGATTGGTTCCTGTGCATTTTAAACATATCTACAAGAGAAACTACCCAGGTCAAGTCCACAGTCATTTTAAATCATTCTGTCCTCTTATCCCCTTTGTAAAGTCAACAATTTTTTTATGTACTAAAAGACATTTGTAAGGTATCTCGCCGAAGAAGAAAGAGAAAAGGAGCTGCAAAAGCAGGTGAGAACATTTCATTGAAGTGTTCTAGGTGAGGTTCACTGGTCCACGTAGTGGGAGCCAGAGAAGTCGTGCTGCCTGGAGAAGATTTATAGGGATGTTAGGGACCCGGGTAGGGTGATTAGGTGTGGCATCAGATGACTGGCTAGCTGCTGGGGAGATTCGGGTGTGACGTATGTTGATTGGCTGGGAAGCATGGTGAGACGTGACCAGGAGTGTGACCTCAGCTGCATCCGGGTAAGGCCAAGCCTCCTGAGTTAGGTTTCGATTTCTTCTCTGGCCGTCCATTTCCCGGTCATGCGACTCCCTGGAGCCCACCGACATTACAACATTCACACCCTGGCTGATGTGGTTCAGTTGGTTAGAGTGCCGGTCATCCTGTGCACCAAAAGCTCATGGCTTTGATTCCCAGTCAAGGCACATACCCAGACTGCAGGTTCAATTCCCATTCAGGATGCATATGGCAGGCAACCAATCAATGTTTCTCTCTCTCCCTCTCCCTTCCTCCTTCTCTAAAATCTATTTTTTAAAAAGAAGACATTTGACCTGGCTCATTTGGCTCATTGGTTAGAGCATCGACCTGCGGTCCAGAGAGACCCAGGTTTGGTTCCTGCTAAGGGCACGTACCTCGGTTGCAGTTTGTCCCCGGCCCTGGTTTGGTCGTGCGGGTGGCAACCATTCAATGTGTCCCTTTCACGTCGATGTTTCTCTCTCTCTCTCTCTTCCTCCCACTCTATCTGAACAAAAAATGGAAAAATGTCCTCAGATGAGGATAAAAATATAATAATAAATAAATAAACAAACAAACAAACATACAAAGACATTTACTGAATTGGTAAAACACCAAAACATACAAACTTGAAAAATCCAGTTACAAAATTTAGACTAAACTAAACAAACTAAACTAAAAATCTATTTATTATAACAAGAAATGACACAATCTTCTAGAATAAGCAAGCCCTGTCCCTTATTCAAAAACATCAACAATTTCACTTATTCATTCCCTAAGCATTTACTAAGTACCAAATTTTTTTCAAAACACATAGAAATGTGCCACAGTTGAGTTAGTATGTCCTCAAATAGCTCTTCATTCTGAATTCATTCAACAAATATTTGGGGATAGGCCCCCATGCTGCATACTGGGAATTCTACAGCAAATAAGACAAGCTCTGAAGAAATAGAGAATAAAAAAAAAGAGAGCAGATAATAAATTAGTATCGTTAAACTTCATGTGTACCAGTAACAGCTCCAAAAAGGGTCCCGAATTTAAGGGCTGCAGATGTAAAGGGATTCTATGGAAAGTAACCTCACCTTGATCTTACTTTGGAGGGTAATCACGCCCAGGCATGTAACTTTTTTGTAAACGGTTTATCTTTGCCTCAAGCAAGCCCTGTCAATTGTTCTTGTCCCTCTAGGTTAATACACATTTGAAATGCCAGAGTAATCCTCTCTTTACAAGCCCTCCAGAAAGCAACCACAATCAAAAAAGCATGCAATCTTGTTAACTATCCTGTAACACAATCCTTCCTTTGCTTTCTCCCACCTTCGTGTCATCTTTAGTTCCCTCCTGAATTCCAAATGCATAAAGGAAACTGCAACACCGTCCTTCTTGGGAGCTTTTGAGATCTTGCTTCCTGGCAATTATCATCAGTTTGGGCTCAAATAAACTCTTACAAAAGTTCTTTACAGGTTTGGAGGTTTTTATAGAGGCCAGATATACAAATTAAGCAAGCTGTACTCAACCACTCCCTTCTTTTATAAAGCTAAATGGACGACTCTAGTAGGACTATCTGGGCAAATTACTTAATTTCCTCATGCCTGTTTGCTCCTCTATTAAAAATGGAGATAATAATAACATTTCAGGCCTGGCCGGTTTGGCTCAGCAGTTAGAGCATCGGCCTGCGGTCCGGAGAGACCCGGGTTTGGTTCCCGCTAAGGGCACGTACTTCGGTTGCAGTTTGTCCCGGCCCTGGTTGGTCGTGCGGTGGCAGCCACTCAATGTGTCCCTTCACGTCCATGTTTCTCTCTCTCTGTCTCTTCCTCTCTCTCCCTCCCACTCTATCTGTACAAAAAATGGAAAAATGTCCTCGGGTGAGGATAAAAAATAAATAAATAAAAAATAATAACATCTCATGGGGCTGTTGAAAGTACTAGATAAATTAAAGGCTTAGAATTCTCCCTGAGACTTATTAAGACTCAATAAGGTTTAACTTACATTGGTAATATGAAAGGTGGAATTAGCTTTTGGTTGGTGGTCTGGGAATGTAACCTGGATGTTTTTTATTTTCATAGAAAAATCCTTCTTGACTTCCAAACTTTCCACCTACGGCCTCTCATACTTGACATGGCTTTTACCGGTCTACTTTCCCCCACTGTCCAGCTTCCACAGGCCCAGCCATTTCTGTTGCCCCAGGGCTCAACCCAATGACTGCTGAATGAGCAACAAAATGAACACACTTAACAGAGAACTTCAGGAATCCACTTATACAATTTTCCATCCAAAGGTATAAACAGGAAATGGGTGTGATTAACTAGAACTTGGAAACTTTCCTCCTACAACTCCCTATCTTATCTCAACAGCCCAATCTATGGGGCACAAATAGCCAACGTGCTGCCTTCTGCCCGTGGAGCAGCAGACTTCAAGGTGGTGGTAGCTGACAGTGGCAATGATGCCATTTCTGCGGCTATAGGAGCAGTCTTTATTGACTGCTTTTTTTTTTTTTTTTTTTTAGTATACGGAGAGGTTTTGTTGGGGAGGAAAAGGCAGAGGACAAAGACAGGAAATAGTGTTGGTTTCAGGCTTAGTGTTGGTCACAATTTGCCTCCCTCTAAAACATAATCAGCCCGGCCTGTGTGGTTCAGTGGTTGAGTGTCAACCCATGCACCAAGAGGTCACTGGTCCCGGTCAGGGCACTTTCTCAGGTTGTGCGCCAAAACCCCAGTGGGGGGTGTGCAGGAGGTGGCCAATCGATGTTCTCCCTCATGGATGTTTCTATCTCTCCCGCTCTCTAAAAATAAATAAAGAAAAGAAAAACTTTAAAAAATAAAACATAATCAAATTTTACATCCAATCCCAGACCTGAGGCCAGGGTGGGAATCACAAAGACATGCCCAAAAAGACTAACCCTCCAGCAGTACCTACAGGAACAAATCCCCTCTCTCACTGAAAATATTCCTGGACCGAGCTTTTGGGGCTGTTCAGATAACAGAGGTTCTCTCAGAGGAATTTCTGAGGCAAGTTTACTTATGTCCTCCACAGTGCATACAACGGAGGTTACTTTTCTCAGTGAAGCACAGCAGAAAGAACAGTAAAACAGACTTTACTTCTTTCCCTGGCCAGTTTGGCTCAGCAGTTGAGCCTTGGCCTGTGGACCAGAGAGTCCCAGGTTCGGTTCCTGCTAGGGGCACATACTTCAAAAAAAAAAGACTTTACTTCTTAAAATTTGGTGGTGACAATTCAAAATCTCTGCTAAAACAATGAGAGGACTCGAGGAGGAAAAGCAAGAAGAAAGAGAAAAAACGTTTTTAAGTTTGGGCAATTTCATTGCCATTCCCTGTTCAGAAGTATATGACCCCCAAGAACAAAATAGTTCTCTGTCTTTTGGGGTTTAGGACCGCTTCATATTCATAAAAATTACCAAGGCCTGCCAAAAAGCTTTCATTTATATGTTTATCAATATTTACATATTATAAATAATAACTAGGACTTTATAAAAAATATTGTCTCACTAGCTTCTTTAAAAATATGTTGTGCTCGCTTCAGCAGCACAGGTACTAAAATTGGAACGATAGAGATGTGCAAGGCCCCTGCGCAAGGAGGACATGCAAAGTTATGAAGCGTTCCATATATTTTTAAAATAATAAGTAAAAATAATAATGTTAATGTAAGTTATATATTTTTATGAAAAATTAAGATTTATGAGATGAGCACTGTCATGCATTTTTGCAAATCTCTTTAATGTCTGCCTTAAGATAACTGGATTCTCATACCTGCTTCTGCATTCAATCTCTTGCAATAAGTCAGAGATTTTCAACCGAAGTATTGCAAGAATTCTTAAGATACGCAATACCTGACTATTTAGTCAGGGGCACTGACCTCTTTTCCCTTAGACTGTTAAATAAAAAATGACAACAGCCAACACAATAGCTGTCTGGTGTGAATGAATCAAAATTATACTTTTCATGAGATTGGCAAAAAATATATTTTTTGCCGTGCCGCAGAATTTTAGCAACTAGTTTATGTGTGTTACGAGATGAGAAAGGTTGAAATTGCTGCAGTAAGTGGCTTTGGTTGAAGTATATTTAAAATATCAGTCTCAGACAGACACGTAATTTAAAAAAAATCAGTATTGTGGGTTCATCATGTAACCACAGGAAAACTCCATTTTAAACTCATAAGACAACAAGGAAAAAGGGCAAATAATATCTTAATACCATTATGAAAATAATTTTGATTTTGAGGACCCTTTGAAAGGATCTCAAGGACCTCAGGAATCACACAGCCCACAAGTGACTACACGCAGGCACCAGGGTGAGTATGAGAGACATGACCTACTGTTTCCTGGCTGGTCTCAGGTTCCACGTGCATCTTAGTCTGAGCATCATATCTCAATGAGTGCACTGTAGTATTACAACATCCCCTGTTTAACCTGGTATTCACTGAGGAAAGTCCCAACATAGAGAAAAAGTAATTAGACATCAAATCTTCGTGTACTATAGTTTATGAGCAATGTAAGGAACTTATAAAGGATCATTTTGACTGTGTACCATTTTTAACTTGAAGCTGATCTTAGTGTCTACCACATTCTCTCTCCCATAGATGTCACCAAAGGATGACAAGTATGAGATCAAGTCTTCAGGATTCATAGCAGAATATACTTTATCAGTTTATCCACTCTTCCTTTAAAATACCAATACCTCTAAGAATAGTTTTATGCATTCGTTTAAAAATACTTTGGCAAATCATATTGTTCTAATAAAAATAAATAAATAAATAAAACTGTGTCCCAAATACCAACACCAAAGGGTAAGAACCTATGATTACAAATAGCTATCAAGCCCTGGCCAGTGTGGCTCAGTTGGTTGGAGCATCATTCCATACACAGGAAGGCTGAGGGTTCAATTCCCAGTCAGGGCACATACCTAGGTTGCAGGTTTGATCCCCGGTTGAGGAATGTATGGAAGGCAACCAATCTATGTTCTCTCTCACATTACTGTCTCTCTCTCTCTGTCTCTCTCTGTCTCTCTCTCTCTCTCTCTCTCTCTCTCCCCCTGTCTCTCTCCCACCTTTTCTCCCTCCCTTCCCCTCTCTCTAAAAAGTCAATAAGCATATCCTCAGATGAGAATTTTAAAAAATAGCTATCAAATATGGCACAAGAACGGTCTTAGTACTCTATAAAAGGAGAAATCACTTCTGCCTCCTGATATTGGGGAAGTCTACAAAAGAACCTGAAATTTAGGAAAGTACTTGAAAGATGGCAAAGGGTTTGAGAGGTGGTGATGGAATTGATGGTGGTTAGAAATGCAGAGATTTCAGACTGGAGGAGAATGCAAGGACATCCATATTAAGGTACGGTGAAGCCATGAGGTCACTGGGAAGCAGAGATAGGGAAGATAAAAGAGCCAAGAACCTTTGGAAACATCTAAGCTAGCATGCAGAAGAAAGACTTCAGGGAACAAGGAACACAGTTATAATCAGGATTGGGACATGATACCACCTGAAGTAGAGAAGGGAGAAAGTTCTTCTCTTTAATAAAAAAGTTTGCATTACTATAAAAGTAGGACATGTCAAAGAAAAATTGAGAAGATGTGTTTAATATTGCAAAGAAAGTAAGAAGGATGTTGATTTTTGTCCATGATGAGCAAACAGATAGAAAAAAAATTCAGGGAACAGGTTGCAAACAGAGGAGGCAGCTAGTGTAAGATACTCTCAGGAGAAACAACATTAAAAACAAGAACCACACTGCCCTGGCTGGTTTGGCTCAGCAGTTAGAGCGTTGGCCCGGGGACCGAAGAGTCATGGGTTCAATTCCAGGCAAGGGCATGTACCTCAGTTGCGGTTCAATCCCCAGCCCTGGTCAGGGCCATGCAGGAGGCAACAGGTCAATGTGTCTCCCTCATATCAATGTTTCTTTCTCTCTCTCCCTCCCACTCTGTCTGAAGATGGATGGAAAAATATCCTCTGGTCAGATTTAAAAACAACAACAAAACAAGAATCACAAATCAACAATACAAAGCAAAAGCCAACATCAGTGTAGCCTTTCATATGTGCCAAAGGCTGTGCTAAATGCTCGTGTGCTTGAGCTAGAGTAATATTCACAACTGTGACAGATACAATTAGTATCACCTCTTTTCAGGGAGCAGTTTCTACCTAACACCAGCACCAGAACTCTTTCCCACAACGTTTAATAGGAAAGTTGAAAGAAAGTTTATTTTATGTTGAGAAAGCCTGGACACTGGTTGTAGAGAAAAGAGAAGTCAATAAAAATAGAAAGAGAAGACACAAAATAAAAATGAAAACGACTTTAGGGACTATGGGGGTGAGGGGCAAGGAAAGAAACAGTAGGGACAGCGAAAGAGGAAGGCTCAGTCTCAAAGAAAATGCGCCCCCTTCTGATCGAGGCAAGAAGTGGATGGCAATGTTGCCCAAGACCCTATTATCTGTGTTCTACAGAAAATCAGAGCCCAATTAGCTCTGAAGGCTGAGACTCTCAGCATTCTCCTTTGCCCCTGGAACCCAGAGAGAGACAGGAAGGTAGGGGAACCCATGTGCAGGCACAGTGCCCCTTCTATTGTCAGCACTGGCCAGGGCAACAACAGCCAGTCCGGTGTATGACCTAAAGATCACAGACCATATGAGATGCTCTCTCAATATAGGGTCCACCAAACTTAAGATAGATGGAGAACACCCCTAATATCCCACTGGACACCCTCTGGAGACAACTGCCGCACATATTCCAGGGATGTCCTTCATATGGTTAACCTAAAAAGGTATGCCTCCAAATATCAGAATTTGCAGACACATACACTAAGCAAATCGGGAATTGGGGTAAAGGATTAGAGTAAATGTATTTGGGAATCTCTGGGCGATTGGAAGTCAGGACAAGGTACAATGAAAAGAAAGGAAGGTAAATTTGCTCTCTTCTCTAGCTTGTAAAAAAAGCCCTATCATCAAACTGGAGAAATCTTGTTCTCCCTGGTGACTGACCCCTGGGGGTTGTTAGAGCAATTTCATGAACATTCCTTTAGCTGTACTTAGAAATAGGCATTCCACTTGCATTTTAAAAAAAATAATTAATTATAATCACTTCAGGTAAACCTTTTATAACTGTGTGCCTAATTGCCACAGACCAAAAAACAAACAGAACAGATTTGCTATGTTATAAATGCTGCACTTAGTTCTTGTATTCAAAGACTTCACTCTTTTACTCATGGGAATGTACGCCAGGCCCCAGCAACATTTTTATAGGTAATTTTGCAAATGGTTTAAAACCACAACGTACAACAGATGACACAGGGAGAATTTAATCTCCCTCCCACTCTTGTACTCTGGCCATCCAGTTTCCTTCACCCAAAGGAACCTGTTACAGTTTGTTGTGCATTCTTCCAAATACAGTAAGTTACACAGAGATATATTATACACACAGTTCTGTACCCTGCCTTTTCTTCACTTACTAATTACTTGGATATCCTTATGTTTTTGCACAATACAATTATTTATTCTTTGGGCGGCTGACAGTATTCTTTTGTATGGAAGTCCCATCATTTATTTAACCAAAACACATGCAGCAGTTTTCGTGTATACTTATATCAGCAGGATAAAAACCTACAAGTGGTCCTGGCCGGTTTGGCTCAGTGGTTGGAGCGTTGGCCTGTGGACCAGAGGATCCCGGGTTTGGTTCCCACTAGGGGCATATACCCCCCAAAAACAAACAAACAAACAAACAAAAAACCTACAAGTGAAATTTCTAAGTTAACTCAGATACTGTCGCTCTGCCCTCCATAGAGGTTGTACCAATTCATAAGCAAAAGGTATGAGGTATTAACAACTTTTATACATTGGAGAATACACTGAAAATAATGCATCATTGCTTTAAAGAACTACAGTATTTTTTATTAATATTCAAATTCCTTCCAAAAAGATCCAAGTGACCCAACTTTTCCTATATAATAAAAAATAAAAGACAAAACAGCTTTATTGCCTGAAGAACAATCATCTCCTTAAGCAACTAAAATGGCTTTAATGTTCCAATATATCTCTCTCACATCAATCTCTCTCTCTCTCTCTCTCTCTCTCTCTCTTTCCTCTCTCTCCCCCTCTCTCCCTTCCACTCTATCTAAAAAAAAAAAAAAAAAAAAAAAAAAAAAAAATCAATGGAAAAATATCTTTGGGTGAGGATTAACAAAAAAACAAACAAAAAACATCAACAACAATAAAATAGCTTGAATGTTCAGAAGTGAAAATGCATCTCCAGCAGAACTTTGAAAAGACGTATGTGAATATTGAACAGCAACAAAGACAACTGAAGACCAGAGGACATCAACAAAATGAGTGCTGGTTTTCTGATTATTTTCTTCAAAGGTTGCAAATTCTTTGAAAAGTGGTAGGTTATAGCAGAGAAAACAAAAAGAGGAATTAGAGGTCGGAAGTTTGTGTTTTTATTGCCCACTGACTATGGACAGTCCATTCATCTGTATGTAACTCAGCTGACTGGGTATATAAAACCTACCGCACCAGGTTTATATAGAAAGAAAAGTCTTACTTCAAATCAAACTGTAAATCTGTATTTACTTCCCCCACCTAAACATGCCCCCTCCTTTATTCCCTAAGGGGTCCCCAGTATATCCAGGTG